CCTGATTCGTTATTTCTGGGCAAATTTCGCCCACCGCCTCTTGAGCCAGTTAGCCCCGGATTAGCCGAGACGGCATGTCTTGGTATAATCGCTAGCAGAAGGCCTGCAGAACCCCAACGATGGACCTCGCCGGTAAATTTCTGGGGCTTTCTGCCACGCACAATTGAGGTGCCGGGCACAACAAGTGCGACTCAAACTGCCAGTCATGGGGCGGCAAGGGAACGTCGTCGAATTCTGTCATAATCTTCAATTGAAACTTTTTCAAACCCGGTACTGGTTGAGATCTCAGATGTTCGCAACTGCTCCCTCGGTTGCCCGACGCTTTTAGCTCTAGAGTACTAGACTCCCGCAAGCCCGCATATGCTCAATCAGTGGCATTTCGAGTGCCCCGCCATTGGCAGCCCACCAAGCAAGCATCCATCCCACTGCACGCCGCTGCTAGGCCAGCCCACCACCACTATCTTGAGGCCTGGCCCAAATCGACTTTCTTCCCACCACCGTCCGACTCTTGTCAGTTCAGCCGCCGCCAAAGACGGACGACCACCGCTCAACGCACGCCCGTAGGCAGCGAACCTCTACGGCGACCTCGAGATACATTGCATCGAAAGCAGAGATACCAGCAGCTTTAGCCCGGAAACTTAACCGTCCACGGGCGCGAACCCTTCACCATGGATCCAGCGGCCATCAGGGGCTTGCTCGCTGCGAGCTTTGACCCGGACACTGACAACCGGCGTCGCGCTGAAATGCAGCTGAAGCAGGTGTGTCGAGCCTTTGCGCCTCCGGTATGGTCGCTAACGTGTATCAGATCGAGGAGAATGCAGGTTTTCTCGACTGTCTATTCAACATTCTCGACGCCGAACAAGACAGCAGCGTCCGACTCTCCAGTACGAAATACTTACTCCGCTTCATTCGCTGCCGAACAAACCGCCCGCTAACGCAAGGAAATAGCTGTTATTTTCGTCAAGAATCGCGTCCAGCGCGCCTGGTACGTCACAGAAGGCCAGACGGAACCTGGGATAGCAGAGGAGGAAAAGGCCCGCGTTCGCGACCGACTCGTGCCTCTACTGGCGGCATCGCCTCCTCAAATACGAGCGCAACTCTTGCCGGTCCTGCAGCGTGTGCTGCAATGCGACTTCCCCTCGAGATGGCCTCGCTTCATCGTCTTCACCATGGAGCTACTGAACACTAACGACCCCAACTCCGTGCTCGCCGGTCTCCAGTGCCTCATGGCCCTCTGCCGGGCTTTCAGGTACAAGTCCACCGACAGCCAAGACAGGGAGCACTTTGACAAGATTGTCGAGGCTAGCTTCCCGCGTCTGCTGACCATCTGCAACGAGTTGGTGAACCAGGAGAGCGAAGAGGCGGGCGAAATGCTCCACCTTGCGCTCAAGGCGTACAAGCATGCTAGCTGGGTAGGCTTACCTCTGAAGCGCAGCGCTGAATATCGGAATGCTAACTCTCATAGCTGGAGCTTTGCCCCCATCTGAGGGATGAACAGGTTAACATTGGCTGGTGTACAGTTCTTCTCGGCACTGTTTCAAAACCCCCTCCAGCGAGCGCTATGGAGGGCGATGATTTTGATCGGGAGAAGAACCATTGGTGGAAAGCCAAGAAATGGGCGTACTTCAACTTGAACCGCTTGTTCATTCGGTATGGCAGATGTCACGTACGTGAAGTTTCAAAAGTGCTAATGTGGGCAGACACGGGAACCCCTCGTCCACCGGTAAGGGAGAAGAGGCACTTGTCTTCGCCAAGAGATTCACCCAGCAGATTGCCCCTGAGATCATGAAGCACTACCTGGCCGAGATCGAGAAATGGGTTGCTAAGACCGCCTGGCTCAGCCGACCTTGCCTCTCCTACACGCTGATCTTCCTCGACGAATCCGTCAGGCCGAAGGAGATGTGGGTTCACTTGAAGCCTCACCTGACGAATCTTGTCACGCATTTTGTATTCCCCATCCTGTGTCTCACAGAGGATGACCTCGAGAAGTTTGAGGATGAGCCTCAGGAGTATTTGCACCGCAAGCTCAACTACTTTGAGGACGCAGCCGCGCCCGATGTTGCCGCGGTGAACTTTTTGGTCAACCTCACCAAGAACCGGCGTCTTGAGACCTTTGAGATTCTAAAGTACGTGAACCACGTTGTCAACGAATACGAAGCCCAGCCCGACGACCAGAAAGATCACGTGCGCAAGGAAGGTGCGCTTCGCATGATTGGCACTCTCGCCCCGGTCATCCTCGGGAAAAAGAGTCCCATCGCGGGTCAGGTTGAATACTTCTTGGTTCGATATGTATTCCCCGAGTTCACCAGCCAAAAGGGGTATCTGCGTGCTCGTGCTTGCGACACAATCGAGAAGTTCGAGCAGCTCAACTTCCAGGACCAAAACAACCTGATGACCATCTATCGCCACATCCTCGAGTGCATGGCCGACCCGGCACTGCCTGTGAGGGTCACGGCCGCCTTGGCTCTTCAGCCCTTGATTCGGCACGATATTATCCGCAACGAAATGCAGACAAGCATCCCTACAATTATGCAACAGCTGCTCAAGCTTGCAAACGAGGCCGATATTGATGCCTTGGCCAATGTCATGGAGGACTTTGTGGAAGTTTTCGCGGCCGAGCTCACTCCCTTTGCCGTGGCTCTCAGTGAGCAGCTGCGCGACACGTACCTGCGCATCGTGCGAGAGCTTCTTGAGAAGGAGGCTGCGGCTGGTGATGATGGCGAGGGCCTGACTGACTATGATGACAAGAGCATCACCGCTCTGGGTGTCCTGCAAACCATCGGCACGTTGATCTTGACTTTGGAGAGCACACCGGATGTGCTGCTGCACATCGAGGCTGTCCTGATGCCTGTCATCAAGGTCACCCTTGAGAACAAGCTTTATGGTCAGTCCTCGTTGCACTCGGCGACTTTTATAACATGACGCTGACAACTCTAGATCTGTACAACGAAGTGTTCGAAATCATTGATAGCTGCACATTCGCAGCCAAGAGCATCTCTCCGAATATGTGGCAAGCCTTCCAGCTGATCCATACCACCTTCAAGGCCGGCGCCGAGTACTACCTCGAGGATATGTTGCCCGCACTAGACAACATTGTGCGCTACGGTGCTGTGCAGCTTGCTCAGACGCCCGAGTATATCCAGGCACTCTACTCCATGATCGCCGACATGTTCACTGAGGAAGTCCAGGGCCTGGAGCGGATAAGTGCATGCAAGCTGGCCGAGTCCATGATGCTATGCCTGCAGGGATCTATTGATCAGTGTGTCGAGGGTTTCATCATCATGGCAATGAATATCCTCGGCGGTCCTCAAGAGGTCAAGGTCAAGACCACGAGGATTCATCTGATGGAGATGGTGATCAATGCCATTAACTACAATCCGGTGCTTGCGCTGCAGGTTCTCGAGAGCAAGGGCTGGACCAACCGCTTCTTTAGCTTGTGGTTCAGTCATATGAACTCGTTCAATCGCGTGCACGACAAGAAGTTGTGCATCATTGCCATTACAGCTCTGTTGAACCTAAACCACGACCAGATTCCTGCCAGCGTCTCGGTTGGCTGGCCTCGCTTGCTACAAGGCGTCACTGAGCTGTTCAGGACGCTGCCGAATGCGCTAAAGAACCGCGAGGAGGCCCTCCGCGATGACTTCCAATTCAGTGGCAGCTACGACTACGGTGACGATGATGAGTGGGCTGATGAGGAGGCCAATTGGGATGGCGAGCAAGCCACCGCCGCCGAGACTGAGGTGACCGCCGAAGTCAAGGACGAGAGTGCTGCCTACCTGGACTTCTTAAATGAAGAAGTGAGTCCCACCGATGTGGCCGAGTGCCCAAGATGCGACAGTACTAACACACTGTACAGGCCCAAAAGTTCAGCCGCGCTATCGACGACGACGGCGACGACGGCGATCTTGGCGAAGAGGAGAACCTGTTGGACTCCCCTCTTGACAAGCTGGAGCCTTACGCCATGTTCAAGGGTGTCATGCTCCGCATGCAGCAGGATCAGCCCCAATTCTACACGTCTCTCACATCGCAGCTGTCGCCTGACCAGCAAGGCGTCTTGCAGAGTGTTATGGTCCGTGCGGACGAGATCGCGATGGAGCAGCAGCAGCTAGCCGAAGCAGTCCAGGCGTAGGAGCACACACTGCCACTGACCCTTGCACGAAAGAATGCTGTGCAGTCCTGCATCGACCACGACTGCCCGATAGGGCGCATGATACAGGTCTTTAGACGGGACCCTTTCGAACAGCAACGCAATGGCACATTGGAAGAGGATGGTCGAGGCTACGAACCCGGCCGCATCTTGAACGATAACGACACGAACATACGTACGATAGACGTGCCCTAGCGGCATAGCGACGGGATGAATGAAAAGTCAACGGACGGAAGACAATTAGATAGTGCAAACCGATTCATGTTCCTTGTGGTGACGAACGAGTGGCGGAGGGATGGAGACTTGGAGTCTATGTAGCGAGGTGACTCTGGACGGACGATACCAAAGCCATATGGCTATTTGTTTGGGAAATGGGTAGCAGCAGTAGGTAGTTAGACTAGGGCAGACTCTGCCACACTGTTATATGGCACATTGATTGATTCATCTTATGGTCGCCACGCGACGTTAACAAGCAGCAAGTAATCAGTAGCAGCGTCGTCGTCTAGAATCCGAGCTTTGACAAAAGCCTAGAGTCCAGCCACGGAAATTCAGAAGCGAGTATGTAGGTCAGTTGTTGACAAATATAGGGGCCTCGACGCCTCGTTCGTTCCAGGGTCCATTAAGTAATGCCTGCGAGAGTTATGCAAATTATGCTAGTGCAGTATATGCGTCAATATACCAACACCATGGTAGGCGCGGACGGCGGCGCCTGCCGTGAGTGAAGGCACCGACAGCAGCGACACTCATCGGCACGTGCAGTCTCACCTTCTTCCCCTCACCGACCAATCTCATCTCAAATCGTCTCGAAAGTGACTACGAACTTACTCGTGAGGAAATCATTGCGACACAAACGATGACGACCCGATACCGCGTAGAGTGTCAGTTGACGATGCCTCTCGCTGCCGCACCTTCCTTCCCTCATGAGACTGACTGCGACTCACAGATGCCCTCAAGACGCACAGGCGGGACCAATTCATCGGTACGTGGAGTGACCAATCCCTCGATTTCTCGCTATTGCCCTGGACTATTGATCAGTTGTGCTGAACGACAACGCAGAATGGGTCAAAGGCCTACTAGCTGTCCCCTTTGTGCTCTACTCCGAACCTACGGGTGTTTTTGGTGATGGGACCGACGTCGACCAGTCAGCCGCAGAGGCGCACCGTCGCTATGCTGAGATCTTCCGAGATGTAGAGCTCATGATTGACGACCATAGTAAGATCTTGCCGCTCGCAGCGCTTTTCGAGAAAAGCACGTTGATAATCTTCAGTGTCGCGGCAGCTTGACGCTTCCTTCCCATCCAAACTTCGCATGCTGGTACCGACAGCAGGGCCCTTCTTCACAAGACTACCACTCGAAGGGGCCTTCAAATACCAAGACCGCAAACGCTACATATCTTCCCGCCGATATGTTGCCCCCTCGTTCAACGATGTGAGATTGGTGTTGAACTCAGCCCAAATCATGGCTGTGACCGGCGGCGCGCTTCAATTGGCGACATTCGATGGTGATGTCACGCTCTACGACGATGGAGAGAGCTTGGAGCCTGGTAACCCCGTGGTCACACGATTATTGGGTATTTGAAACCCCTTGCGTGTCTTTCTGACATGAGCACTAACAACAGCGGCAGATCTCATGAAGAAGAATATCAAAATAGGCATTGTGACAGCAGCTGGGTACACAACCGCCGATCGATACTATGGGCGCCTTCACGGGCTATTGGACGCCATTGCGGAGTCAACTGAGCTTGATCCCGTGCAGAAGCAAAACATTGTCATCATGGGCGGCGAAGACAATTATCTATTCGAGTATTCACAATCCTCGCCTCACCGATTGGCGCCCGTCCCCCGGGAACAATGGCTCACACCGGAGATGGCTGCCTGGGGCGACGCTGACATTGCCGCGCTACTTGACGTGGCCGAAGGCGCGCTTCGCGACTGCGTTCGGACGATGAACCTGCCTGCCACCATTGTACGCAAGGACAGGGCTGTTGGGATCATCGCCGTGGACCCATCCATCCGAATCGCCCGCGAGTCCCTCGAGGAGACCGTTCTCGTCGTGCAACGCATTCTGGAAGCCAGCACTCTCGGGTTTCCCATGACCAACAGTGCCGGCATGAACGCCCGAAAAGGGTCGGTTTCACGTGCCCGCATCCCTTTCTGCGCCTTCAACGGCGGGCGCGACGTCTTTGTGGATATCGGCGACAAGTCATGGGGCGTCACGGTGTGCCAGCAGTGGTTCGGGGCGGGCCCGGGGCGCAGCATCAAGGGGGAGAACACATTGCACGTGGGCGATCAGTTCCTGAGTGCCGGTGCCAATGACTTCAAGGCGAGGAGCGTGGGAACCACGGCGTGGATTGCGAGTCCCGCCGAGACGGTGGAGTTGTTGGACGAGTTGGCTGAGTTGATGGATAAGAAGCTACCTTGAATATGGGAGATTAAATCAAGTATTTATTCGACAATTCCTCCCAAACCCTTTGTCGAGCATGCATTGCCAGGTCCAAGCAGCTGACTTTGGAATTCAATATTCAATTAACCATGCCCTATGGCAAGTGGAATGCTGCGCCCTGAGCTGAAGTACTGAGCTGCTTAACCCACATGCCGCTGAGGCAAGAACAGAGGCGACGGCCTAGACGCAAGTGATGCTCAAAAGCGGAAGTGTATTATATATCCTGGTACCATTACCCGCCTCTCACCACAACCTCTGTGAGACAAGAGCCTCCCACGTGAGGCAACACCCTGCAACAGCGCTGGCACCGCAAACGCCGCCTCGTCTCGCTCGTCGCCAAAAGCCTCTATGCTTCGGAAGTAAAGAAACATGAAGCCAGACCGTCTTCTTGGCTGGCAGCATCCAAAGATGAATCTATGTGCTTGCCATTTATGAATTAAATTTGTAAACGCAGATTGTAGTCACTGTACTGTACAGCGCGTGCTTTGGACATGAACAAAAATCTACTAATATCCTGGCTGGCCGGGCATCTTGCCCAAGGAATGCCCCTGGCTCTTAGGAGGCAGATGGCTGTGGCAGAACACTTTCTTGCTGCCGTTCCACGAACTTGCTTTGGTCGCGTCAATGAGCAAGCAGGGGTCGTCGTAAGACTCCACTTGGCAGCACTCGACCCCCTTCATCCACCGGTTACTAATCACATCATTAATGTTGATTCGTTTGGCCGGATCAGGGTGCAGCATCCGCAACAATAGACGGCGAAGTGCAGGTGGAGTAATGCCAATATCAAAGGCCTTCTGGTGAGGATAATCGGTGTCTGTCATGGTAGCCCCAGGCTCATGCTTCGACTCCCACTTCTGCCAGCCCTTGACGAGATCATCGTATTGACCATATCCGGGGGCGGCCTTCTCCCAAATGGCACCACCAAACGTCAGGTAGATCAGAACCACCCCACTACTCCACACATCAAGGCCGCGAGGGTCGTACTTGTCCTTCTTGGCGATGACTTCGGGTGCGATGTAGGGCAAGGATCCGCAGATACCAGGGGAACACAGCCGGACCTCATCATCCATGTGTTGGCCACATTGGCCCCCAGCTTCGCGGAGTCCCGGGTGGGTACCAGAAAAGACCTCGGAAACACCAAAATCCGTGATCTTGAGCTTGCTGTCCGCTGTGAGAAGCAAGTTGTCGAGCTTGATATCGCGATGGGCGATGCCGTGAGAGTGCAAATAGTGCACCCCCTGAACCAACTGCTTGAAGATGCAGTTGCGGTCTTTCCGCTTGTTATCGCCGAGGAAAAAGCCTTTTTGCACTAATCCGAACAAATCGCCCTCGGAGCAGTATTCCATGACGTGGTTCCAGCGCGAGTGGTTTTTGCAGAGGCGGAAGGTTTCGACAATATTGGGGTGGTGAAGACTCTTGGCCAGGCTAAACTCGGACTTGACCTTTTTATCGTAATAGTCTTGGGTTTCGCTGCTAGATTTGCCACGGAACTCCTTGACAGCGTAAAGCTCCTCCGGACAACCCTTGCGCATCATCAAAGTGACCTTGGAAGCGACGCCCTTGCCGATATGCTTGCCATGACGGCCAAGGAATTTGGACTGGTACTCAAACTCATCAGTGAGCTCAGCTACGTCCACCATGAACTCGTCGGGAAGGCTCAGGCTCATCCGCCGAGCCTTGGTGCCGGTGCCAGCATCCGGTGCTAGTGCGAATGCCTGACGCTCGGCGGAGTAGGCGTTGTGGTCCGCGTGATGGGTCGTGTGCGGCGATCGCGTCCGTGAGTTGGCGCGCTCAGAGTCAAAGCTGCTGGCACGGCGTGACCGCGGGCGGGAAGACCGAGGCGCCCCATTTCCATGCCCGTTGGGTGTGTTCGGAGTCAGGAAGTTTATTGTTTTGCCGCGGAGGGACAACCCTGTCGACGAGCGGTTCTTCCTTTTGTTCTCGAAATCTTTGGCACTAGGGAGCGCACTGTTCGCACTGGGCGCGGGATGCAGATTGTTGTTTCCGTCTGGAGGACAATCAAGGGGCGATCCTGGCGAAGGCGGAGTATTAGATCGTGTGGTTGTCGCTGACCTGTGGAAGGAGAACCGGCGATTTGGTTTTGCCATGCCGTTGCTGATCGGCGGTGGGCGACTCGCGACAGGAACGGCATTCCTTCTCGCGGGATCCTCTTGCGATTGGCTTGCGCGCGGCTGAGGGTTTGACGTCGGTGGTGAGGCAACATTGACGTTGTTCTGCTGCTCTCCAGCAGCAAGGCTGGAATTGGACCGACGGAAAAGACCTGTCATTGTGCGTCTGAAGCTGGCCGTCGAATTACGGGTCGATCGTCGCGAGAGAGACGGAGGCTTGAACTCGTTCGAATCCTGCTGCGGTGGCTGCTGTGCCTGTTCGTCTTCAGAGGGGCGCCAAATGCTACTTTGGTCGGCCGACGCCCTTGGTGGGAGCAGCGAGTCCTGCTGCTGAGGTCTCGAGTAGTCGAATGAAGGAGTATAGTTGCCAGTCTGCGTCTGCTTCACGGTGGTGAACTGCGGCGAGTGACTGCTGGTCGGCGTGAGGGGCTCTGTAGGCGAGTCTTCCGAATCAGCGCCCTCCTCGAGGATGGCGGCGGGCGAGAAGTCGCTGGGTATTTGACGAGGCGAGCTGGGGGTATACGAGTTGGCGGTAAGCGAGTCCGATTTGCTAGTATTGCATGATGTCTGGAGTGTCTGTCCTGTCTGAATTGCGTGAGGCTTTGTGGCGGTCCCATCTGGGGTAGGAGATAATATGTCAGCTGTCGCCTGGGAAAAGCGCGGCCACGCAGATGTAAGTCTAGAGGTACAGAGAGAAAACGTTTTAAACGTGCGACGGAGCGGAATTGAGCCGGTGCTGGCACTGCTCTTGGGAGGTAGTGCTGGGGAGAATGATGAGTGGAAGAAGAGGAAGAAAGACTGGAGAGCGGACGTTGGCTCAGGCTGGCTGGCTAGTGGCGGGGCGGACGAGGGCCGTTAAGGTGAGGCTTTTCGTGAGGTGGGCAGGAAGCGCAGCGTCACGTCACTGCAGGTGCATGCGCAGGCACTGTGACGACACACTGTGACACCGGCAGGAACTCTGTTCGGCTTGGCATGTGGGGGGAAGATTGCACTGGGAACGGAACCCGGACTCGGCGCTCAACAGAAGCCGACGAAGGAGGCACAGTGCTAAGTTCCGACTCCAGCTGCCAGACAGGTTGAATACCAGGTACAAGCAGTACGCACGGTTACTAAATGACGCTGATTCAACTGGCAATCGTCCATGTGCTGGCTGTTTCCAGGGCACGGCACTGTCGGGTGCTGTGAGGCAAGATACGGTAGAGGGTATCCGCTGTAATACAGCGCTTCTCCGGGAGCTGATCCACTTGAGGGGCAAATGGCCTGGCTGACTGGAACTGACAAATTGAGACAGCACTCACCTTGTGCAGGGTATTGCTGTCGCCGCTGTTGAGCAGCAGCCGCTGCTCCGTCTTGGGGCGCCATGCTCAAGAATAGTGACGCAAAGAATCCAATGAAATACAACACGGTCCGGACCAGTCGACCAACGGTTGGGTTCGAGTAAAGCTTGCGCGGAGGATCTCGAACTGAGGTCTGTTGTGTCCCCTCCTTCGGCCAAAGGGACGTCGGGGTCAATTCGACGGGATAAGCTTGGCCGAGTGGGTGTCGTCGATGCTTCCTCGATGTTGTGGACTATTGGGAGGCCCGAATCCGTACGTCGGTGGCTTGTTGGATTCCTCGTACGCTCGCTCGGATTCGCCTGCGAACTACACAATGATGTTGCTGCAGAACCGACCAATGCTGATCTTCTGAAAGGCTGTGTCGTCTTGTCGAAGTCCACTGGCCACTCGCGGATCGGAAGTGATACTATAGCACGTCGTAGACCGTCAAAAACCAAAGGCTCAAGGAGAGTTCGAGAAGGGGATGGGTCCTCGTCTTATATCGCCAGTCGGTGCCACGCCAAAGGCCCAGCCGCTTTTCAAGCGTACAAGTCTGGTATGTTGAACCTGTACGTTTCCTGATCCCACTGACTGTATCGGACGAAAGCCTGTGCCATCGATCGTGTAAGTTGGCTGCCTCACTGGACACTGGGGCTCAAAAGGTCGTTGGGCTCCTGATGGCGGCGTGCAGGTACTCTAAGAAGCACTTGTTGTAAGTCGGGAGTCAAAGAGATCGTGTGGGAAGAGGGAGAGGGCAACAACAACGAAGATGGCCCCTGTGCTAAAAGAGACTCTTGGCCGTGTTCGAAAACAGATCCAGACTGCAGAGTTTTCTGATAGTAGAATACGTATGTCAATGACAGAGCAGAGTAGTAGCTTTTGAAGGTTTGATTGCCGGGGGCGCTGCTACGTTATGAAGGCCCCATCAACAACGAGGAGCTGCGCTACCGCCCGGTTGCCAACGCCTCCGGTCTTCATGATATGCGCGAGGGTGGCCTACCATGGGGGGCGTCGGTCCAAGATTGGATAAGACAGACATACTCGTGCCTCCACCCTCCATCATGTTATGCCCATATGAAGTTGAACATCCCGCGCTCAATCCAGTCTTCTCATGGGCCCTGCTCAATCCGGACATGGTCAGTCTGCCGGCAGCTACTAATGCAATACAGCGTGAGCTTTGCGCGCTGCTCTGAACCTGGCAACCTGCAGCAAAGCATCATCTTCCAGATAGATCATAGTACATTATTAGTCCTCAGTCTGATTCACTACTAATCACTTCGTACTCTCCACCCGAGGATTAACAACCTGCCTCGGTACTGTGCTCGATACTGTCCGCTGGTGGCTCAGCACCCCTGGGACCCCAGCGCAGGTTAGGCGCACTTGGCAGCAGCGTCATCGTAATATCCGCTGTTTGTCGGCTGGTGTTCGACTCTGTGAGTCTGTGAGGCATTCCATCATTGCACAGAACCTCACACCTTCTATACATGTTGCCTCCAAAGCGACTGATGCTGACGACTCCATCTCAGGCAGCAGGATCTGGTGGTGGCACCTCGTCGCGCCGCTAGTTGTGGATGGCGTCCGTGTTCACAGGTCACAGATCTGCTAGGCTAGCCAACCAAGGACGCCTTTCCAAATCTGTCCGTTGACGTGGGGATACTCGAGAGTCGCCGTCCGCTTGGGGCGGCTCCATTGTTGGTCTTGGATGATGGATCGCGCAAGTTCGGCTGGGGCGGCGGACAATGCGGTCTTTGTGAAGTTGTGGTTGTGTACATAGGCCGCTGCTATTCCACCGTTCTCTCTGCACGAAACTTGACGACTTGGACGCCAAAATCGCGCCTGGTCCGACGACTTCTTTCATCGTCCGGCTGATGCACCTGCTCGGCTGCTTATCCCCGTTTGCTTGCACGCGCTGAACCCCAGCATCCCACATCACGAAGTCTGATTGGGACCAAACGGCAGGGACGGCACTCGGCCGTCTTTCTGAGAACGCCAGGACGGCCAGGCTGTGGGAATGCGAGTTGCGTACTGTGCCGCGACCTCTTTGCCCACGAATCTCGTTGCCGACATAGTCGCACCTATCAAATTCATGCACTGTGCCTGAAAGAGCAAGCCGAGTACACTCCTCTTGATGGTGGTGAAGTTGACTGGAAGTGATGAATGGGGTGCGGGTTCGGCCCGGTGCTCACTTGGCGCCGACTACACGTAATTAAATAAAGGCTCACCTGAATCTTCATCAAAATTAAATATACTCCAGTGTCCGGTGTCCGATCTCAGTCCCTGATTACGCCCTGCACCAACTGCTGCACGCCGAGCTCGACAGTCACCGCGAAAGAAAATAGATATGGAGTCCAGTCGCTTTGTGCTGAGTTATTGGAGAGTGATCATCGACGCAGGACGCCATGTCAAGGTAACGGCACTTGTGAGTCTAGTGGCCGGCATGTCTCGCCCAGTATCCGGAATGCGACGACATCGCACGTACAACCACAGCCGTCAAGAAACTGTGAGGCTTGTAATCATCCACGCAATGTTACAGTGGCGATCGACCTAGTGTCTCGGAGAACGAGTTTTTAGCTTAAACTTAAGGCTATTTCGCTGTGCTCCCTGCCTAGGCTCGCTGCCTTCTGACGTCGCGGTGCCCACGTTGGCATGCCGTCCCGTCTGGTGAGACCGACAGGCACGGTTCCATCAGGAGGTTGATTTGTCTGCACTGCCTCGCACTTGTCTTGGTATCACTATCATGGATACCAACCGTTGGGGGAGGCACGAGGCCTCCCATCGACGTGCGCACGCTCATTCAGGGAGATACCGAACAAGGACATGCGCTGCATCATCAAGCAAAGATCACCAAGGACATATTCTACGAGTCAGCACGCAGCAAAAGGTGCCACCTCAAGCCACCACAGTTCAAGGACCGGCAAGAGGATGTAATTATTTCGATTGTAGCATTCGCACACCGTAATGTTTCGCCGACGCAGAGTAAGGCGTAAGGTGGCGGGCAAGACGCACCACTCCAAGCGTGCGCTGTCATGATGTGCGCAAACGGAGCACCAGGACCACCAGTCAAGGGACGACGAGGCTTGCTATTTGGTCATGGGCTTGCGCATCAGATTGAGGCTCGTCCACCGTGCTCACTCTCTACTTCCAAGCCGAGCGGATTCACCTGCAGTATTTGCACATCATCATTCTGCAAAATGTCGTGTCGGGTGCTGGATCCTGGGACTGGGACGCGTCGCCACTGTGTCGAGGCTGGCAGCGATGATCACACACACGGGACCAACATGTAACCAACGTGAACCATACGCGCAGTCCCCATGTTGGACTGCGTCGTTGCCGTCGAAACAAGGCTGTTCTCATGCCAAGTTGAAGAGAGGGATAGATTTTCTGGTCACGTGCGTGTCGATGCTGCCAAGCAGGCTCTGACTTTCCACCGGACGCCAATGTTGCGCGCCCACACGTCGGTGTGCAATACACTATAACCACAGTCCACCCGCCCCCACGCTGAACAGCCTGTAAGAGCTGGGCATGTTCACTGAATGAGACGTACTGCGTCATGCGGTGTGATGGCTAGCCCTCTCAGTGAGGAAGGCTGGCACGAGACGTGCGCCCCTCACTCACTCATAGAGGTGAGGTGTCGCGTGGTCCGCACATTATTAGCGGCTCCAGAGATGCTGCTCATGACGGATTGCTGAAATATTCCGGAGAAAACCTGGCATCCAGCTCTGCCCGACAAAATTTCTGACCATCAAACCCGCTGCTCCATGTTCCCCACATTGGCTCTGGTGTTTCCGGCTACCTTACGGAAGTAGCGACCGGAGCCTACGGCCACATTTTTATGTCTTCCTGTTCAGGCTCCTGCATCTCCTAGACTGTCGCCTCAGACCCATGTTGAACAAACATCGTGGCCAATAGAAGCACCTGATCTGCATAGTACATCCAGGTTCACCAGAATTAGCACATACCCAATGTACCACGCTATTTGTAGGGACCTAGCGCACTACCAGACATACAGGCAATTTGCAAGCGGGAGTGCTAATATCCAGGTAAATTGCTAACTGTCCGGGATGTGAGGGGGTATGGAGACGCTGAGACATTCCGACAGTCTAGGAGATACATGCTCACCTCGCATCTCACAAGTGACAAACCTCACCTTCTCAATCGAGCCTCGAGCCCACCATCACAGACGCAGTCATGCGGAGTCTGGACGAATATTCGGAACCTTAGCCTCTCGACTTGGTGATGCCAAGCTCACTGTGCTCTGCTGACAGTCCAGGCACTCCGCCGAGGGCTGGAGCGAGCAAGGGAAGAAGAGCAAAGCACAGTACATGTATGTAGCCAAAAACACATGCGTACGTATTCGGAGCCTCGTTTCGGGCAATGCGAGCTAATAGTTACGCGAAGGGGAGAAGCAGGAAAATGCCTCAAGGCGTCTAGCAAATATGAGTGGCTGCGTCGTCCATTGGCTTTCCTTCTTTTATTACTCAATAGCTCGTTCCCCCACGGGGAACTGCGTGCAAGGGTCCATACTCCACGAATGCAGTCAGCCACCAGAGGTCTAGCTTTCCAACGTGAAGGAAGACTTTGCTTCTTCAAAATTTAACAAAACATCAGGGGGGGAAAGACCCATCTTGTGCCGGCCTCGCCAAACATTCTTCCCGGCGGCTAAATGCACGGGCGTGAAAGCTTGTTCCTCGCTGATTATGTCCCGAGAGGTCGGGCTATTCTTGGCTGACGATGTGTCGTTTCGTCGGTCTAGAAGCTGGCCTCTTTCCCCCCACGGGAAATACGTGGCTTGAAGGCATAAGCGCGCCCCCTGGGAACCAGGTCAGCTTACTGTGCGCGCCAGCCGCACCTGTTCACAGTGGCGTCTTTTGACGATCGATGATCATGGATGCAGGTCTTACCTGAATATGATCCATGAATGCTGCTTTGAAGCCAATAACTCCAGCACGGGTTCCTCCACAGTGTCCATCTCACGAGTGTCTCGGCTGGGTTGTGCCGACCCCACGAGCGGGCACGGGAGGCTTGGGGGATGATGTTGATCCCCGCGGGGTAAGCACGTCCTTGGATATACGTAGTAATTCCATTTAATTAAATCGGTTGAGGCATCGCATTCAGGTCTTATATAGACATCCTCGTTGGCTGAACGAGGCGATCTCACTGAGATTGAGTGCTTGTGTCTAACCGGTCAGCGCAGAGCGGTCAAGGCGATGTCTTGGAGGTAGCACAACAGGATGTGACGGAGGTTTGGCGTTTATTACGATGCGGCATACCTGCACGTAGGTACTGTGTTCAGACGTATTCGTATGCAAGCCCATCTCTTATCGTTGTTTTGTAGTCACTTTCCACCTTCCATGATCCGTTGTCGCCCAGAGAGGTATGCACAAGGGCGGCAATAAGATCAACGCCATAGGGCAATGACTAAAATAATGGTGCTGGATCGGAGCGAAGGTCCAGAATCGCATTTTCTTAGGCGCCCGAATGGAAGCATGGTCAACTGGGCTCCAACAAGTTCATGCTAGCAAGCCTCCAGGCCCGAGCTCGGCGGTGGCCTTGTCAATGTCCATCATTCACGGCGTAATGCCCATCATGCTCGACGCGCCGGAGAATGCACAAAGAGTCAGTGGCATCTGCTCTGATGGCCTCAGATACCAGGCCGGTTACTACGGAGTAGTAATGCCATCAACCTCGCAGTGCCACGGAACTTATCGCCCTGGCGGAATGGCCTGCATATCGACATCTGCGAGGTGGCTCACAACGTCTTCCGACTCGACTTAGCGATACCAAGTACTACCCGGTCCTCTTGCCATTGATTGCCCTGCGATGACAATCTGATTGTGACAACGAAGGAACTTGGCCGAGGCTAGTCGCGAGCGGGTCTGCGGGTCTAGATGGTTTGAAAATCACAATCGCCAGCACATGATCAAGAAGGAAAAATTCTAGAACGCCGTGTCTGTGCACCCCCGAGCTCGGCACTGTTTTGTATAGAAATTATCTTATCGACAGCATTAATCTTGACAGCACAGTGACTCGGATAGTGTTGGGTGGAGCAAGCTAGAAAACAGTTATCTTCGGACCGGTTGCACGCACGGAGACGGTGGAGGCGGTGGACATTGCGAAGGCATCGTGAGTGGTTCACCGACGGGCAGCGTCGGTTGGGCTGGCGGTGAGTACAGGTGCATAATAATAATACCACGTACGTAGTACCACAGATTTTACGTGCGTCAAACATTGGGGTGCTGAACGGCCGAAACAGCAATATTGGGTTCTAGCCTTGGCTATCCGTACATGTTTGTTTGTATGCAGGCTTGCGGAAGCAAGGTGGTGGCCGACCGCATGCGACGACTGGCGTTCTGATTGTGATGACTGACAGCGCGCGTGCAGCTGCACAGCAGCCATGCGTCTGGGCGACGAGTCAGCCGACGTGAAATTGCGATTCGAGGAACTCAGGCCGTTGCCGAGACGCCAACGGAAAAGCAGACATTTCGATTTTGGCGCATCCATCATGTGGACAGGTGCAGGCTGGAGAAAATGAGGAGGAAGCCAAGTCTACATGTAATAAAGATGCAGGGTCTTGTGCTGCCGACGAGCCACCCGTCCAATGAGCGCCAGCATGTCGAGACAAATATGCTCTGCTCGCCGCCGTACGTACCGCAGAGCCGACGACGAGACCCTGAACACGCCGGGAGAGAGAAAGCGACGGCCCAGCGAGCGCGTGTTACCGAGCCAAGACGACGACGATCGTCGTCGTACCCAGTCCTCTTTATCCCGCTCGTCAGTCCCTTTGCGCAATCTGAGCCCCCCTTTGTCCTTTCCTTCACGTTTCTTCGCCGTCAATCCATCCGACTCCATCTCCAACCACCAGCCTAACCAGCCAGCCACGCATCCCAGCCCTAGCTGACCGCCCGGCCACTGCAGCTGTTCGTGACGTGGACCGGCAGCTGGCTCCAGTCCGTCTCGCCTTACAGATAGCAGTATTGGTAGCTGCTAAAGTACCTACTGTCATCAGTAAATAGGCCAAAAGGCCCGATCAAGCGACAACTCACCTTGCAGTCCGTCTCGTGCGGTGCCTGGAGCAAGCTCCACTGCCTTCAACAAGTCTAGACTGGCAGTGACCGCCTGCGCTGGCAAAAGAAATCGTCCCTCCAGCACGCCACGCAACGGATCAGGCCGCATTGCATCCATCATCCCCTTGCCTTGAGATTCGATCTCGGTTTCCCCTGCTTGGCGCAGCTCATTGCGTGGTCCCGGATCCCTTTTGAGCTGGTCAAGTGCCGCTCTTACTGCTTCTTTTGGGTGACACAGAATAAGACTCAGCCGACCGTCAGTACACCATCACAAGCCGCACTCAGCCAGCCACCAGCCAGCCACGAGAGCAACGTCAGGAGGAAATACCTGCGGCAAGCTCGCGTCTTCTTACCAACAAGCCTTCTGTTGGCCCCGAGCACTCGTCGATCCTGGATTCCGATCATCGCTTCAACTTGACAACAATCAACTGCCAGCTGTTACTTTGCTCTAGCGAGGTAAAAGGCCCTTCTACCCTGCCGTCCCGTCCCCTGTCTCTCTCTCTCTCCCAAGGTCCAGTCAGTCCTCTTTGCGTCATACCTCGATTTCTGCCAGCTATTCCCAGCGATCGCGACCTCGTTGCACCATCATTACGAAGCGTTAAAGGGACCCATTGCAGCGAATAGAATTGAACCCGCGAGTCACCGATCTGCCACCACTTTTTGGCCGCGATAAAGTCTGCCGCATTCCGGTCATTCATGGCATTGCGCGCGTCCTTGTGCGCCGCGCCCCAGAAAAAGCCGAAATGACGACCGCCGCCATCTCTATGTCGCTCAATCACCACCACCATCTCGACGCCCGTTCAGGTTATCCCGGCAACAACAACACCAGTCGCAACTTCAACCAGAAGCTCGCCTCCGACGCGTTCCTGCCCTCTGCTGCATTTGATCACTTCACCTCACCGCCGCTCAACAGCAATCGCTACACCGCCGCCAACACCAACAGCAACGTCGCATCGTTCCTTTCACCTCTACCGAGCGGGTTCCCTCCTTCCGCCCTCCCGAACAATCAGAGCAATCTGCCACACTCGCCGTCGGGCAGTTTGCCAAAAGCATCCAATCAACAATATCGAAACCAAAGCGTACCGGCTGTTCATGGTCGTGCCGGTCTACCGCCGTACCATTATAGTTCTCCTGACGTCAGCAGCGCTGGGTCACTCTACAGGTCCATCTCTGCAGATGCGACTTCGCAACCCGCACACCTGCCGTACGCGCACAGCAACAACAACCAGCTCGTCCAGCGTCTGGCGCAGCAAAACTCCCTCATTCGCGAAGCCTGGGAAGCCGAACGAAACTACCTCGAGGCCAATCGCCGACGCGCAGAGGAAGTGTACCAGGAAGAGCGTGTCATCATGGAGGAGGTCCGCGAGGGATGGGAGAATGAAAAAGCGACAATGCTGCGGGAAAATCAACTGCTGAAAGAACGTATCCAGCGCCTCGAGGGCGAGAATCAGACACTGAGGAGCGTGGCCGCGCAGACCGTGCAGGCTACCGGCGTCATGTCACCGCTGGCCAGTCAACGCGGGAGCAGTGTCGATACATCGGTCGAATCTGGCCCGATCGGACACCCACTATCCCAGCATCACTCACATCAAAGCCAGCAGCCTACCGTCGACCCTCTCTCGCTGCCCCCTGGTCTCGACGGTGCGGCTCGGCGACCTCATCACTTCAGTCCCAATGGCGGTCATTCGAGGACTTCGCCTACAGGTCAGCCCGAGTTGTCGCCGTTTATTCCTCTCGACCCTCGAATGCAACCACAGTCTAGCACGGCCAGAGACTTTCTGCACAAGGATACGATTCCAGAGGAGAACGAGAATGTGCCCACAATCGATATCCATGAAGTTGATCCCAAGCTTGAAGGCATCTCGCTCAGAGCCACTGCATTGCAGCGTACCACATTCGGCGAGTCCAACAAAGGTTCGCCAGCGACGTCACCTCCTGTGACTGGGGATGCAGCCCAGACCGAACGTCCTGGTATTGCGAAGCGGTTGTCCTCAAAAGATCAAACGATCCAGGTCTTGCGAGCCGGCGAGACACGGCGGCTTACGATGCACGCCGGTCACACGCCGAACCACTCGCTTTCGCTCTTCCCAACAATGAGTGTCGCCGGCACAGAGGCTGCTGGCACGCAGGAGGGAGGCACCGCACCCTCCTCGGGTGTGCCGTCACCAGCGCCCGAACCTGAGCATGTCGAGAAACCTGATGAAACGGCAGTCGCTGCTGTGGTGGAGCCTCCGGTCGACACGCAGCCTTCCAATGAGCTCGACGCTCCTGACGATGAGAACGATGAGCTGCTGGAGGCGGCTGAGGACAAGCGCCTGAAAGGCCCACTCATGGTGAAGAACATCCCTGCGCAGGACGAAATCTTCTGGGACCGAGTGAACAAAAAGCTTGAGCCCATCAGCCAAGGCCTTGATGCGCTACCCACCGTCATGCGTGCCTGCCAAGATGTTGTCGAGGAATCCGGCGTAGCATACGGTCAGCCGTCGCATCGGCGAGGTGTCGCCCATGTCGACGCTGACGCCTCCACGCTTGACGATCCCGAATCCAGTAGTGAGAAGGTTATTGAAGGCGATGTCCCTCTGAAGCTCAAAACAACCACCAACTTTGGCGCACCTTTCGGAATGGCGTAGGGCGAGACCGGGGGTGTATCAAGTCCACAAGGGCGGCCTGAGCAGCCCGGATCGGGAAATGAAACACCCAACGGACAGGCTAGACGGACATTTGTGTCTGGCATCAACTGTCTCTTGAAGAGAATGCAGCAGACGTCGCTCAACTCGTTTGCAAACGAGATGTATGAAGGGACAGAGACGCCCGAAAACTCTCGACAGCCCACCTCAAACTACTGAGGACGACGCAGACGAACCACACATCAATTTTTCTTCTCTGTATTGACTTGACGACAACTCCGCCGATAGAGGTGCAGTTCATTCTTTTCCTGCACTGCACAGCACAGCACAGCACAGCCCGAGATAGAGGGAGCATGTTTTAGGCGTCACGCGTTGGCCTTTTTGTCATTGGCGAGGGGGCAAGATTATTTTCGAAGCGCGCGTCGGGAGGCCATCCAACAAGGTCTACTCTGCTGCTAAGTGCCTTTTTTTTCTCGCTGCTTTCTGACAGCGACTACATTGGTGTTGGTGGTGTTATTTTCTTTGGAGAAAGCTTGGGGCGTTGGTTTGACCACCACGAGGGTCATTTCTGGGTAGGCCAAGGATCAGTGGAAATACATCACAAGGCGCCGTATGTGGTGCATATGCCCATAAGGTCTTGAGTGAAATCATAGACTGTCGGCTTCGACAACGTGGTCGGCCATCATCTAATACTAGCCTACATTATCCTGTGGCAACGCCGATACTCCAGAAGAACACGTGAGTTCTGATCCTAGCAGCCCGTACACACTAAACGCCCATTGTGAAATCGTGCTCGATACCTGGCGTTACACTCGCCATGAACTGCAATCTGTTAGCGTAACGCTGTATTCCACGGGCTATTCACTCACCTTGAGGAAGACGACCAGATACTGGTCTACGCGAATGGCAACCTCGGCATCCTCGCCGGCTTCTCCGCCCACGTCCTCCCACTCCTCCTTGTCGGCCGCCTCCTGCGCGCCCTTGACGTCCAGCTTGTCGATCTCGTCCACCAAGCCCTCAAGACCCTGCTTGCTCGCCTGACCACCGGTCTCGCCCTGCTTGAGCTTCTCCCGCCTGAGACGGAGGGCGGCATCGGCACGGTCGAGCAGAGACTTCATGACCGGTGCGTGCTTGCACGGGTGGACGCTGGCCATTTTGATCGCGTTGGCGAAAAAGGGGAAATCCTCGAGCGTGACGGTCTTGTCCTTGTAGTCACCCACGATATCATCCATCATTGCCGCCGGGGGCAGGGGGCTGCCGTTGGCAAGGTAGCCAGACAGGTATAGGCGTGGCGTGCGGTAGTACGGTGTATACATGATGTAGAGGGTGTACGTGCGTCGGCCAGAGGACTTTTGCTCGGTGGAGGAGGGGATGATGGCGTCGTCGTCATCTTCGTCTTCCATGTCGGGTATATCATCGTCGTCATCATCGTCGTCGTGGCCGGCCGACTCTGCGTTGCCGGCCTCGTCGACCGTGCGGACCTGCTGTCTCTTGAGCGGCTGGCTGGAGTCGAGGCCGCCCGTACGCAGCCAGCCCTCCTCGCCGTCATCGCCGGCGGCGACCTCTGCCTCCTCGTGGCCGGCGTCACCGGCAAAGTCGTCGTCGAGGCGGCGGTGGCAGGGGACATTGCGGGTGACGAGGAACTGCTTGCCCGGTGGGAAGTAGGCGACGCGACGCGACGGGTCGTCGGCGTCGGCCCAGGACCAGGTGGGGAACTTGTAGACGAGGTAGTCACCCGCTGCGAGGAACTCTTCGGGCGTGATCTGGCCGGTCGTCCGGAAGGTGGAGGTGTGGGAGACGGGAGTGTACCGGTCGCGGAGGGTGTTGACGGTTGATTTGATGTAATTCATGATGGTCGGGGAGGCCGCAAGTCGGTTGTCGATGTTTGCGGTGGGGGAATGCGGTTTGTTGGTTGGTTTTGGGTCTAGGATATATAAGTACAGTGAATGAAGTTTCACGTGGCAGAGCCGGATGAGAGTAAGCTTTCTTTATCCAGATCTGTTGGACGTACGTGACGGGCTGGAGGTGTGAGCAACTGATCCAGGGCCGGATCACATGGCTTTGGCGGGGTGACTGTCTACATACAAAGTAGTATGTATGGCTGCCAGGGCGCTCAGGGTCCAACGCTGCTGGGCTGCGGCGGGTCATGGCACAGTGATTGGGTGTCGGCGCGGGACGCAGCGCTGTATAGTCTTTTGAATGAGCCCTTCGCACTGGATGGTGTTTGTCTATTATTATTCTGCCGTGGCAGCCGATCGACATACACAAGCAATCACTAGAGAGAGCGCACGCCTGCATAGGCGCTCGTCCGAGCTGTCAAGTTATGGCAGCCTGAGAGTGTAGCTCCGGCCCCAGTCGATGACAGCACTGTGGGGCCGGATCTGGGCCGGATGTAGAATCACTTTTGATGACGTAGCGACTACGACGGGTTCGTTTTCATTTGGAAGGCTGTCAATGTCTTTGTATCAGGGTCTCTATGAGCTGTTAATTATCTAGAGAAAGAGATCTTGGTGGCTGATTTTGCGTTTACCGCACTACGGCAAACTTCTACCTGGATGTAAACCGACTCGACTCGTAGTTGAGCAAAAGTTGAATCCTGCAACTGTGTGGGTTATGTGCGAACCTGTGGAACGACAACAACCGCCAAAGCTCAGACAAGTAGTGTCAATCGGTCTCTAAACAACTACTAATATTTTCTCGGTCAGTTTCAGTTGCAGAACAAACATGTCAGCGCCGTGGGCATCAGATAAGTGAACAAAACGGAACAGATAGCTGCCACGTAGGGTAAGTGGAATGTGAGAGATGATGAACGCCACTGGAAGCTGCTGGACCCACGTTAGTCAGCATCAATTCCGGTCGTTTGCCAAGGTACCTTAGGTACCTGTATCGATTGAGAATGTTCCGATTTAAATCCCGGTCTTCGACATCACCATCCACAGACATATACGCAACCGCAAAATGACAAACACGGAGCAAGCTGCCGCTCCCAAGGCCCCGGTGGCCATGTTCAAGAAACGAAAAGGCACTGCGAACATACGAAAGCGGCCCGAGCCATCACCGCCCAAGGACTCCGACAGCGACTTCTCATCATCTGAAGACGAGTCTGGGCAGCGTGTCAAAAGGCGGAAGAAGGCAGCAGGCGTCACAGCCACCTCGTTCAAAACCACAGGCGCCGCCGAAACCTCCTCCATACCGTATGCCGCCGACAGGGGGGCGATCGCCTCTTCCAACGATGCTACCAAGCAGAGCAACTGGTACGACGAAGACGCCCACGGCGCGCTCTCCGCGAAGAACCTGCTGGGCACCACCAAGGCGCAAAGAGACGCAGCGCTAGATGGCACCTACAAAGGTCTCGCAAATCAGACCACATTCATACAGAAGGACCCAGATGCGCCGAAGCGAGCAGTTGGGCCCCAGAAAGCGTCGACCAATGTTCGCACTGTCACGTTCTTCGATTTCAAACCCGACGTGTGCAAGGATTACAAACAGACAGGATTCTGCGGCTATGGCGACGCCTGCATCTACCTCCACTCGCGTGAGGACGTCAAACAGGGCTGGCAGCTTGATCGAGAGTGGGAGATTGGGACCAAAGGGAAGAAGAACATGGCAGGTACCGTCGTAGCCTCTGCGAATCGCGATGTGAAGGCGGAGAACCCCGACGACGCTGAAGACGAAGCCTTTCTCGAGAAAATACCCTTCAAATGCATTATTTGCAAGGACTCATATCGCGAGCCGGTCGTCACGCGGTGTGGCCATTACTTTTGTGAGCCGTGCGCGCTGCGGCGGTATCGGAAAGACCCGACTTGTGCGGCGTGTGGAGCGGGCACCAATGGTGTGTTCAATTCGGCAAAGAGGTTGAAGAAACTACTTGAAAGGAAACGAGAAAAGACTGCAAAGAGGAGGCAGGAGAAGATTGACGCTGGCGAGGAAGTCGGTGATCAGGAGGACGGGGAGACCATATAGCGATGATACCCGCGAGGCGTTGGAGATGACCAGCGAGTCTGGAACGAATAGGTGAACTGCATGGTTGCATCTTTCGAACCAGATCAGCTCATGCATGTGGTTGAATATCTTTGCCTTCGTTACGGATACTGACAGCGCCATTGCCGAGAAATGTCAAAACTCAAGCTATTACTCAACGACGTGATTGGCTGGTACCACCCCTGCAATGTTTTCTTTCGCCGAAATGAGCTGAGTTATGCGAGCGCGTCATTTTGTTTTCTCGTCGGAGGACGGTGGATACCATGATTCCTGACGGAATGGAACGTGGTCCGAAGCTTCTTTGCATAAGTACATAGGTACACAACTTTCGACAGGGCCAGTGGTGAGGTTTCAGGGAGGCAACGAGGGATGGGACGGAACTACATTGTGAGGCTGCACAATGTGATTGCGGTGATCGAATTTCAGATATGGACATTTCCAGGTGACCAGACTATGTAGTTCATAGAGGCCCGATGCCTCGGTCTGAATCTGGCGTTATTATCCCAGTACGTATCGTGTTCTGCTCCCGGTGATCTGGAGGGGCTGCCTCACCGACACTGGTCAGTCGCCTCTGTCAAATTCTTTGAGATAGAGCGACTGGCGCCCCCATCGCACCAGAGAGAATGATCGGTCATTATGAACCATACAGTATTCAGGCAAAATCATTCATGGCACCAGTTGTGCGAGCGGACAATGTAGAAGCTTGCCGGCGCCAGTATCCAGTTACAGCCGCAGGAATGCGGCGGTCTATAGTAGCGCTCATGCGATCCTTGTTGACATTCAAAATTTGGTGGATGCATTGTCAATTGCCGGCGCTTCACAACAACTCAGGGACATTGAAGTTTGTCAACCTACAACATTCCCATCCCTTCTTTGTTCCTGTCACTCTTTCACAAGACGCCACTTCTACTGATCAGTTTTTATTCTTCTTGTTCATTGTCACTCTTTTCATCTCGTTAGCAAACGTCTCGGCTGTAGCAGCCAGGTGAGCTTGACGGTTCCAGCGCGACGTGGAACACGCATACAAGCGCGCACGCCTACAGTCACCACCACACGAATTTGACACGCGACGACTGGTCTGGTCTGAACGTCCGAGTGCAACCCTTTCGAGCTATCCCGCAGGCCGCCCAAAGTCTATCGACAGCCACCAGGAACGGGGCGACCAATTCGATCTCAAGCGTCGCTACCGAAAGTCGATCACATGGTAGAAGAGGGGAGCGTTTTCTGATCCCACTGCATGCGAAGTGCTGTTCGATTATTACTGCGGATAGGGAAGCGCGCGTCGCTGCAGGGCCCCATTCCAGCAAGGGAAGACTACGACCTTGGACCGAGAATAGCTGCACGGCCTTCTCAACAGTCTCGTCGAACCGCCGAGGATTGCGATACTTTTCACACAGGCGCTTTGTGCTTTGACGTCGCAACTCTAGCAGTGGTCTAGTTTCCGTCCCAACTTCTGGTATAGAAACAGGATCCACGGTTCGCTCCGCCCAACAGCAGGTCTTGCTGAGAATAAGCTGTCCTCGACTGTTTCGCGGGCCCCCACTTTGTGGATTCCCCTCAATCACAGCTCGCGTAGAGCTTTGGAACCGATCTTTGTCACTTCTCCCTGCAGCGCGGGTGAGGCCACTGCCAGAGCGCAGCATCGGTACTTTGTTTGGTTCTCCGCCAGCTGGGAGCATCTCAATTGGATCAGGCTGTCTTTGTGACACGAAAGCAACACATTGTCACTGCCACGCAAGGGGGGCAGGCGTCACGTCACGACACGACACGGCCATCTTGTCTCGTGCGACAGGGCAATTTCTTCCTTGAATTCAAAGACATAGAGACGCGGATAGCTCTCTGCGCGCCCATTTTTTCGACCGCCACCTTTTCCCGACACGCTCGATCGACCGAAACATCGCGGACGTGGCACCCCCATCGACAGCGCAAATTACTCCGCTGAGGCACCAGACGTTGATGGTCTCGTGGCGCGTCTAGACAGGCTACCTGTCTGTCCCGATTGTCTCAATCACAGACTACGATGGCCTCTCTTGGCCCCGACAGCAGACCTAATCTGCCCGCACCTGGTGCCGACACATCCCCCAGCTCTGACGACCCATTTGTATCCAACGATACGCCTGTGTCAACAGCCCACTACAGATTCTCAACCTTCGATCATGATCTTTTTACAGCGGGGCCGGGCTCGTCTCCACGACAGGCGAAACGCGCCTTGGAAGCTCATCTCGCGGAGACAGACCGGCGATTAGACGAGGCGGGAAAGCTGGGCACCGCACTAGTGAACCAACGAAAGGCGCTTACGGAGCAGCTACAAGAAGTAGAGAAGCTGCATGCGCAGGGCGAACTGAGTCCCGATCTGAGGACTAAGCTGGTGGACATTGAGAAGGAGTACAACGACTTGACCCGAGATTCGGCGAGGGCATTCCTGCCCAAGCAGAGGGTGCCTAGTAATGAAACTGGCTCAGGATCTCCGCATGTGGCAGACGGCGCGAGAAGCGGCAGGGTAGGTCCATGCTCCTAACTTTGATTTCGCTGCTGATCACCACGCAGCGTTCTGTTAGCCCGTCCAAGTTTGAAAGTCAGGCTTTTGGCTCGCCTACCAAGCTTAGCGTGCCGAACAGGAAAATCCGCAACCAACCATCTAGCCGAGTGCACGACATAGAGTTTGCCGCCGAGATCAGCACGTCGCTCATTGCTCAAGTTCGTAACCTCCAGGCCCTTCTTGCCGACCGGGACGAGGAAGTCCGCGATCTCAAGCATGACAAGTCGACTCTTGAGATCGAAACCGAGAATCTGCAGCAAAGACTCAAGACCTTGGACGAGAGTGAGCATCGGTACAAGGAGGAGAACTGGAATCTCGAAACGCGCATGCAAGAGGCCTCAACTCAACAACGTGAAGCGTCCGACCGGGAGAAGAAGCTCACGCAAGCACTGAGCACATCCAATGCAGAAAAAAGTGCGGCCCAAAAGGAACTGGACGAAGTCAAGCTGTCTCATGCCAGGCTGGTGGAGGAGCACACCGCCGCCATCAAGCACCATGACATTGAACTGGGTACGGCGAAGCGCAGCGCGGTCATGGCCGAAGGCGAGCGTGCCGTCATGCAGCGCAAAATCGATGATCTCACCAACCAGAACACGGAGCTCGCCAAAGCGTTCTCGACGCAACGAGGACGAACGCTGGAGCGAGAGAACATGTCTGGAACGAGCGACGATGATTTTGAGACCGCTGCCGACAATGCCACCCCAGAGCACTCCCCTCCGCCTTCACCCATCAAGGGCACGCCCAGGCACGCTATGCTCGAGACAGAAACGATGAAGACATCTCTGCAACATGCCCAACGCACGATTCAAAGTCAACGCAGCCTTATCCATCGCGAAAAGACCGAGAAGCTCGAGCTCCGCCGCATCATACAAGATCTCCGTGATGACCTGGAGAGGAAGCGAGCTGACTCCGGTGCCAGCGGTGTTCACAGGCGAAGCAAGAAGGCTGAATCCAAAGATCTTAAGAAGACTGCTCGCCTACTAGGTAGCTTCCGCTCCAGCCAGCAGGAGATCTTCATGGACGACCCTGAATGGGAAGATCAGGCACAGCTGTCTCCACGTACCCTCTCAGCCAATGTCAGTCCCGCGACCAAGACGAGAGGAGACTTCTCAGCGCCCGACTCGACTGACCAATTTGATACGGCCAACGAGGCCAGCGAGTCTGCATTTGAGACAGCCAACGAGCGTGCGACGGAGACGGAGGACTTCCAGACGACTAATGAGCAAATGTCTGACAGCGACGATGGCGCCGCCACTGAGACGGAGACAACGTCCAGAGGCTTTGGCAAGATGCAGCGCCCACCGAACTTGCCGGCTGGTCTCTCACGGCACATGTCCAAATCGTCCACCCATAGCACAGCGACTTCTGAGGAGGAAGACGCGTACGAGGCCAAGACACCCACGGGCACTGCTCACTCGCACCGAACCAGCCGCTTCCTGCTGAATCGCGGTCCGTTCGACCGCAGCTCCCGCCATGGCAGCGAGGAACCGAACCTGCGAAGCAGCCCCACAAGCATGGCCAGCAACCACAGTGGCACCCCACAAGCAGGTGGACAGAGCTTGTTTGCCGAGCTGCAAAACTTTGCTGGTAGTGACGAAGAGTCTGTCGGAAACGGGACGCCTAGTCGTCGAAGCGCTAGATCGGCTACGCCTGGCTCGATCCGTCGCCGGCTCTCGCCAGTGCCTCTCGTGCCGAGTCTTCCCAAGGTTCTCATGGTCGATAGTGGCACGATGACAGAGCCTATGGATGATACTTCATTGCCCGCGCTCCCCGCAGCCGCAAACCCCACAGCCGACCATACTGAACGGCCCACATCGATGCAGTCTGTGATCGCGGACCCTCAGCGCGCGTCGTGGCTGTCCACTGCCACGGGCGATTCCCGACCACTTTCTCAAATTTCATACAGTGATGTCGGAGCTCAGCATGACCCGGACATGGAGGCCAAGCTGGCTGCATTCCCTGTGCCCCCGACTCTGGTACACCCGCAGCCTGAGCTCGGCTACTCCAATGTCCACTCCGAGCACATCGAACCGCGGGAAGAGGAACACACTCCCACCGCGATAGAGTTCACACTGGTGGTTACGGAGAGTGTGGAGCCGGTGGCTGAACCAGAGGTTGTGCTCCCAACCCTCAGCCTCTCCGCGGTCTCTGCCCAGCACATCGAGCCCATTGCTGAGCCAGTCGCGCCGCAACTAACCTTGGGCCTATCGACCGTCTCTTCTGAGCACATTGAGCCTGTCCAGGAGCCTGAACCGCCAGTTCCCAAGCTCGCATACACTGCAATGAAGACCGCCAATGTCGAGCCAGTGGACGAGCCGGAGATCGTACCACCTGCTCTGGCTTTGTCCAACATTTTCAACGAGAAGGTCGATCCCGTTGCCGAGCCCGAGGTCCCTCTGCCAACTCTGGCATTGTCCGCTATCGGTACGGAACAAGTCGAGCCCATTGAAGCTCCGGAGCCAGAAGCCGTGCCACTGCCGGCAATCATTCCAGCGCCAGTTCCTTCCGAGCCCGAGAAGCCGGCCCTGCCTAGCCTGAATTTCACAAACGTCCAAAGCGAGCACGTGAAGCCGATCATCGAACCTGAAGTGGTCGTTCCAGCGGCTCCGCTTGCCATCTCGGCCATTCAATCGCAGGATTGGGAGCCTCGGGCGGAACCCGAGATTGTGATGCCGCAGCCCGCACTTGGCTTTACCGTACTTCAGTCACAGCAGGTCGAACCTGTGGAAGAGCCATCTGTTCCTCAACCAGCTTTGACGTTGTCCCCTATCCGCTCAGAGAACCTCGAGCCCATCGCCGAGGCCGGAATTCCCCAAGCTCCGCAACCACTTTCGTTCGCAGGCCTCACCTCACAGCACGTGGAACCTGTGGCGGAACCCGGGCCTCTGCCGCCGGGCCTCGGATTCTCTGGAATTACTACGCACGATGTTCTTCCAGTTGTAGAACTGCCACCGACGCTCCCGCGGTTGATTCTTTCACCAATCGCGGCAGAGGGTGTCACTCCCGCGAGCCCCGTTGAAGTCAATGAGCTGCCCAACTTTGGCTTCTCTTCAGTTGAATCTGTCGATACCAGGCCCATAACACCCAGGAGCCCGTGGCGGGAGGCCTTCATTATGCCAAGAGACAAGGAACGCACTGCTACGCCAGACAGATCCATGGTGGCTAGCTTTGACATTCACCAGGACGACTCGCCTGGAGCCGCTCAGAATGAGACTAGACAAATGTCCGGAACAGAGGAAGGAGCCAAGGAATTCCCTCAGCCGTTCAGGGAGATCTCTGGCAACGCCGAAAATCGCAACCCCCAAAAGCAGACGGCTGTTTTCAGTGATCAAAGCGCGCAAACCTCTCTCACCGCGGAAGCCATCGATAAGCTGATCAACGCTGGATCGAGATCTGGCTTGAGTCACGTCAAGCATCCTTCAGTCGGCAGTGTCGACACACCAGGCACGACAGGCACAGTCCGTATCCATCGTCCTGCTGAGGAACGCACCGGCAGCCCCACCCCTAAGCGGACTGGTGGCTTCTTTGATGCAGGGACCGCCTTGATTCGGCCTGGCAGCGCTACCAGCGGCCGTGATTCGGCTCAGGACGCGCCTCCTCTTCCCAATAATCACCGCGAGCTCATTGAGGCAGCACGCACTGGGTCGGCCAATGGGCCCAAGGGGGACATGGGCCCTCCCATGTGGCCTGCCTCCGCGATGAAGGGCCACCGCCCTCGCACTCCCAGTCTGAGTGCCAGGCCGGCATCCAACCATTCAGCCCGCGCCGTGCCTACGTTGAAGGGAATGCGGAGTTCATCAACACAGGGACAACAGCTGGGCGTCTCGCACTCACCCACGAGGTTGACTGCACGGTCCAGGCAGTCTTCCGTGTCGTCGTTTGTCTCTGAACTTGACACACGCTTCAACATGCGTCCTGGGGAAATGGTGGATCCTACTGGCCTGGGATCGAATGCGGATCCACGCATGATCCAGGCTATCACCCAGACCATGATCGGAGAGTACCTGTGGAAGTACACCCGCAAAACAGGCCGTGGCGAAATGTCGGAGAAGCGACATCGCCGATACTTCTGGGTACACCCCTACACGCGCACCCTGTACTGGAGCGACCGGGACCCGGCAACTGCTGGGTCGCGCGAGCTCAAGGCCAAGAGTGTGCCCATTGAAGCTGTTCGCGTTGTGACAGACGACAACCCAATGCCGCCTGGTCTCCACCGTAAAAGCTTGGTGATCATCTCGCCGGGCCGCACCATCAAATTCACCTGCACTACGGGACAGCGTCACGAGACGTGGTTCAACTCCCTGTCCTACCTGTTGATGAGGACAAACGGCGATGGACAGAATGACGCTGAAGACATGGCTCATAACATTACCCAGGATGACGTGGATGAGTTCAACCCCCAGTATGGGCAGCGACAAGCGAACGGGACAAGGCCGCGTGCGCCGCCCTCACTATCGTCATACAACTCTCGAACCACGCACAATCAGTCGCCAGCTGGAGACTACTCCATGAATGTGCCCACGTTGACGCCCCGGACGCCCGCGCAACGGCCTTCCGCCCTCAACAAGCTCTTCCGGTCGTCAGGGTCGAAATTCTCTGGCACTTTCAGCAGCTTCCGCGGACGTGCGTCAGCTCCCGACACTAGCATTTATGAGGCCAGCGAGGTCCATGACAGCGCAGAGGATCTCCGTGAGATGATCGAGCGACAGGATAGGGAGGCTGACCGCCTTGAGAACGTCCGCGCGTGCTGCGATGGTGAGTACCGACCTTTGTTGAGCATCTGCAATCGACTAACTGTTCCCTAGGCAAACATGACGTCGGTCAGCTTCATCATCATTCTGTCAAGAAGCGTGGCGCACAGTCTGCACCTCATCAACCTCCATCGAACGCGCCCACGGCTCCATTCCGATCCCGAAGCTAAACTCAACATCCCAACTGCAGGGTTTTCGCCACCGGACAGGCTTGTCGTCCGTTACGAGGACCCCCTGCCGACACTCACTAGACATATCCAACTCACTTCTTGTCACGACTATACATTGACGACACTGACGACATTTTTATTTTTGTCTTTGTTCTCCGCTTCATCGCATCCGTCTCGGGCGATGCTTAATCATACATCATCTACCTCTCCTACACACCAAGCCAACTGAACCACCATCGTTATCTACGCACGGCTGCGCAATCTCTTTTCTTTCCTTTGCTTGTTGCTGTCTGTACTACACTGCTCACTTCTGCGCCTCTTTACGGACATACCGGCGACACAGCACCGGTGGTCCGAGGGGTCGTCACTGCAGGGCAATATGGAGGAAGCGTCGTCTTTCTCGCAGGGTCTTGTATTAGTTTACTCTGTGTGGGCGGATGGCCAGATATCTACTTAATGGGCGTCTGAATAGTACTGTTGCCTATTTAACCACTGAGTTGAATCGAGATACTTCGAACTACCTGTCCCGTCTGTTTGTTTGTTATTTTCAGGGGCTGACTGAGCCCCCTTCTCCGATTGATGAAACGCGGCGTGACAGTGTGAGGCGTGCGGAAGTGTACAGGGTAAATCAGCACGTCGATTCGGCCAAGTGTCCTCACATGACGTAAGGCTGAAAGCACAGCACAGCACAGCGCAGCGCCTCGAGAGCCAGTTGACAGTTCCCACTCTTCCGCGCCTGCCCGTGAACGGCGGCTCCAATCCCGCTTCGCGATTTCCCACAGCTGACCATCCCAATGCAGGATGAAGCTGGGCTTGTCTGAGGCATGGTTTTCCCCAGCATGTTGACTTATTTGTTAAAGCGTTCCATCACTCGCTCGCTCATTAACTTAAGCCCTGCCTCGAGCTCTGTTGAATTACCTGTTCTCTTCCATTTGAAGCACGACCCCACCACCCAACGCAGCTAGCGGACGACCGACGTGTTGACTTGGTGACCATAGCCATGGGGAGCTGGTCAGCCTTTCTGGCGGCCTATCTCCTAGGCGGCATCACGTTCCTTCCCCTCTTTCTCATCACGGTATACCTGCATACGCTGTACGCCTGGCCGAAACGACCGGATCTCGACGCGAGCGGACGACCCGACGAACATGGCACCGACGATCTTGTGCAGCCCGGAGACGATAAAGCTGCTATCGATGCGGCAAAGAAGGAAGAGGCGAAGCAGAACTCTGCCGAGGTCACGGCTGGCTACTTTGCCGTGTGTCGAGAGTACACGCCAATGGGCATCAACGCCAAACCGATCGAGCGCCCGACACCGGTGGGCAGCACCACGGTTGCGGCACCCAGTCAAAGCGTCTACCAGACCATGTATCGTTCTATATTTGATCGGAAAGCATCTGTGCCTGGGAATCAAGACAATGGAGGCGGCAACAGCGCGATGAGCCAGCGGCCCAAAAAGGCGGGGAACGTGTTCTACGTGGTGCTGAGACACGGTCACCTGATGTTGTTCGACGACGAGGAGCAAATTGAAGTGCGGCATGTGATTTCGCTCGCGCATCATGATATTTCAGTTTATTCTGGAGGCGATGTCACGCCGGAGGGTGAGCTGTGGATCAAGCGCAACGCACTGTGTCTGTCACGAAAGCAGGACGGCGCCGAGATGACGGCGGACAGCCAGATGTCGAAGCCGTTCTACCTGTTCTCGGAGAACTGTTCTGCCAAGGAGGATTTCTACCACGCGCTGCTCAGGAACCAGGAGCAGACGTTTGGGGCCACGGATCCAGGCAATGTCCCACCAAAACCAAAAGCATTCGAGGTGAAGAACATTATCACGCTGGTCCAGAAGCTTCATTCCACGGAGGACAATGTGCATTCGCGGTGGCTCAATGCTCTGATTGGGAGGGTATTCTTGGGCGTGCACCGCACGGCGGATATCGAGAGCTTCATCTCGGAGAAGATCACCAAAAAGATTGCGCGCGTCAAGAAGCCGACATTCCTGACGAATATTAACATTCAGAAGATTGACACAGGCGACGCGGCACCAATGTTCAACAACTTGCGGCTGAAGGACTTGACAGTGGAAGGAGAGTGTGTCATTGAGGCAGACGTCAAGTATACCGGCAATTTTCGCCTCGAAGTTGCGGCCACAGTGAAGATTGACCTTGGCACGCGGTTCAAGGCTCGAGAAGTCAACCTCGTGCTGGCTGTCGTGCTTAAGAAAATCGAAGGACATGTGCTGTTTAAGGTCAAGCCGCCACCGAGCAACCGTGTCTGGCTCTCCTTCCAGACGATGCCAAAGATGGAGATGGCAATTGAGCCGATTGTCAGCCAGCGCCAAATCACGTACACACTCATTCTGCGACAGATTGAGAACCGAATCAAGGAAGTCTTTGCGGAGACCTTGGTCCACCCGTTCTGGGACGATGTACCTTTCTTCAAGACTGAGCACAAGTCTTGGCGAGGTGGCATTTTCGAAGGCGACAATGCAGTTGTCTCGGAAGGTGGCGACGTACAGGGCATGGTCGCGCAGACTGGCAATGCTGACGCAGTGGACCGCGTGGACGACAATGCCGAGTTGATCAACGCGACCAGACCGCTTGAGAAAAGTCACAGCCTCCCGCTGGTGACGGAAAATGCTCGATCGGCGACATCAACGGGACTGTTTGGGAGAAAGATCTCGAAATCCTCGGCGCAGCCCTCAGCAGCAGCCTCGTCGACTAGTCTCGAGACAAAGCCGCAGCCAGTGCCAGTGCCAGTGCCGGTGTCGTCGCCACGCGCCACAGAGCCAGTTGTCGGGACAGATGCAGCCCATGCGGAGCTGTTCAAGCCGTCCTCCCCCCCTGCTACGGACAATGCAAGCTCATACATGGCTGCTCTGCAATCGAGGTCGCAAGAAGCATCTAAAGAGCAGACTACACCAAGTGGAACGCCATCAAAGCCAGCCTCAATAGCGCCAACGTTGAGCTATTCTTCTGCTTCATCTGCAGACAAGGAGCCTGAAACGCAGTCTGTCGAAATCTCCATGCCGCCGCCGGGACGCAGAAATACCACTTCATCATCAGAGTCAGCGTCCATGGGGGGGTTTGATGGCCAAGAACCTGCATCGCCAGCCTCATCAAAGACATCGTTCAAGGACCAGGCCGGCTCTCTTGGACGGAACTTCTTTTTGCGCCGCGAAAACTCGAATACATCGCTGCCCTCGGGCAAGGATGACTCATCTAGCGTGAACTCCCAGAAGAAGAACACACTCGCCGCTGTCACCAATGCCGCAGTGCAGGCTCGTCAATGGGGCTGGAATGCGATTCAGCGCCAAAAGGAGGCGCGTAAAAATGGCGAGGGACCAAGCAACCCGCAGGTGGACCTATCGCAGCCCATGGGCCGAGGACAGCCACTGCCACCTCCAGGAACGCCGTTACCTGGGCCGACGAATGGTCGAACGAAGATTGGTCCGGTGAACATTCCCAAAAGGAAACCTGTGGCATCTGGGTCACCCCCAGCGGATGCGGAGGACAAAGAACACGATATTACCCCGCCACCTCCTCCAGCGGGGAGAAGGAGGAGGCGAGCTAGCCATGACGTGGAAGGCACCAGCAACGCAGATGGAATGGGCATGCTGGTTGTGGAAGCGCCGGACGACGATGAGACGCCCGGAGTCGAAGAGAAGGACACATACTGGGGCGATGAGAGTATTTCCAGGACGCCCGTGGAAGAAACGATACCACCGCCTCGCCGCGAGGAGGACATTCGAAGTCGGAGCACCAGTCCCGAGAAAACCGAGCCTTTTGGAGCTATAGACGCGGACGATGGAGCTATAGACGCGGACGACGACACGGCCAAGTTGACGAAGTCAAGCTCAGCAGGATCGACCGGCCCAGCCAAACGGTCAGCTCTTCGACCTGCCAGTTCGGCCAAGGCACCAAGCCTTCGCTCCATCAGTCCTGGCAAGAGTCCCATTGTCGCACGGCCGGTCATTGATGAAGACGATGATTACTCGGGCTGGCTGGACCATGATGCCGACCCGCTGGAAGCGGACAAGGGCACTGAAGACGACAGGAAGATGTAGATGAGCATGCGATTATTTCAGCCTTGACAACACAGCGAAGGAGTTAGTTTTAGGATCTATGTCCTTTACAGTAATGATTGTCACGGTGGCGGGATTGTCAAATAGTACCTCCGATCAACAGAGCCGGCCGGGCATTGTGTTCACTATGTATGTATCTCGGTCTTGCGTCAATACCCGAGCTTGTTGAGTCTACTACTCCAGCTCACATTACCTGATCAAGGCTTCTCCCGGGCTGGCTCTATTCAATATCATGACCAGACCCATGCTCAATACTTATTTTATCAGCAAATGTATCCTCCATCTCCGTATCCTGCTCAGCGGGCGGAGGAGTTTCAGCGCCAGTGGGAGTGGCTGGCGGAGATTGGGGTCTTTGGTCGACATTTTGACGCCTGTGGGGACGGTCGTATTCTCAAACACCTTCATGAACTTGAACAAACTGTCGACAATGAACTTCTCACGCGCCACCGAAAGCTTGGCCTCAACGAGGGCGAAGACCAAGTAATCTGGGAAGCGCTGGAAGCGACGGCCTTGCAAATCCTCGACGGGTGGGTGAAGGTCGCCCTTGTCCTCGAAAAGGCGATTGATACGTGTCATGCGAACTTCCCAGTCGCAGACCTTCGCAGATATCATAGGCACCCACAATTGCATGTCCCTCATAAGACAGCGTACGCCGCAGGGGACCGGCAGTCGATACGCGCGGACCATGCAGTCCGCAACGTAGGCTAAGAACCATCGAAGTTTGATGGCGTGCAGAACGTCGACCTTGAATTTTGGGAAGCCTTCTCGCTCCTCAACGCCAGCGGTCTGGCAGATTAGGTTGTAGACCTCCCTGTCCGTACGGGCCTTGGCCCTTTTATCGACACGTGTGTATTGCACAAGCAGCTTGGCGAGCTCGACAGTCTTTCCGGCCGCTGCGAGGCGGTTGAACTTGTTCAGCAGCGCCTTATGCGACCCGCTGCCGGTCTGAGAGTGCGAAGATAAAAACTCCTCTGTGTCGAAGTCAGCTGGAAGCTCCGGGGCTCTCGGATCCGGATCAAGCACGCATTCAGGACCCTTGTAGGTGACTGTCTCCAATGCCTGCCAGCGTTTCTGAAAGGTGTTCTGCAGTGGCTCCAAGCCAACAAGGTCAGGCCACGACAACTTCCACTGGTCATTGCGAGTCGAGAATGTGAAGTTGTGGAAAATTCCGTGCCTGTTGATTGCAGACACACTGTCCGTAATCGAGCGACAGTAGCTATTGTAGGTCTCAATTTGTTCTTCCGAGGGTTTGGCGGGTTGAAGACGCTCATGGGTGTCTGATTTTTCCGTGTCTGCGAGGTATAGATTATCTGAGGATGTCAGATGGTTGATCACAGAGCTCGCAAATATCGAGCCGCAAGAACGACCGAGGGAGGTCGATTCCGGCCATGCCAGAGACTCGCTTTTATAGTCAGCAGCCGACAGCATGGTTGTGTTGACCACTTCCTGACCATTGGGGTCAAACCCCCCAACTTCGCGCAACATGTCCACCAGCCAAGAGCCCGAAAAGCAAGCTGTGGACAGGATTGTGGTGCGGCAGTCCGGATCCAGGGTCTTGAGTAGTTGCTTCGCGGTCACCACATAGGAAGCTCGATCAGCGCTGCTCTTCCCAACTTTCAGATCTGGGCAGTGATAGTTGAGCTCCAAGGTCGTACCCGGGGCACCATGGCAGAAAATCAGCAGAACCAGGGGAGCGTTTCGCGATGACGCTTCCTTGGACGCGATTTGAACTTCCTGCAGCCAGAGCTCCGGAATTGCGGCAGGCTGCACAACCTCAGGCATCGTGATTTCTCCTGACTTGATCAGAGGCTCGCTGAGAACGACCTTCCTGTCCCGGTATGGGTTGCCGTGCAACAGGTGGCCGATTGCTTCTTCGGGGGAATCATCCTTGGCCTTGCCCACAAGGGGATCGCACAATCGAACGAGCTCATTGGGAGCCTCGGAAGAATTAGACTCAAGTAGGGAAAAGAATTTATCTCGACCGTAGGAGGACAGCGGTAGGAACCGGCCCAAATACTCGATCAAAGACTTTGGTCAATACTTCTGGCCTGTTCTACCCAGAAAGCGCAGAGCCACATATCAAGTAAGTATTGGCCGTCGACTTCGATCGAATATTGGACCTAAGCCCTACCGCCGTCTTGCTATAGCTGTGGAAAGAAATTGACTTACCGCAGCTGTCAACCTGGGAAGGGCTGCCTTTTCTGAGGGCCAACCGCTGAGTCACTGACCAGGAATTTCGTCTGATACTAACAAATTTAAGTTTTCAGCGATACAAACGCACAGCTACACTCTCGAATTCCAATAGGCCAGGGCGTCGACTGAAGCGGGAAGTTAAGTTAGCCTCCAGGGAACATGAAGATGACACCGTCTTCAGATCAGAGCCATCTAGACATCACAAGCAACTTGGCAAGCAAATTGGCAAACATCGGCAAGACTCGGCTTCGTATTGGTCTTCAAAGCAACGCAAGCCGTAGCAATCGACGGAAGCCACTGCTCACCAATCCAGCGCTAATCGATCAACCCCTTCCATCAACCCCTTCATGACAGGTTCCGCCACAGCCCTTTCTTGCTTGACCTTGCCCAGCTGTCTCATGCGTGTCCAAAACACTGGGCAATCTTTGCTGTCGCAAGCGACATCCTCCAAGGCCCCCAGACCCGAGCATCCTCTGCAAATACTCAGCACTTCCTCGTAGCGCCTCTCCTCTCTTCTAAGCCTGTTTTGTAGTCGAAGGACGGAGGCATCGGTGCGAGTTCGGCAAGAGACGCATAGAGGCTGGTGTGTGCTGCCCTCGCCAGTGAACCTGCAAAAACAGACGACGCAGTGCGTGCTCTTCATGTAGGATTCCAACGTGGCCTTGCGCAGGCCACCCCCGTGTTGGTGGATTCGCTGGATCTTGGGCATCGCATCGTACCAGCCACGCACGTTCGCCCCGACCAAGTTAAAAATTCGCTCCAGTGGTGGTATGAGGTTCTTGGAGATGTAGTACTCAGCGTCCAGCTGCCAGTGGGGGTTGCGGAGTAGCTCTTCAGGTGCGACGCATCGATCAATGAGACGTGCCCCTGGTGCTCCCGTGATCACGACGTACGGCACTCGCTCGCCGTACTGCGGCTCGGCCCGTGCATCCTCCAGCATCCGCTTTGTGCTGATGAGGGCGCCAGCCGGGGGCAGCCCCTTGTCCGAGTACGTCCCCAGGCGGACCTCTTTAGCAAAACAGAAGTCCTGGACGGAGACTGTACCACGCATGATCTTCTCGCACTGCTTTTGGAAGTACTCCTTGATCTGGCTCAGATCGGCCGTCTCGAACAATAACTGCAATGCCTTCTCCTCAATCTTCTGCTCGGCCGGCGTGCCGTCACGACGAACAGTCTCGATACCCTTGGCGTCAAACTCGGGCCTGACCTGGTCCTTACTCTCGTATTTGTAGCCAACGTATCGTTTCTTGGCAAGCAGGACACACGGGTGGTACACCTTTTCGAATTTGAGCTTGACAGGGCGGGGATTCATGTCGGTAATCTGCATAGCCATTTCGCGGCCAATGTCGAATGCTTCATCGCGCGTCTTACCTTTCAGGTATACGAATAGGCTGTCCGTGTCACCATAGACAACCTCAGCCCCCCACTTCTCTACCGAGTGTATGTAGGCAATCGCACGTTCGAGGGTTTCACGTCCCGTTTGCACGATACTGTCCGCAATTTCAGAGCACGGCATTCGGCCTGAGAAAGAAGCGGACGTGTAGCCGTAAGTGACGTTGGCCAGTAATTTGAGGGCAAGCTGTCGGTTGTTGAGGAGCTTCTGTAGGGTCTTGTCATCCTTGTCTTGTTTCATGCCGCTCTTGACCATCACGCGCGTTTCCAGAATCTCCGTAAGCATCTTCGCAAGCAGCGATTTGCGAATCTCCGTTTTGACGTACATCATCCCGTTTGGCGTAATGTTGATGTAATCTTCCAGCAAGGCCAACAGGCCTTGTTGCCGTTTGTACTCGGCGAAGCCCATCTTGCTCATGCCACGCCAGTTGGTAATGCGCCCCAAGAAGGTCGAATAGCATAAGTTGTAGGCAATCATGACACTTGGGTACAGACTCTGAAAGTCAAGTACGAGCAAGGGACTGCTGTAAAAGGCACTCTGCGGTTCCATGACGAGAGGCAGACATTCCAGCGCATTCTGCCCTCCAACCTGCTTCCGACTAGGTGACACTAACAAGAAGTTCTCCGGCTTCGCTATCCTGAACATGATGGACTCGACCTTGTACTGCGACCCGCGCGAGAAGACCGAGAAGAAGTCCACGCCAAGAAGCCTAGCCTGCTCACTGGTCCGGGGGATCAACTCATTCGCCTCAAGAATCTGCATGTCAAGCTTGGTTCGAGTTTGGTAGTATCCAAGTAGTTTGGCCAAGTCCCGGGGTTTGCCGCTGACGTACCAGCTGGAGAGCGTTTTCCATGAATAATGGGGGATTCGGCGATGCAAAGTATGCCAGACCACGTTCTCCATCGTGTACTGGAGCAGGTTCAGCTCACCGCGCATAGCACGCCAAATGTTGATCATGTGTCGACCAGTGACACGAATGGTCGACGTTGTCGTGAAGCCCCAGCGATCTGCGTCCTTCCCGAATCTGCCGTGCGACTCTGTCTTCACTCGGGAAAACTCATCGCAGAGGTTGTAATCATACTTGAGGCGAGCTCTCTCAATCAGAAAGCCCCATGAGCTCCCGTGGACCTCGTACCCTGTCAAAACATCCGGGTCATGGGTTCGCACAATTTCCACCATGCGGACCATCAGGTCAAGCTCGCTCTTTTCATGGACAACCTCCCCATTGCACTGCTGCTGGATGCGCCGTATCAAGTCACCGCCTTCGCAAAAGACAATCATGCCAGACTCTGTGCCGTCGGCCGCATCTTGGCTGTTGGCTGCGACCTCGTCCGATTTGATCGACCAGAAGATGCATTGTACCTCATCTTCTTCAGGGTTTGGCACAAATTTACCCCTGGTGTTCACATGGATCTCCATACTCATGGTGCTCATGTACTGAACCTCATGCTGCACACTAGTCGACTTCTTCTTCTGCGTATACAAGAGGCCATGCTTGGTCCTCGGCGTAGGGCCCTCGATTTGAGACAAGTAGCGTCTCTGTGTTGATAGGACTTTGTTATGCTTTTGCTTCTGTCGCGCCGCCGCCGTAGCACCCTTTTCGTCCCACCACTGTGCCACCTCGTCGTATGTTGGAGGCGGTTCTGCAAACTCCCAATTCCGCAACGTGCATTTCTTTCTTTGGCGCTCGTACGCAAGCTTCGTCGAGGCTTGGTCCGTGGGCTCATCTCTTTTTCCAGAATGTACCCCAATGGTGAGCCCACTTGGGTCAAAGTCAGGCAGAAATGGCAGGGTACTGCCCTCTAGCTTGAATTCGCGCCCTGCGTACTCCCGTGCCCGCGATGGAACATCTGCCTCTTTACTGTAATGGGCTTCTTTGTAGACAACATCCGGTAGGCGATGGTCCAGTGCGGTCAAATTAGCTGACGTATGCTCGGGCGGGCTCTGAGCAAATACAAACAGCTGGGATCCGTTGGCAGCGCTCGCAAGGGTCCGCTGTAACTTCTCTAGGTGACCTTGCGCTTGCTTGCCGTCTAGTTGTTGGAAGGATGATGGCAGCCCGTAAGATGACGCTGACCCCAAATCAGCGAATGAGCTTGGTGGATCAAAGGTTACAGTTTTTCGTGGAGTAGCATCGTCGCTCTTAGAAGGCGTGGTGAGACTGGCGTGGCTGCTCTGCGATTTGGGCAGGTTTTCTAATGGATCCTTGACAACGGCGAAATCCAGTCTCCCAGTAGTCGCCATTCCAGACTGACGAGGTTTCTGCGGAGTCCTGGAGCTGTGTTCAAGGTCAGAGCCACCCATGCTCCTTTCATTGAACGACTGCTTATTCAAACCAGTGCTCTGGCTGGGTCTAGGTACTGTAGCGAATCCAGGAGTTGGTGTGACAGGAGTTGGCCTGATTCTCTTGGAGGCAGAGGCCGTCATGGTAAAAGACCCCTTGCGTTTTTGTGCAGGCGTCATTGACGACACACCGTCGCCAGTTGCACGGATTCGTCCCACCAAGCCTTCATCCTCCGCAATGTCGAGGAGCTCCTGGCATACCGGGATTTTGGGAATCCTGCCGGTTTTGAAAGCACTGGCGCAGACCCCTTTGATGTTCTCACCCAGAGCTTTGTTTCCGCTTGAAGCAGAAGCAGAAGCAGCCGCCGCCACAAGATCTTCTTCAACATCTCCATGACCGGAGCCGTGGGGAACCAAATCTCGTAAAGCCTCCTCATCTGAATCTTCTGGGAAGAAGTCTTCATCGCCGGTTCTCGCCCGGACTACTTTCCGTTCATCGACTTCGATGCTTCCGGTTGGGTCTAGCTGATCGTTTGCATCTTTGGCTGGGAGACCGAGCAATGGCAGCAGGTTTGCGGGATAGAGATCTTCTACCGACTGGAACGCCGTCCTGATCTCGGCCCCGTTGCTCAGCGTGTGGGCAAAATTGTCGAAGGAAACTTGTCCCCCTAAGCTTTCCTTCTCCTTCCCAATCAAAGATTTGATAAGATCGCGATACTCGTCTTCATGAACCCACCCCGTTGGCTGTGACTGGCGTGGGTCGGCTGACATGGTGACCAAGACCTCGGGAGGGAATGGCGTACTGCCTTTCTTCGCGATGCCTGCCCGTACCTGCCGCCGTTTTGTCTCATCCTTCCACAGCCCCGCCATGCTCGATACGAGTTTGACATCGCTGTGCAAAGGGTTGGCGCGCTCGGTGAAATCATGGTGAATAGGCCGCTCTTGAATGAGCTGGCGGTTCAGTATGTCCTGTACACATATGTCTACTTCGATTGAGCAGTGGCTGACTCTGGGCAGGGCAGGGTCGTCGGTAACCTGGTCGGGGTCCACAGACTGACTGTGCCAAATGTGAGAGGAGTGAACACCATCATCACGATCAGGAACCGGGGCTCTGAAACGTGTTTTTCGTGTATCGAGATAGTCGCAGCCGTAAAGATTGTAGTCTGTCATGAACTGCAAAAGGTACTGCAGGTGAGCCTCGTATGGTTGGAATTTGCGCTTCATCACGACACCCTGCTGTAGCAGGTCCGACAGTCGGCTCATAACGATGGGGTTGAACATGTAGATCTTGAGGAAGCATCGGTAACCAACATGGAAACCGTAGAATGGCACGCCTTTCACCAGAGTGATGCGCGCTACGAATCGAGCACCGTCTCCATGTTGATCACGTCTGTAGCTGACAGCCAAGGCATGGTCGATGGACAAGTGAAGGCGATAGATGAATGCGCCGACTGAGTGCAGGTTAGCTAATGCTTGTACAACTGAGCGCAGTTGGCGTTATTCACCCTCATCCTTGCCCAGGTCGCCATCATATTCCACATAAAGGTACGGAAACGCTCCGTGAATATGAGCACACACTTTTTGACCAGTCTCGGTGGCTCCAAAGACTCTCACCACCGGAACTTTTGGGCCCTTTGACACTTGCGATGGGCGCACATCATTTCGGAACCGAGGGTCATAACGGGTGGGCGACGCTTGATAATGGTCGATGCAGTTGATTCTGACCCGGAAAAGGTCTATATCCTTCATTCTGTGGATCCATCGGAGCACTGGCGATCAGTGCATGCCTGATCGTCGAGTTATTCAGGGAGTTCTGTATGATACGCAATCGCACTGCGCTTGAGGCGAGCATGACGCGACTGGTGGAACGCGGACGGTCGCGAGATCACGTGCGATAAGCCATTTATCTTTCCCATGTTCGCGCGAACATTATGGCTGACCTCACGGAAAGGAAGAATCGCACCTCCCAACGCTTATACAACAACAGGCGAGTGCATATTCAACAATCAGCAGGGATTCGATTTATTTCTCTCCGTTCTCAGTTTCCACGCGCATCAAAATGCCAGCACCGCCGAACAAACCTCCGCCTGAACCAGCAGCTGCGTCCAAGGAGGAAAACATCTACATACCCTCTTTCATCAGTAAAAAGCCATTCTATGCCATTGACGGCGAAGATGAGAACGACTACCTGCAACATCAAAGACGAGAGCGCAAGGATGAGAAATCACAATGGTACGATCGAGGGAGGAAAGCCGGCCCTGCCGCCACCAAATATCGCAAAGGCGCATGCGAAAACTGCGGTGCTATGACACACAAGGCGAAAGACTGCCTAAGTCGACCGAGAGCAAAAGGTGCGAAGCATACAGGGAAGGATATACAAGCAGACGAAATTGTGCAGGATGTCAGGCTTGGCTGGGATGCGAAGCGTGACCGCTGGAACGGATATGATGCCAAGGACTACCGAAATGTGGTCGAGGATTTCAACCAAATGGAAGAGCTACGCAAGAAAGCGCGAAAGCCAGGCGAGGGAGATATTGCCGAGGACGAGGACAAGTATGCCGAAGAGAACGACATGAGCAAACATCAGAGCACAGCAACAAGACAGCTCCGCTTACGAGAAGACACGGCAAAATATCTACTGAATCTTGACACCGAGTCAGCGAAATACGATCCAAAAACTCGCGCCTTGGTGGATGGTGGCGCGACAAAGGACAAGGCAGCAGACATGTTTGCTGAGGAAGGATTCACTCGCTCATCGGGTGACGCGGGCGCTTTCGAGAAAGCTCAGAGGTACGCCTGGGAGACGCAAGAAAAGTCGGGCGACACCTCGCAACACTTACAAGCCAACCCAACAGCGGGCGAGTACTACCGCAAGAAGGATCTGGAAGAGGCCGAGAGGAAACGTGCAGAGAAAGAGAAGGCCCTGCTCGAAAAGTATGGAGGAGGCAGCACCAAATCAATGCCAGCCTCCTTGCGAAAGCTGGCGGTCACGGAATCAGAACAGTTTGTTGAGTACGACGAGGCTGGCTTGATCAAGGGTGCACCAAAGAAACAAGCCAAGTCCAAGTACACCGAGGACGTCCTGATCAACAACCACACGTCAGTATGGGGTAGCTGGTGGTCAAACTTCAAATGGGGCTACTCGTGCTGCCATTCATTCGTCAAGAACAGCTATTGCACAGGCGAGGAGGGCAAAAAGGCATGGGAAGCCGCAGAGATCCAGCGCTCTGGTGCCAACCTCATAGAAGAGGCGCCGGCTGAAAACCCAGAGGACAAGCGCGACGTCAAGGACGGTGATGAAAAGACGCTGCCGTCGAAGAAAAGGACGCGCGAGGAGATGATGAATGGGGTCTCGGAGGCAGAGATGGAAGAGTACCGGCGAAAGAGGACTGCGGCAAATGATCCCATGGCGAACATGTTAGGCAAGGATGACCTTCTGTAGCTTACGAGCTAGCAACATAATCTTGTCAAACATAAGCACATGTGGTGTTCAATTCGCGTTGTTCAGGGACATGCAGTACATTGGCGAAATCATTCCATTTTCCTCTGGCGAACGCCGTGACTATGACGAGACACCGTAACCCATAAGTGGTATCTCCCTTGCCCCATGCCCGGGCTTAAAAGGGAAGCCGTTAACACATTTCATGCTTGGTGTTGCATTTACTCGTCATCCTCCTCCTCCTCCTCGCCGTCACCGCCCTCGGCGGCCTTGGCCTTCTTTCTGCGGACACGGCCGGGACGGCCTCCACCGAATGGCGAGGTAAGGGAGAAGTCGATGTGCTTCTGGGAGTCGAGGCGGACAATGAATGAGGGAACATTGACGATCTGCTTGCCGACGCGAATGTGACGCTGGCGGATCAGGACACGGGCGTGGTGGATGGACTTGGCAAGGCCGAGCTTGTAGACGCAAGTCTGGAGACGGCGCTCCAAGAAATCCTCGATCTTCAGGGCCAGGACGTAATCGAGCTTCATGCGGGACTCGTCGAGGACACCAACGCGAACGAGACGGCGAATCAAGGCGTTACCCTCGAAGAGGCGCTTGGGGTCCTTCTCGTCGAGAGTGAGGAGCTGACTACACCAGTGTTAGCGAAACCAATCGCGAGGCCAGCCTGGCGCTACACGTACCGGGCAGCACGACGGATCTTGGACAGAGTCAGACCGACACGCCAGACCTCACGCTTGTTGCGCAGGCCATACTCGCCAACGAGCTTCAGCTCAGAGTCCCTGTGGTGTTGGTCAGTTTCGAGGTCACAATCGACTTAAACAGAGGCAAGCTCTTGTTCAGTGGCCGGTGATACTGACAATCGAGCGGCCTCGAAAGGGCGACGAGGGACACGCGAGGTCTTGGAGTACGCGCGAGGAGGCATCCTGAAGAGTGATTAGATGATGTCGCGAGACAGATTGGCAGCGTAAGAACGTACTTGACTTGCTCCTGGGGATGTTGTCGTGTGGGAGTAACTTTTTCGGCAGAGGGACAAGAAATCGTGAGGTTGTGGGGTGTAATTTTTGGCGACGGGCAGCTGCGGCAGGATCACGTGCGATGGTAGCCGCAGCCCTAAGAAATCCAAGCTGCCCCGCCCCGCGCGACACTTGCCCTACGACATTCTGCCCTCTGCAAAAAATATCCTGGGAAAACTCCTCGGATTAACTGGTCTTCCGCCCGCACAAGCCCGCCGCCGCACAGCAAATCCACAACACCAAGTGAAGGCTTGAAGTTGCCATCTCCACGCCAAATTTGTTCACGACCATCACGACAACTCCCCACGGCCACCAGACAATACCGACGCCATGGGTCACTCATACGGAAAGCGTGCGGGCACCCGCGTACGTTTGCCCTCGAATTGACGATACCGAAGATGTCGAAGACTAATTGAGATCGCAGTATGCCTTCAGCAGGGACTTCCGCAAGAAGGGTATGATCAACATGTCTACCTACTTGCGCCAGTACCGGTCAGTTTTCACGGTCGAGCGAATCGAGTCGAGAGCGAAATACTGACAACTTGGACAGCGTTGGCGACATCGTGGACATTAAGGTCAACGGTGCTGTGCAGAAGGGGTATGGACAAATCCGCCGAACAACACACGAGGAGGATAGGAAAACTGACAATATGGAATAGTCTCCCCTTCAAGGTCTACCACGGTAAGACCGGCGTTGTCTACAACGTCACAAAGACCTCCGTCGGTGTTATCATCTACAAGAAGGTCTGGGGCCGCTACATCGAGAAGCGCATCAACGTCAAGATCGAGCACGTCAGCCCCTCCGGCTCGCGTGACGACTTCCTCAAGCGCGTCAAGGAGAACGCCCAGAAGAAGAAGGAGGCCCGCGCGAACGGCACTGTCGTCGAGGTGAAGCGTCAGCCCGCCCAGCCCCGCCCGGCACACACCGTGTCGTTGACCGACAACCCCCCCGAGACCCTCACTCCCCTGCCTTACGAGACGACGATTTAAGGGAGATTTTGGGAAAAACTGTGGTTCTCGCGTTCTTTTTCTTGGGGTGTTACGTCCGGATGGGAAAGAAATGAGCATGGCAAGGGTCTGCATTTCGAGGTCTATAGGGAAATACGACCCGGTGACACTTAACAAGTCTGAACTGCGTCTGGCGAAATTGATTCTACGGACGATTGCATGATGAGAGACGAGACACGACAAGTCTGCCCTCCAACAGAACCTGTTGGCAATCCCCCGTCGCAGCAGAAGCAGAATGTCAAGGAGAGTATGGGCACAGGTTAGTCGTGACGACGCTGCAGCTGCTTGCTTGGCAATAATAATGCGTGCCGTCTATATGGAGTGCACTCTGCGAGGCTAGGCTATTCACATCCGTCCGCGAGGCGTTGCGTCGCTGAAGGTAGTAGATTTCGTAGAGCAAATTCACGTAAATCATCCCATACAGCCTCATTACTGGCACAGCGAACTCTTAAAGTTCTAACTCAACTGAATCTCGTCAGGCTGACTTCGTCTCATGCTAATAGCGCGGAAATTCTTCGGTGCGCAGCTGTTGGGCTCCACCATGATGTAGCTCCACGCCGTGGCTGCCTGTTGATGAATCTCAGCCACGGAGCTGTCGCATCTCTCCTAACACGCCTCGTCAAGGCTGACGACAGCTTTCTTCAACAGCCATCATCTAGCGTTGCGACGCTCCCACAGCTGTGCTTTTCGCTCGCATTCACGCATACTTAGGTGCATCAACCTTTTCAAGCTGCGCCTCAGCCCTCTCAAGGTACAGGCGTGCGTGCCTGCACTCTCCCCGCGACATACTGGCGGCCCCATTCAACGTTGCTCCTACAACCCGAGGCTTGCGGTCCCAGGAGCCCATCATGACGTCCCTCCGGAGCGGTCAACATACCCAGTATGCCAATGACTACGATTGCCTCTTCCAAGGCTCAGTATCCCGTGAAACCCGCTAACGGCTGTGCGCCATCAGGACCGATCAGGAGCTCGCGGTCAACATTCGAAAGGCAACAAATGGCGAGGAGATCTCTCCCAAACGAAAGCATGTGCGCGCATGTATTGTCTACACATGGGACCACAAATCCTCGCAGGCCTTCTGGGCCGGCGTCAAGGTGTAAGTCAGACAACATCCAGCGTCGAGGTTCCACTGACCTCCGCGTGTAGCCAGCCCATTGCTGCCGACGAAGTCCAGACATTCAAAGCGCTGATCACAATACATCGGGTTCTGCAAGAAGGTCATGTTGTCGCTCTTCGAGAGGCAATGGCGCACCGCAACTGGATCGACAGCCTGAAGCGCGGTGTGAACGGGGAGGGCGTTCGCGGCTACGGTCCCTTGATCCACGAATATGTGTACTACATCCTCGCCAAGCTCTCATTCCACCACGCGCACCAGGAGTTCAACGGTACATTCGAGTACGAGGAGTACATCAGCTTGAAGGCCATCAACGATCCCAACGAAGGCTACGAGACGATCACCGACCTCATGGCGCTACAAGACAAGATTGAGCAGTTCCAGAAGTTGATCTTTTCACACTTCAGGCATGTTGGTAACAACGAGTGTCGAATCTCAGCGCTGGTGCCTCTGGTACAAGAGAGCTACGGTATCTACCGATTTATCACCAGCATGCTACGTGCTATGCACTCAAGTAGGTCACCTACCGCGATGAATAGAGGTCGCTCACTCACACTGCACAGTCACTGGCGATGATGACGCTCTGCAGCCTCTACGAGAGCGATATGATGCCCAGCATCACCGCCTGGTCAAGTTCTACTACGAATGCTCCAACCTACGATACCTGACCAGTCTGATCCCGATCCCCAAACTGCCGCAAGATCCCCCGAGTCTGCTAGGCGACGACGAGTCTGCACCCGCTCTGCCGGCCCGCCCCAAGCAGGAGATTGAGCGCAAACCAACACCACCCGTGGAACCCAAGACAGAGGAGCCCGGTGAGGTTTCTGAGTTCTGGAAGGGCGAATTGGACAGGCAAAACCGGGAATACGAAGAGCAGCAGCGCGTGATGGAAGAAAGGCAGCAAGCGCAGCTTCTCGCTCAGCAGCAGGCTCAGCTCCAGGCCCAGCGCGACTTCGAGGAGCAGCAGCGACATTTGGCCGAGCAGCAGCACCGGGAGCAGGAGGCCCTCATGGCGCAGCAGGCTCAGTGGCAGACGCAGGGTCGCTTGGCTGAGCTTGAGCGCGAGAACCTGAACGCTCGCGCTCAGTATGAGCGAGACCAGCTGATGCTTCAGCAGTACGATCAGCGTGTCAAAGCCCTCGAAGGCGAACTTTCCCAAATCTCGGGCAGCTTTGGCCAGCAAATGTCGAGCAGAGACGAGCAGATCCAGGCTCTGCAGGAGCAGGTGAACACCTGGCGTACCAAGTACGAGTCACTGGCCAAGCTGTACTCTCAGCTTCGTCAGGAGCATCTGGATTTGCTTCAGAAGTTCAAGGCCGTGCAGCTCAAGGCAGCCAGCGCGCAGGAGGCCATTGACAAGCGCGAGAAGCTGGAGCGCGAGATCAAGACGAAGAACCTCGAGTTGGCCGATATGATCCGTGAACGCGACCGTGCATTGCACGACAAGGACCGGTCTACCGGCAGCAGCAAGGACGAGCTCGAGAAGCTGCAGCGCGAGCTTCGTATGGCTCATGACCGCGCTGACAACCTCGAGCGCAGCAAGGGCAACGAGCTGTCTACGATGCTAGCCAAGTACAACCGCGAGATGGCGGATCTAGAGGAGGCCCTGCGCCTCAAGTCGAAGGCTCTGCAAGAAGCTCAAAGCCAAGCCCGCGATGGTAGCTCAGACCTTGAGCAGCTGCTTCGCGACAAGGAGGAGGAGCTCGAGGTGTACAAGGCTGGCATGGACCAGACGCTGATCGAGCTGAACGAGCTGAAGAACGGCCAGGGTGAAACGGACCAGGCTTTGGACGGCCAGATTGATGCCCTCATCATGGCCAATCTGGACAAGATCAACGACATTATTGATTCCGTGCTGCAGTCTGGAATCTCGAGGGTGGACGATGCGCTGTATGAGATGGACTCGACCATGCAGGCCGGCAACTCAAATGCTTCGCCGTCATATGTGCTGTCGCAGATCGAGAAGGCCTCTGCCAGTGCCATGGAGTTTGCCACTGCCTTCAACAACTTCATCGCGGATGGCCCCAACAGCACACACGCCGAACTGATCAAGGCGGTCAACGTCTTCTCCGGGTCCGTGGCCGATGTGTGTAGCAACACGAAGGGTCTGAGCCGCCTCGCCACAGACGACAAGAAGACCGACACGTTGATGGGCGGCGCGCGACAGTCTGCACTGTCGACAATCCACTTCTTCCGAGGCCTACAGAGCTTCCGCTTGGAGGGCATGGACCCCCTTCAAAAGACGGATGTTGTCATCAACAGCAACAACGACGTGCAGATGAACCTGCAGAAGCTGAACAAGATGGTGGAGGCGTTTGCCCCTGGATTCGGCAACCTGACCAAGAACAAGGGCGATCTTGGCGACCTCGTCGACTCCGAACTCAACAAGGCCGCGGACGCCATTGCAGCAGCAGCGCAGCGACTGGCGAAACTCAAGAACAAACCTCGCGATGGGTACTCAACATATGAGCTCAAGGTGCACGACTCGATTTTGGATGCCGCCACGGCCATCACCAACGCCATCGCGCAGCTCATCAAGGCCGCGAGCAAGACACAGGACGAGATTGTGCAAGCTGGTCGAGGTTCATCCTCTCGCACGGCCTTCTACAAGAAGAACAACCGCTGGACCGAAGGGCTTATCTCTGCGGCCAAGGCAGTGGCATCTTCAACCAACACGCTCATTGAGACTGCAGACGGAGTCTTGAGCAACCGTAACAGCCCCGAACAGCTCATTGTAGCGTCGAACGACGTCGCGGCCTCCACGGCGCAGCTTGTGGCAGCGTCCAGGGTCAAGGCTGGATTCATGTCCAAGAGCCAGGAAGGCCTCGAGCAGGCCAGCAAGGCCGTCGGGGCGGCTTGCCGAGCACTGGTGCGCCAGGTGCAGAGCATGATCAAGGAGCGCAACCAGGATGACGACCAGGTGGATTACACAAAGCTCGGATCGCACGAGTTCAAGGTGCGGGAAATGGAACAGCAGGTAAGTCCGTCAAGTCCGCCACTCCGCCTGCGCACCTCAGGACCCTTTCATCAAAGTACCGAGCCTCAACCGCTTGTCGCTGGCTGGCAGAGTAGTTCCGTCGACATTGGCAGAAACGAGGGGGCTCTGGCCCCCCTCTACGGGCACATGTCCGGACAGTTACATTCAACTTGGACTGTTGGTTTGAGTGCAGTGACAGACAGAACTGCGTCTCTCGCCAGGCTGTCACACTGTGACATAGCATCTCACATAACCCCAGCACCGCTAGCGCCAACACAAGTTTACTCCAGTCCCTATGAACTGCCAACCTACCTACCTACCTACCTCAAGCACCTTCTGCCTTATTTATCCCTGTTCAGTGGCTAACGTCGGTTCTTCTTCCCAGGTGGAGATTCTCCAACTCGAAAACGCGCTGGCTTCTGCTCGACACCGCCTTGGCGAGATGCGCAAGATTTCGTACCAAGAAGATTGAGCGAGTCTTGAAGATTGCACCTGTTGTTCTCGTTATATTTTTCTCTGTTACAAACCACTGTGTATACCCATACAATTCTGCCTCAGGACATATCCTCGTGATACCGTGTATTGACGAGCGTGCAAGCGGTCTGCCCTCTGCTGGAGGTCCGTGTGTTGGAAGTGTTCAACTTTGGTAAGGGAACCCTGGCGCTGTGGCAGTACAGTACAGCCAATATCGTCACATTTGCTTCTATTTGTGCCGCGAGGCTGGCAACATGCAGTGCAAAACGGTGAGTCCACCACCGAATCTCGAACACTGCAGCATCCTTCATTGTGATCTGTCGCCCTTGTCTTACGTTTGGTCTGTTTCCTGGAAGTTGGTACCTGTGCTACTCCTCCTCACACATCCCCCATTGGGTATTCCGCTGCCAGGAACATGGACAGTCCGCTCGGCAACTCCGTGCGATGGTTGTACGGAGCGTGTGGTGCCGCAACAGGTGCACATGGCGCCGCACAAGGCCACAGCTAAACAGGCGCTACTACTGTACCAGACAATCACACTTTGTATACGAGCTGTGAACGCGTGTCAACATACCGCACAGATCGGCATTGACCATACATGAAGATTGGCTTCACGCCAGTCTCTTTGCTTTCTCGGGCACATGCGTTGATGTGCGACTGAGACACAAGGAGGATAGTATGGGAGACTTCATCGTCATATTCTAATTAAGAAACCAAAAAAAAATAAAAAGTAATTAGCTTATTTTGGCTGACGCTTGTTGGCAGGTGGCCTACGGCTTGGATATGACAGTATAGTACGGAGTATCTGTAGGTATTTCAGAATCCAAACGGCACCAGCGTGCGTCTTCCCGGCAGGGATGTTGCGATTCACCAAAGCGTCATTGGAGGACAGGTTGCTCAGTGCGGACATGTCACTTTGGACCCCTGCAAATCATGCATGACGTTCTGGTGAGAGACATGGATCTCCCCCAGTTCTGAGCCCTAGGCGGCTCTGAGGGTGCGATGGGGCCAAGCGTGCTGCAGCCGAGCTGCGGGAGTATAGCTTTCCGGCCCTTGCCTCCATCGCAAGACCGGACGGAGGCTATTGGCTGTTCGCACTTGTTGGCTTTGTTTCCGTTTTACTTGCAAATGGGAATAACCGGATGTTGTCCAGGACGATGTGATCGGAGCAGGACCCTCGGCTCCGAAGCTGAGGCACGACGAATCGGAGAAGAATCACCGGCCCTAACTGGGCGAGTTGCGCTACTCGGACGTATCATCGTGTCGCCCGCGCCAGGTGATCTCGCCTACCTGCAGTCGCACGCACAGTGCCTTGTCGGTCAAGTCGTTTTTCCTTTTTGCTCGTCACGCCGTGCGCCCGCTGTCGGCGGAGTCCAGACTCCGTCCTCCGTCCTTCTGTACATACTGTACCAAAAGCGTTGACAGGAGTACCATGTCCCCTGCCAAGCACACTCTCGAGCCCAGTTGTGTCGTTTGAAATGATGTTGTCATCATCTCGCTGTCACTGGGTCGATCAGGCTAACCCAGACACTGACGGCATGAGCACGACCCTTGAAGAGACATACTGCGATTCACAGAGATGGCAGATAGCAGAGCAACGGCATTGCATATAGGGAAGGGTGTGATCATGGTGCCAGTTGAGGTTGTGAGTGGATCCGCGGAACTATCACCGCAGTGAGCCGGCGACGCTGTCGCGCAACCAGGTAATGCCCCGGTGTGTCCTTGCTGCTTTACCGACGAATGGAGCCTCCACTAGCTTGGTCTAAGTCTAGTAGGCGAGCTTGGTCAGCTGTCGGTCCCGCATCCGATCACCCACACGATCGCTGACAGGGGTAGCCCAGCTTGCTGAACTGCTGAGGGATGGATTTGAGGCGGCTAATGAGGGAAAATGTTCGCTAGCGAAGCCATCTGTCTTGCATAAGGTATCGTTGGTACATAGCCGCTTTGGATACCGTATCAGGACTGGTGCCTCGATGGACACTTGGAAAGTATGAGTGCTGCCTAAACTAAGCGCAGGTACGTTTACCACGCAGGGAGCGAATGGAGAACAGGAGACTGCTGCGCGCTCACAAGCTAAAAACGTGCTTCACTCTGCAAAGAGGGTGTCAAGAGGATGAACTAACGTTAGTTCCTGAGTTGGATGCACCTTTGACAGGCAGCTTGGCATGAGCTAATGGCGCGGCGACCAATAGTATCTCGATCCTCAAATAAGGCCATTGTGGGCAAACGGACAAGATTGGGTCTGTCCCCCGACGCCAATTATCGCCTCCAGAATCTTTCCACACCACGTCTAATTATGACAAGAGTCCAACCAGACACGGACAGGCCTGGCATCTGCAGCAGTACACTTTTCCAGCGCCGCACTGCGTCTGGCGTTGGGCAAGCCACGAGCTGGACAAGGCTGCTCCAATCCCAGCGCGCCCGGAGCTGTGATATGTCTCAAAGAATAACAGATTTCATGTTGTTAGTGCGACTCGTCCGTCGGTCTGCGGTCTGCTGCAGCTGCAGCTGCAGCTGCAAGCCCACCCAGCGCAAAAGCCATACTGGATGCAACGTCGCGCCAGCCCTGTGAGCTCACAGACCAACCGCCCCCAAACCCAAAGACAGAGATAGAAAGATGCGCATGAACGGTCTAGTCTTCGACGTCCGAGCTTCTTGACACTATGCACGGGCAAGTACAGGCAGTGTTCTGCCCCTTCGCGCGCATACCTGATCGACAGATGGCTGATGCCTCTCCCGTCTTGGTGCCCTTTCTTGTGGCGGGAGGGTCCTGTTGACGCGCCCCGGTATTTTTTTGCTTTCACCCTTGACACCATCTGCTGCAGGGCAGGCGAGGCCGCGAGGGATCTTCCATTTTTGGCGTCGTGCTGGACGAATGATTACAGCATGCCATACCTGTTGTCAGCGGCTGTCCCCATGGGGCCTGTGGTGAGAGAACACTGTGTAGATTGCTGGGGTCGAGCTTCTGGGAGTGCCCTTCGACACAGTGGTCTGAGACATGGCAAAACAGCGCCATGTGCGATATGATGCCGACGACATCAATATAAGCGCAAGCACTTCGCCGCACAACAAACGCTTAGGGACCTTCCCAGGTCATTGTAGGCCTTGACCGAACTCGATTCCGGTCTTGTTCTGGGCAGTTGGACTTTAGCAGGACTTGGTCTCCTCGGCCCTCGCGTTTTATAAGAGTCGGTCGATGGGACCCTTTTGGAGGTGCGGTGGGTCTGTCTGTCTGCACGACAAGGATCTGCAAGTTTGCTCTAGCCTCTAGGTGTGGGTGACTATCCTCCATTTGTAATAAAGCTTCGTCCACGAATCCCTGATCCCTGTGACGTCTGCAGGCTCTAGGATGCATCAGGGGCGGTTCGCTGCCTCAGCCCCACTCGATTTAGACGTCTTCTCTTGACAACGAGCACCCGGACATCGTCACTTAGTCACTGCACTTGCGCAATTGGAGCTTGGTGATGCCGATGGTGCCTAACAAATACTAAAACTCGGGACAAAAGCGTACATGTTTGACTGTATCAATTTTTGTTTTGGCTGTGATGCGTCAAACAAGATACCGAATGCTATGTTGAATGTTGCGTGCATTCGGATCGGCAAATAAGTCCAAAGCAAGTAAATATCGCGTATATCATTAAACTCCTCAGCTCGTGGGAGCTCAAGTGATCTATCAAAATATCATCATACCCATGCCTCCCATACCGTAAATCCATGTAAGAAAGAAGACCATGTGAACGCCAAGCACCTCATCGCAATGCCTACAGTATTATACTTCGCTCCGATCTTGAAGTCGCAGATCGCTATGCGGCTCAGGTAAATTTAGTGCAAGGTCACGAACAGCCAATTGGGACAACTCACCGATCATTGCCTCATGGCATGCGGTTTATCGGCGCAAATGCGTGATTCAAGGGCTAGTAAACATGGCGTCCCAGCTCTCCTTCATATTGAATTCGTTCCAACTCTCGTCGTTTCCAGTGGGCGCAAACGTTTCCTCCAAATTTTCGAAGAAGTGGTTTGGCTCACTCGAGGATGCCATTAAGTCTTTGTCAGACAACGTGCCGTCGAGTGTTGTGAGAAATTCATCGACGCATCCCCAATTGCCTTCGACAGCTGTGTTCGAGAAGAAGTCCTGCTGGTCTAGCATAGCAACGTCGTTCTTGATGAGAACTTGAGACGCCATATCTGCCGGGGAAGCCTCGAGAACATGCGGGTGCCCGTTTCGAGTCGCATTGTTTGTCACCGCAGCGAAGTGAGCTTGCGCTGGTGGTTGGGTCGACTGGCTCGTGAAATATGGAGGCTCACTTGGGATCTGCTTCTGAGAAAAATGTTGATGAGGCGCCAGGCCTTCCGTTTGAACAGTGTGTTTCGGTCCCCAGGAGTACTTCTGGCGTGGTAGTGCCGGTCTTTCATTGAAGTCGGCAAATGGCATGTTAGGTTCGAACAGGACATTCTCGGCTGGCATAGGTACAGGGCTTGCTTGAGCTGCACGAATTAAAATCGTGCCCAGGCCAAGGGAAGATTCTGGTGAACTTACGCACTGGTGGTTCATAAATCTGGTGTCTGAAATGCTTCATAGCCTGCTCTGTCGTCGTGCAGGGTTGCATAGTGTACGAAATTGCTTGAGTGGCATTCTCCATGAAGTAGGTAATGCAAAAGGCCTCTCCTGCACTCGACTGGCCGGTGAGAGCCCAGAAACCACCCTCTCGGGGCTCAAGAGCTTTCAACGCTACGGTGGGCAAGGCTCGAGGTGAAGCTGGCGGTTTGTCGGTAGGCTTTTCATCTGCCTGTGTAGACTGTGGCTTCGACATTTTGCCGCGAATAGCGTTGACGACCAAAGTAGCCTTCGGGAAAAGCTTGTAGGCAGGTAGAAACGCGGGATGCGGCACGAAATGGAAAAATGAGGTTTGTTGAGGGAGAATGGTATGGGGTCAGGTGTGGAATTGAAGAAATGACCATCAAGCCGAAGTGCATCTGAGAACGATATGAAACGGCGGAACTGATGAATACATAACCGCTACAAAATCCGGCCAAAGCGCATTGAAGCTTCTGTAGTGGGGTCTGCGGCCATTTAATTCTCAGTTTACGCGCACTGTCGTTTTAGAAACGCCAACGTCCACGATTGTGAGTCCATGTTGACGGAACCCAGAGCCCCCCAGCCACTCAGCTGCCAGCCCTCCGCCTCCAAACAACCAGGGGCGACTTCGTTGTGAGCGATTCAAAGTGAGCTGTAGATGTGTTAACTGTAACCTGTTGATTGTTAATCTAGAATGTCTTCAGCTCACTTTGAAATTCCTCCATGGCGCCTGACCAGTGACCAAGGGGTGTATGTGCGCGTCCAGCAGCTAGACATGAGTAGGCATTCGTTCACATTCGCCTGCGATCATCAAACAAATCCCAGGGGCTCTGATTATGAAATAGCCTATTAGTTAAGATATAATGTAGGTACCGACGGTTGCTGTTGTGCATGATGATAGATACTATGAGGCGCCCTTCTGGGTCCTGGGCAAACCAGCTGTCATCTTGAGATCCCATTGCGCAATTGGCATGCTGGATTATTTTTGTACTTGAATCCGAAAGTGGCATTTCTGAGGTCTTGAGATTCTCCTTCAATCTATGGAGTACACATTTTGACTTATTCCAGAGCAATGCTTTCCCGAGTATGACTTCAGGGGCTCCCGGTATTAGCGAGGCCTTAGTATTTCCTGGCAGCTGGTCCAAAAATACACATCTATGTTTTTTCATTATTCAAAATCTCACCATGTAATTATGGACTTGTAGTGCCTTGCGGTTCCAATTTCCAAATATGCTCACAATCCTCACTTTCTTCTCAACTGCTGTTGGATGATGAGTTAAGACTGCGTTTGTGTCACTGCAAGGTGATCATTTGGTGATGGGGGTTGGTGTGCGCTGTCCACCCCTACACCCCCACACAAAACCACAACGATCTACGCCTTTTCCTCTACTTCCACCTGTACATCAACTTCCGCATTTCTCTCCTCCACATCACCGGCTCTCAGAATCCCATACTTTGACAAACTTCATGAAATTTTTCGAAGTATCAACACAGCCTTTTCTCATTGTTTCCGCAAGCTCGCCGGCCATGGATACCAACGTCTTAGTTGGACTGGCTCACAATGGTGCACCTTACATTCTGAACACAACTGAGCTCGTCGATACTTGGAAGCTCCTGCAAGCCCAAATCACGCCTTTCAATCAGATTCTGAACTTCTCCGGTCAAGTTTATCGCGCCCTGGATAAAGATGGCAAGGCTTACTTTGCCCAAAATCTGATGTGAGCAGCTGCACTCAGAAACGCCAAATCTAGCTGACCTGTGTAGGCAACACACGCATTCGCCAGTCATGTTTTGCCGCGATGGCACCGGTTACGACCGCTACTTTCTGGGAGGTCCTCAGGAATTCCTGAAGGATGAAGGCATTCTGATGGATGTCGCCGGCACAGATCCATTCTGGTTTCCTCGCCTCGACACAATGCAGCTTACAACTGTCGATACTGCAAAGCCAGAATCTATTGCCAAGAAGATGAAAGAGAAGAAGATACCTCGCCCTCCCAATGCGTACATTCTCTATCGCAAGGAACGTCATCACTCTGTGAAAAACGCAAACCCTGGCATCAGCAACAATGAGATCTGTAAGTTCGCTGCTCAAATCTGTCAAGACAGACACTGACCCCCTCTAGCGCAAGTACTTGGGGCTGCATGGAATCGCGAGTCTCCCGAGATCCGCAACAAATACAAGAAGATGAGCGACGAGCTCAAGCAAGCCTTCCTAGAGCAGAATCCCGATTACAAGTACGCGCCCCGAAGACCCGGAGAGAAGAAGAGGCGTGCTCGCAGAGATACCGCCATACCCAGAATATGAATAGCTCGGCTTCGCGTCTCGAGATGAGACCACAAGAGTCGACGCAAGGCGTCTTGAAGGGGATCACTCACCGTTTCTAGTGGACAGTGAACCCTCATGTGTACCATTCTAACACGACATATACTCATATTTGGCTCATTTCCTACCAGGAGCCTACGCCTAGCAACAACAGGTGTTGACTACAGCGTGAAACTGGTTGGTTTGGTTCTCAGGTTCTTCGGTCATGAGCAGAGCCTTGCATTTTTAACGGCATTATAATGAATACACTATTCCTATTGATGACTATTCGTGTTTCAAAGCGTGGCAGTCTCCGAGACACTGGCCGTCGTGATCAGGTCTGTGGTCATTTGTTCAGATCCAGATGGCATCGAGTGCAAATGCCAGGAATACCGTGGATCATGGCGAGCGAAGATACTCTACGCACAACCAGTCTAAGATCTTGAGCTGACTGCGGAATCCTTCTCGAAGTCCTCGCTAGCTCGACGACCCGTTCCAGTCGCTGCTCCATATGAACGTGCCACAGCGCCACTCAGACCCCTTCTCCTTCTCACCGGAAGGGCCGAGTGGTCTGGGGCAGATGTAGAATGATCGTCCTAGTGTCAAAATTAGTCTTGTGGCGCCTGCGCGCGGGAGTGGGATTGTCCAATGGGGGTAGGGCGAAGGCTAAATCCGGAATGCGGAGACGAGGGCCGAAAAGGGGATGTAGACGTACCGCAATTGACGCCGGACTTCTTGGTGAGGAGGCTGATGCAGGGCTCGTCATGCTCACATCGAGGGACCACTCGTTTCCCAAGGAGCTTTGACCATGACTCTTTCGATTCGATGGGGTCGAACACCTTCTCGTGCCATTCGACGGGCGTTGCGAGCTCGGACCTTGGTGGTGGCGCATCCTCCGCCGTTTTGGCAGGCGAGCGGTTGGTGGTGTCTGCAGTCGATGCAAGAGCCGCCTGCGCAGGGGAGGTCGGTACTGTGCTGTTGGTGACTGAGGCTGCATCTTCTTCCTTTTTGGTAGACGTAGGCTTGGGCTTGAAGAACCCCTGTAAAGTTCGCTGACCTGGCGCGACCTTGTTCTTGGCTGCATTATCAGTGATCAACTTGCTTCGCTTCGACTTTGTGGTTGCATCGGCCGTGCCAGGTGAATCTGCAGAACGCTTCTGTGCGGTCGTTTGGATTGGGCTCCTATTAATGGCAGCAGATATAGCATGGCCGCTCGGACCATTTTTCTTCGCGATGGAACTCTCCACGGCTAACTCATTGCTGCTAACACGACTGAAGTCTGAGTCTACTGAGTCCTCGGGCGAAGTATGCGGAGCCGTTGTTGCCTGCGTCGTTGGCGTTTGGGTCGAATTGTTCAGGCCATTGCTTGCTTTTTTGGTAAACATGTCGCGGATACTCTGCCGGCGGTCGAACTCGGGGATCAACTTCGCAGACAGGGGAAGTAAGTCCTTCTGTCCCCACTCGCGCTGGCGCTGACCGTTTTCGAACATCCCTGGGGGGTTGACGATGTCGAGCAAAGGGATGTTTCTGCTGGTCCGTGCCACAGTGTCCGCAACAACGGCATACACCGGGCAATGGTCAGACCCCATGAGCCCCTCCTGTATATTCGCTTCCACGAACCAAGACTTGAGCCCGTCGCTGCAGAGCACGTAGTCGATTCTGCTGCCGTAATTCGCTGGACGGGTGTTCTTTTTGGTGTCCCAGCAGGTGTTCATGCCTTGTCTGGTCGGATGGAAACACCGGCAGAGGTCCCACAGCACTGGTTGTTCTCGCCTTTCATCTCGATTGCCTGAGACAGTGGCACCAAAAACCAGCTGGTTGAAGAGACGTCGAGAAGGAAGGTTCTGCCACTCTTCCACGGTCATGTCGTTCTTTTTAAGACTTTCTGCGACATTCGATGAGTCTAGCTCGGAGCCGACAATGTTGAGATCGCCAGTCAGGATGACCTCCTTGCCTTCGGCAACCAGATTGCGTATTCGTACATCCAGAGCCTCCAGGAAGCCCAGTCGAAAGTCGTCGCGCGACTCATCTCGATTTGCTGGGCTATAGACCCCCAAAAGCACGAACGCGGGAAATTCGAGAATGACGCATCGTCCCTCGGAGTCGAGTGTGGCTTCGTCGACGACGCCTGAGAGCTGGTCTGGGCGAGGGTAGCCGCCAATTTGCTGATCCTTTGGTAGGTCGCGAAAGCTCGTCGAGGATTTGGGGGGCGAGAGCACGCCGAGTACACCTTCTTCGGCGCGAATAGGCGCACAAGTAGCGTTGCGAGTGTATACGGCGACCCCAGAATAGCCTAGCTTGTCAACGATCATTTACGACAAGTGCCTGGAAGCACTCACCCTTCTTGTGTCGCGGCAGGCTAAAGTAGACATCCCACCCCGGAACCAGTACCATATCGTCGCGGAGGTCTTTGCGTTGGATCTTGGTCTCTTGGATGATCACAATGTCTGCTTCGAGGATGTCGAACATTGCCTGCTTCATTCAGTCCCACAGATCTGTGCTTGATCAACTCCGCCATACCTGAAATGTCCGCTGGTCTCTCCATGGAGGGTAGGCGAACGGATTTCTAAGTTTGCGTAAGCTTCGCAAGGTATTGGTTTGTTCCTGTGGATGCAAGCCTACCTGATACCATTGACTAATCTTCAGTCAGCGTGATGCCATGGTTTAGTTGAACAATCTTACCATTCCATGTTGTAATGCGGAAACCCATGATGTCTGACGACTCATATCATCACCTCACATATTGACAATGCTGTCGCTGGGAGCCAAACAGACACCATGTGCACAAGCATGAGGAAGTGCCAGCAACAAGGCAGACTTGGCCATCAAAGTCTTTATATTATAGGTGCGCGGAGCGACGATGATGTCGAGATTGCAACAAGTTAAATGTTCAGAGAGCCCACAAGAATGTGAGCCTTCAGAATCGCTCAGCGCTGATCAAGAATTCTCATAAATGATGGGCGTCATGCTCAAACAGACGCCCCATGTCGCGGGTTTGCATCGCACTCCGTCGCGCTGCACCCGCGCAGTCACGTGCCGCTGTCAGCCTTGCTGCCTCAATGCTCAGGCACCCTTGCGCAGCACTTCAAGCTTCGGTTCGGCAATGACCTCAAGTCACCTCATATTATTGTCGCTACCCAAACTTCGACAACTCCCACCGATCGAAACAATCCGCCATCATGCTCGCCGCACGTGTCTCTCGCGCTACGCCGCGCCTCACCCAGCAGCTGCGCACTCCCGCCCAGCGTCGCTTCGCTAGCACCAACGAGTTCATCAATGAGCGCCAGCACATCAAGGAGCACGCTCAGGGCACCACCGGTACGCTCCCCAGCGCCAATTGATCCCGAGGAACCACATACTGACTACTTGCAGAGCTGTGGAGGAAGATTTCCCTCTAGTATGTCACCCACCGCCGCCGTCCGAGGCTTTGTCAATACGCGCACAAATACAACACACGAGATGCCGAATTAGGCCGACATGAATTTGGACAGGGACCAAGGCTGACATTGACTGCAGCGGTGTTGCGCCCTGCCTTTTGTTTGCTGGAGCCAACGCATACTACCTGTGGACTGAGCACTGGAGCCACTGGGACCACATGCCTCCTCTGGAGGAGCGCACCGAGTACGCTTACCAGAACATCCGCACCAAGAACTACCAGTGGGGTAACGGCGACAAGGTAAGACTGAATGTCTGAATTACAATGGCACGTGAACTAACAATCGTATAGACTCTTTTGTAAGCTTTTTTCTTCCTGACGGTGGCATCAGGGCAGCAACTCCATGAGGCGGAACACTTTTACTAACCCATACAGCTGGAACGACGACGTCAACTTCCACCGCAAAGATAAGGTCTAAAGCAGATTTCGATCAACGATGGACATTGGTACTAGGCGGATGTTAGAGATGCTCTTCGGGCAAACTTGTAAATGTCCCAACTGGACATGAATTCATATTTCCTTTGTGCAAAGACGCGTGCGCTGTCAACAGTTTCCCGTGAATACCCTATGCGATTTTTCGTGACACCATGGGACAGAGACATCTGTGAGATGTCTCGAGAATGTATCAATTGATATTGGCAAGCTGCCTCTCGTACACAAGCAAAATATCGGCGTTTTTCCTTCGGCATCGCGGCATTGAATTCTGATATACGATGAAAATTCGTAAGATAAAAAAACATATTTTTACTACCAATATTGCCTCCGAGAATTGCCGTCCAGATATGTGTTGTCCGTTCTTGTCTCGAGAACGTGTTGAATGTCGTCGGGTAGGCGAGCTTCGCGCAGCCTCCGGCCGTCAACAACCGCACCTACCACGAATCGCAGTTGCTCATCAACCACGACGCTACAGTATCTTCGGGAATCACAAACGAAGGCTTGGCCTCTGAGGTACGAACGGATTGATGGTCAAAATTAGTATCGGAATCTGATTGAGCATCAAAGGCCGTCAAACGATACTTATGACTGCCGACGCGTCGCCAATTCTAGCCATGAACTTGGTCAAACAGTGAAAGCGACCTCTCATAACATGGCTCGCTACCTCACACCTGCCAAGATTGGCCTGCTCGTCCTCATAGAACTCTACACCGAGGAAGCCATCCCGAACGATGCCATCCTGCCAGTTCTCTCATTCATCACCTCGAACTTGGTCGACCGGGACACGCACAACCGCTCGTTCAATGCTGATGAAAAGTCAGCATGGGCCAACGCAGAGCGAACGATCAGTCTCGTGGTGTCCATAAAAGACTTTGAGAAACTTTTGGGCAGCTACTCGTTCTTGATGGGGTTCCCTGGGAGGCGACTGTGGGATCAATTCTTGGGGAAAATGTGGGATCTGAACTCCCTCAATGCGATGCACGCGTTTCTCGCCAATCTGCCAAGGCTGTTGGCGAGAACTGCAATGGAGCTGAAACAAGAAGCAGGAGGAGGAAGCTCAGAACCCGAAGCTGGCATCAAGATCTCGCGAAACTCACTCTTCGGCCTATTCATCCGCCGTGTCGGGTCCGAGCTGGGACGGCTACAGTTTCACGACACAACCGAGTTATGGAAGTGCTTTGTGCAGTACAGACAGCCTACAGCTCACTACCTACGCCGGAAGCTGCCGGGATTCGAAAGACTGAGCTTTGACGAAGTGCTCTCCACAGGGGAGGGGCAAGAATGGGATGCTGAGACTGTGTCCAGGTTGACATTCATAGCTTATGGTGGCATGCTGGCTGGAGAGCACGCAAGCGCACTGCCAGTCAGTACAAACGACGTCGAGGCTCTGTTGGAGTTCCAAATTGAGCAAATGCAAAGTGTGTTACCAGGATCTGAATGCTCTACTTTCGCGCTGACGCATGGCAGGGTACGGTGCCAGAGTTGCACCGGATTTGAGACAGCAGCTGGACATTCTACTGCGCGAATCGATTTCGATACCCAGTTTAGCACACTACCTGAAGTAAGGTCCAAGTCACCGTTTGCTCCAGAGATGCTAATTTGGCCAGCTTCCTCAACGCATGGCAAGCAGGCGACTACGCAACAGCTTTCGATCTACTTCATCGATACTTCGACTATGCCATGCACACTGAGCATCAGAGCTCTTACCAATACGGATTGATGAACCACGCTGTCCTCCAGGCGGACTTTGGCTGCTACAAAGAGGCGTACGAGGCGATGCTCGAGACAGTCACTACCGCCAGAGAAAACAAGGACATGCGGTGTCTCAACTTTGCTTTGAATTGGCTATTTCAATTCGAACAATCCAGACCATATCTCGTGAGTCAGTTGAGGTCCCGTGATGACGACTCGAACGGCGTGCTGGGAACGAGCAGGAAGATCCTCGCCTATCTTCGTGTCAACGCGAAGGACGCGAAGATGTGGTCGCTCTACTGCACAGTGTGGCTAAGCGAAGCGAAGCTTTGCTTGCTCAACGGAGAGAGTACAGCCACAGCCGTGGAGAATATGGTACGAAGCTCACACCTGGCCCTGAAATACAACGTGAAAGGAGTGATGGGGGCACAGGCTTTGTTTTGGTCTGCCTACTGGGACAGGACCGGCCTTACATGTCTGGCTAACTTGGCCAGCGATGTCTTCTTGCAATGCCATACGGGCAATGCGGCGTTTGAAGACGAGCTGAATCACACTTGGGTGCTCGCATCAGGCCTCGTGCGGAAAGGTCGATATGACGAGGGCCTCCAGGCACTGGAGAGCCTCGACCAGAACGCATTGAGATCGCTCAAGTTCAACCAACTATGGCACAAGTACCGGGGTATCCTCAAGCTTCAACGCGATCTGCGCCACAACAATCTTCGTGGAGCTGAGCAGCTGTTGTACCAACTGCTACAGACCAGGACGGACGACATGAGCCTGGAGATGGCGTATCTCCTTGACTCGCTTCATATTGAATACCTCACCCAGCGGGGGGACATCCAAAGTGCCTTCACCAAGACCAATGCGGCTCTGGCGAAATTCCGGGAGGAGAATAGAGATCTTGCGCTCCGGGTCGACATGTTGCTGCGCAAGGTGAAGCTGCTGAGTCTAGCTGGACGTCCACAACGAGGATTCTCCATCGCGATCAACGCTATCAACATTGCGTGGCGTGCACGGCTGGTCCTCCAGCTGTGGGACGCGTTGGGCGTACTGTCCAGTATCCTCGTTTCCTTTGGCGAGTTTGACGCTGCAAGTCAGATCCTCATTGCTGTCATCCCCCGCGCCATAGAAACGGACTCTTTGTTCCTGGTAGCCCAGCTATACGCATATCTGGCGGATGCGTGTATGGGCCTCGCAGGACAGGAGCCGCCCAAGTCTACAAAGCGAACGGAGCATATGACCGCCGCATTGGCGGCCGTCAACAAAGCATTCGACTATTACTCGAGCATCGAGGACATTGGTAAACAATGCGAGATGATGGCCAAGAAGGCCATGATCATGAAGTTGTCGGGGGACATGGAGCTGGCCGCAGATTATGCCGCAGCGTACGTGTCGCTGAAGAAGACTGCTGAAGCGTTAAGCTCGGGTGGTTCGTAATGTTCGTTATGGTTCTACATACATGAGTATATGATTATACACGTCCTGCAAATCGTACAGCGCTCGAGGTTACCAGTGTATCTTTTCGCCTTTCCTTGTCCGTAATTGCCCTTCCACCGATGGCGCTTCGCTCATCGCCCTGTTCTTGTCCACAATGGTGTCTCCTTCTCCAACATCGTTTGTGGCCCATATCCTTTCAATGCACATCTCGAATGGCCCCTCTTTCCGATCTGTGAGGCCGATGCCCACGGTCTTGACTTTTTGTCGTAATAGCTCCGTCTGCGGCTCGACCACAAAGCCAAAGTTGGTCCTCACAAAATCGTTCCACCGGACAAGAATCGTCTCCCACTTTCCCGGCTGTGAGGCAAAAAGTCTGTGCTGGTGGAGATCTGACGGTTCAATTCCGTCTGTCTGCACGTTGATGAAATAAGCCCTGCCGTCCGACTTTATGCGCATGGCCAGATATGTGTAGGGATCAATGTCCCAGTACGACCGCCCCAAGAGCGTTGGATGTTGATTCGGTGTACGAAAAGCGGCGTAGCCTGTTCTTTGGATGGTCGGTTTGTCGGAGGGTAGAGCGGTAGATATTGAGCCGTGGAAGCGGGCATAGGCATGTGAAGATGTGGAAGAGGGAGACTCAAGATCGAGGTTGGCTACGGAGGAGCCGCCAATGGTAGCGTCGGACATGAGTATACATGATGATATGGCGGACGGCGAGTTGAATTCGTACAGAGGACGGGGGCCCTGGGGTCCTTTGACAGCCTCGAGCTTGAGAGCTGCTTGTGTCAGTCGAGACAAGAAGAGTGAGGATGTGCGACGAACCAATGCTTGTGCGCCGGGTGAGCTCGTCCCAGCTTCGCCCCAAGACGCCCTTGTTCAAGGGCCGTGTAGTCGCGCGCATTGTTTCTGTTGTGTCTTGGCCTCAGAATATCTGTGAGCACGCGCAGCTCATTCGACGCTATGCTTCCCTAGTGAAGGACTTCCTCGAGCCTCTTGGTTCGCGATGATGCTATGGTTGGAGTTGGGCGATTTGCACCCGGAAAGTGGTTCGAATTAGCTGACACTGTGCGGTCAAGCATCCGATCGACACCTGCTTGCCCTGTCCCAATTGCGGACCGGAGTTCTTCCGCCTTGACCTGGGCGATCTCGAAATATTTCCACGCGCGACGCCAAACCCGCCCATCCCCAAGCCGAACCAAGCATGGGGCTACACACCCGGTAGCACCGATCATCTCCTCCCCGTTCTCGTCTTCCAGCTTGCTACCTGTCTCCATGTCGTCCACCACTCGTCTTGTGCCGTTGCGGCGCCCTCTGTTCCCCCCGCTCAACCAAGTCCGCTACAACACTCGTTCGCCCGACCAGGAAAGGCGCATGCTGAGACTCCATAACCGCAAAAGAAACCACCTCGAAAAGCCGACCAAGAAAACCGATGGGTACACGCTCGCAGGGCATCATGCCGATATAGTGCGCAAGCAACTAGAGTCGGGAACGCAGCCCCTATTTCCCAGTACGCACTCGGATCAGTCCACTACTGCCAACCTTCCCCTTGCTGACCGATTATGTTAGAAACATTCGTCTCCCTCCCGATAAAGAAATACCTCGGCCCCGAGTTCTTCCAATATTCATGGCTCCGGTTCAAAGCCTGGGCTCAAGTCTTTGCCTCCAACTTGGTCCTCAAATGGCAAAGCGCAGATACGACTTTTGGCCGTGCGAAATGGAAGATGAACAAGTCCAGAATTCCGCCGACCGCGCAAGCCTTATATCGAGATCTCTTGGAAGCGTTCGCCGCAGGGGACGTGGCTACGATCGAGAAGGTAGCCACTCCGGCGTTTGGGAAGAAGTACATCCATGCGATTCAGAAGCGCAAGCCGGGCGAGAACATGTCGTTTGAGATCGAATTCACTAAAGGCTGGTGGTACCCGCGATTGATGAGCTACATGGCGACAAATGTCAGCCCTGCGGATGATCTCCTCATGGGCGAGCAGGCGGTCGTGGCCATCTCCTCGATACAACGCCTTCACAAGGGAGACGACGTCAAGGAACAAAGAGTGCTTGAGTACGTGGTGGTGAGGAGGGAGTTCCGCAGGGGTGCATATTTGCCAGTAAGCGAGTGGAGAATTTGGCAGACGACGAAACCGACAACATTGGAAGCGTGGAACGAGGCCGAGGCGTCGTTCAACGAACGGTTGCTCCAGCAGTTCGGCTCAGAAATAGGACACAAGAAGTCTACCGAGGAGAAGAAGGCAAAGGCATGAGCGAGAGGGGATTTCTTGTACCATCTGTATATTGTATAAGCACACTGTACTATCCAACGACCGGCTTTTGCAGGTATGGGGAGCATTGGTTGCCTCGGTCCAAACCCATCATGTACAACATGTAGACAAACAAAGCCACCACCACCGAAATATTTCCCTCATCACTACATAGACATCCTATATAGCAGCGATCCTCATGACCATCCCTTCACCCTTTTTCATGCATCGCGGTCGTCAACCGGTTGCGGTTGATTAGAAGAACTTTCCAGGTGCCTTGGGACCAACGCTGTCCTCCTGAGAAACCTCGTCACCCACGGGTGCTACAGGAGCAACCGGTGCTTCGGGCTCGGGGCGGTCCAGAGCATCGAATCGCCTACCCTGCCTCTTGGCCATGACGTATTGGAACGCGAGTCTCACACCCAGGGCGCCAAAGCCCCAGATGACGCTGCCGACTGGAGCGGCAACGAACGCGCCGAATGTACCCCAGTCGTCTGCATACAAGCCTTTCTGGATGATGAGGAGCTCGGCACCCTCTTGAGCATTGCCGTAGTAGATGGTGCCAAAGATGAAGACCGTGAAAAGGCCACCAAGACCTCCGACCACGACCTCGAAGCCGCGCCACCAGTAGAAACTGTCCATCAAGCCGAGGCAGAGAATTGGGATAGTGGCGGCCGAGACAAGATCGCTGATCAGGTAAATCTGCAAGATGGAGGGTGCCTTGAGCGCCAGGACCACGACAGGAATGATGACGAGCAACACAAGACCGCGGATGACCCAGACATTGAGCTTGTTACGGAAGAGATCATTCGAGGCGGTGGAGACCATGGCAGTCTGGAAGCTGTCAAACGCAGCCGTGCTCAGACTGACAACCATGACCAAAACAATGCCAACGACCCAAGCCGGTAGGGCCTCGAGCAATGTGAAAAAGGCCACAGAGCCAAGCTGCGGCGGATCACCGGGCCAAAGTCCAGACCAGGTTGCGATCAGACCAGTCGATCCGATGAGGGTGATGATGACGGTCAACGCAGCAGTGGCAATGGACACGCCAATCCAGAGATCCTTGTCGGTCTTGGACGAGAACGTACGCAGCCAGAATTGGGCCAGGAAGAAGTCGTTGGTGAAGACGGCGACAGGCAAGATGTAAATGAGCTGCCACCCAAGGAGCGAAGGCTCGAGCAGGGGGGAGTCACGGACAAGCTCGGGCTTGACGTCCACCTTGACGCCGATGGAGATAGAGGCGATGATGATGAGACCGACGACCATGGACCCCTGTACGACATCGGTCATGAACGAGATCCTGAAACCACCCATGGCTGTCATAGTGTTAGCAAGAGTCCTGAGGCCAGCCCAACCCGACCACACTCACATGTGTAAATGGTGGTGATAGCCACCTGCACAATGATGACAGGCAAACCATCGAGACCCGTCAGCAAGTTCACGACCTGGCCCACGGCGGAGAGCTCGGAAATCATGTACAAGAACAGCGTGACCAGCGTCATGAAGCTCAAGTACAGCATGGTCACTGTGCCATAGCGCTGCCTAGTCCACTCGGTCAGGACGAAGCCCTCAGGACACTTGCGTCGAATGATGGGACCCAGCCATCCGAACAAGAGCATCGGCAAGGCGGACGCGAGGGAGTAGATGATCATGCCCTGTACGCCGGCAATGGTCGCCAGCTCGGGATACGAGAAGAGGATACCGGATCCGAGTGCTGAAGCTGTCGTTAGTATGTCAACATCTTTGATAGGGGGAGGAATGGCATTGGAGCGGCAGCACGTTTCCCACGCAAGCATTAACTTGATCGAGTATGACGGTACAATCTCAGCCTCTCCGTCCATGAGCGAGATGAGTCTCCAAACTCTCCTCGTGGAGAGCGTGGAAACCCCATCCGTCACGTCGAATCAGCGCCCGTAGTGAGCCGCATCCTCGCCTCCCTCCTCTGTACATCAGCGAGCAGAGAAGGAAGACGAGGACACAAAGATCATGGTTTGCTGATACGAACCTTGTCGCGCGCATAGTGGCGGCGGTCTACTCGAACAGTGTATAATACCCCTCGTGGCAAATCGCTGATTTTCGCTACCGCTGGATTTGGCGAGAGCATTGCTGCTCTACTCACCCGAAGCGATGAAGTTGAGTGCCAGAGGGAAGGCTGTGAGAAGTCAGTACGCCACGTTCATGGAGTTGGGACCGAGACCAGGGAGAAAGAAAGCTCATGCGATCATGAGCTATCTATCGTGCGGGTGAAGCTGTACCAGTCTGCGTCCTGTTGGCGGACACGAAGTTGACCTTGCTTTTATCCTTAAGGCGCCAGGCTATGGTGACGCCCATGACACTGCATCTCGTCAGCTCTCCTACATCCCCCAAGCGTTGGGAATGCTGGCGCATACATGAAGGCGCCATAGGTGAGGTAAATGATGGCGTTGGACGCCTCGAACGAGGGTTGGCCCATGCTGAACGTCGCGCAATGATTAAAGAGAGTCTAGCAATGTAAGATTGAATTTTTGGGCTCGATCTGACCTTGTCAGATTCTCAAGTAGTTGGGATGGGAGATCTCGTGAACCAAGATAATGAACAAGAAAATAATTCGCGCGACTTTAATAAAGTGCTTCTGTGTGTCTTCCCAATTTTCCGGTCGAGCACGCTAACTCCAGGCACCTTGTCTTTTTTAAATTTTACGTCCAGTCGTTTCTTGGTCTCAAAGCCTTTCCTGTTTGGGAACGCTAGCCAAGGCTTTCGACATCATCATTATCACCTTACAACCTCACCTCACCACGGCGCACATTTTGTTGGGGTACATCTCCCCTTGTGTCTGTGGTTTCGATTTTCTACTCTGACAACCGAAGCAAATCCGCAAACTAGCCTATATAACGAACGAAACGTCACCTCTTGAAGGAGGTACGAACGACCGAGGCATGCCCAATGGCCAAGGGCATACTGGTCCAGTAAGTAGACAAAGGCAATTACGAAAGATTGTGTGAAAAGCAAGTCCAGCAAATATAAAGCGATAAATCCAGCCTTGGTGACCTCAAGGGTTACCACTCGTTGAGAACCGCTGATGCCTCATCACTGAGGAGGAGGATGAGGTGGCGGCTGACCGGGATAAGGTGGTAGCCAACCGCTCATGATGAGGTGCTGGTAGAGATCCAGTGGGATGAAACCACCTTGTCCGGACATGATGCCGTATTGCTGTAGCGCAGGAGGACCGGTGAAACTACCAGGCAAACTCGTGGACTCGTGGCCTGCCTCCTGGACCACTTCTTCGGCGCATGGGTTGGCAGTGCCTGCCGCAGAAGGTGCACTCGATTCCTCAGAAGAGGCAACATTGGGAGCAGAATCCACTCGGGCTGGACGGTTTGGTGTCTTTCCCTTGGGCCCAGCCTCGTGATCTCGCTCAGCGAGAGCAGGGAAGGCCTCTCGAACGTCGCCCTGGGAAGAGCGAGACACAGACCCGCGCGTCCTGCTAGAATCGATGGTTGAGTACCTTCGCGAGGAAGCCGCCGCACGTGGACCGTGTGAAGGTGTTGTTGCAGTCAAAGTATTATCCCGGCGAGCTGACTGAATTCGCGAGGCGTTCAGAGAAGGGGGCGTCAGGACAGCAGTGCCATAGCCACCAGATCGAGACTCGTCGAAGCGATGAGAACGTGTAGAAGGTGGCGTAGCTGGCATGGTGTTTGGAAAGTTCGACGGCCCACCAATCGTGTTAGCAGCACGGTTCCCTGCGGTCCGAGCAGCGTTGGGAGCGCGATAACCCCCCGTGCCCTCGAAGGCGCGAGACTCGCGCCGTCGTACTGTAACTGTGCGGCCTTTCTAAGGCTGCCCATTCTGCAGTATGTCAGTGGAGAACCATCGAGTATCCCGTTGAGAAAATCGCTACACTTACCATTCCTTCGATTGCGCGGTCGACTGCATCAGGGGACAAGAACACGATGAAAGCGAATGCGCCCTCTCGACCTATTTCAAGGTTAGCACAAGTTCTAGTAGTACCCAGACGATCTGAAAGAGAACTTGGAAGGCACATGTCGAGAAATAAGTCAAAACTTACCGGGAATCGGGCGGCCGTCATCGTCAAACCAAATCTTCTGGCGTAGATCGACCTGGTATACTTGACCGAAACATTCAAACTCGTTCTCGAGCTCGAGCTCGGTGACACCTCCTGGCAAGTTGCCGACCCAAGCAGAGCGCGAGTCCTGTTCATACTGTTCCATGGGATCCAGTGCGCGGCGAGTGTAGGAATCGGCGCGAGACTCATAGAGCTGGATCTGGTATCGCTTTCCAAGTGAAGCCTGGAGAGACTAAGACACGCAAATGGGTCAGTGTTGTGGTTCAACTACTCTGTCTCACAAAAGCGACGTACCTTGACATCCCGTCCCTTCTCAAAACGCTTGAAGATGACGAGGAGCCCGTCCACCACACCTAGTTGGCGCTTCTGACGGGATGACAGGCGCTCGACCTCGAAGATCTCGCCAAAGTTCCGCATGAGATCGCGTACCTCGGTGGCGTCGCGCGGAGTGATGCGCGAATTCAGGGCATCCATGACGACCCATTTGCCTGTTGTAATGTTATTGATGCTGTTCGACAACTAACTGGTGCCCAGGGATTTTTGGCAGTTGAGGTTTGGGAATGACTGAGAGCAAAGGCAGACATGGTGACCTAGGACAAACTTGGGCAAAAGAGGGACGTCTGGTGACTTACAGTTGGCGTTGGCCCGCTCGATGCGGCAGGGACGGTCGCAAATATACAAACCTCGGCCGCGGGACAGAGCTGTCTCCATGGCTTCGTCGGTCTAGAGGAAGTCAGAAAAGGCCACATCAAAAGAACAGGACATCGAACAGTAAATTGGCAGAACGCATACGGGTTGCCCTTGTGGGGATCACGACGGATCTTGACAAAGACCGTGCCGAAGCGTGTAAAGGCCCGGGTAACTTCTTCCCTGAGGACGTCGACAGATTCCTCGCGGTTGAGACTATGCGGAATTAGAGCTGACACCCGAGTCGAAGTAAACTCTGCAGAACTTACTTGGCTACAAAGGCACAAGCCGAAGGACGGTAGATCATCTGCGCGTCCAGTGTAGTACCAGGCGGCATTTCGTGGTTATTCTCACGGGAGCGAACGACCTGGTTCCCTTCGTCTGAGTTCTCGTTTTCGAAGGTGCGCTTTCTGATGTCGTTATCGCCGGGGTTTACGAAGGGGTCATGGGCGTCGTCATGAGCATGGGACGATGTAGTGCTGTCGCCAAGGTCAGTTGCCTGTATTTGTGAGCTGATATGGAGTAACATACCCCGAATTTTCCGAGTTTGCGTAGCGCACGTGTTCTAGGTTGCGCTGCTTGGTGTAGCGATTTTCCGCGGGAGATCTGTGAGTGGTTAGTCAGTCCTCCTGATATAAACAACAACCACCACATGTAAAATGCATACGTTTTCGATGGGGAAAATGAGCGAGCTACTCGGAGATTCTTATCAGTCTTGATTCGGGATTTCTTGCTTCGACCGGCGAAGTTGACTGACGATCCTTGACATTGTTAGTTTCCAATCCACGGACAGACAAGTGCTAGTACTTGGACACGGAAGGGCGCTATGAGCCTATGCAGCAGCAACTGTGGACATTCGTACACATCAAAATATCTGCTAGACAGAATTTGCACTTCTCTGCGCTTGCGTCAAGTTGAAATAATCCGCTTGGACCAATGCCAGAGACTCAGTCTTCTTCTCAGCGAAGCTTAATCGGCACTGGGTGCCTGATTGGCATGGGTACCCCATGGCCCGAGCCGATGCGAAATGTGGAAAGGATGTATTTTGGGGGGAGATGAAGGATTTGGATGTTTCAAAGAGCGCATTGAACAAGCCTTTGCAGGAGATCGCGTTTGTTGCTTCCGTGGTGTTTGTGTGTCCGTTTGCGTGTCCGGGCAAACATGAAAGCTACAACCCAACGTTGCTCGTCAAACTCGAGGGAGTCATGCAATGTGAACAAACTTTCTTTCAGCTCCTCACACAAGATTGTGCGACCGCAGCTTTGTTGCTGTTGGGTGACAGTGTGATTGAGTGACCAACAGAGGGAGTGCAGAGATCAACTCGGGACTCGGAAGCATGCCCTCCCGAAGAGCGTGGTTTCCTTTTCATTCTCTATGACAGAGCTTTGTGGAAGACAATTGGCAAGAAAAGGTTCGTTGTGGAGGGAAAGACTGGCAGTTCTGTTTTGGTCTGACCGACGCGTGAAAGCACCCATCGCGGCTCAGCAAGAAAGTGACTTTCGGCATGACTGCCAGTGCAGCGAAAGCAGTGGCAAGGACAAGTCGCCTCAAAGGTAAACAAACAGAATTGTGGTGGTGGTTTGCAAAGAAATCCAGGGGCAGTCCAGAGAATAAAAGAAGACTCACCGCGAGGGGGGACCTGCAAACCGGTCGTGGAGCTTGCAGAGGACACGTTGGCGCCCGAGCTTGTACCGTCGTCGGTGGATGCGTGCAAATCGTCGAAGGACTTGCTCTTGCCCATCAGATCAGCCCCTTCGGCCTTCTTCCTGGGAGTTCGATAGTTCGCCATCTGTGAAGGGCATTAGCAATGACGACTGCGAACAGAGAGCGCGTGGCTGGGCATATTATGACTTACAATGTGACTAGTAAGCGTTCAGTAGCTGAAGAGGAGATGTAGAGGTATAGTCCTGGATGTAAAGGCTTTTTAGCTCGGAGTGGATCTGGTGATGAAAAGTTGGAGGTTGAACTGTTGCAATGTGGTGAAGATTCTCAAAGGGAAAAGAAGCACCAACAGCTCAAGCAGTTCAGACAGCGAGTATAAAAGAAACAACAGGCCTCGACGAAGAGCCTTGAACAGATGTTCGAGCAGACTCGGCTTCGAGTTTAGCGAAGATGGAGGAAAGTGGGGATGTGGATAGAGAGATGTGTAAGGAGGAAGAGGAATAGAAAGTCGAGGAAGAGGAGAAGGAGGATGGAGAGAGGGGCACTCAACGCGTGGATATGGTCACAGCTTCACAAGCGGAGCAGACGAGAGACTCGGGCAGCCAAGACTCACAAGCCTCCACTGGCAGTTAGCTTTGGAAAACCCCTGAGATGGGACGAGGGTGTGCAGACGCTGTTGTAGAAGGAGTGTTGACTGAGATACTCCTGACCTCGTGATGGAGAGCGAGTCTCGTTCATCGGATGATGAACAAAAGCGAGAACAAGGTCTTTCATCAGTGAGCACTGGGCGTAGAAGGTCGGTATCATCGTTGAGAAGGAATCGTTTTCACGCAACACTGCAAGCTCTCGTGAACGTAGTCTTTGTAGTTGCTGATTGGGACTATGGGACCGGGACAAGGTGAGTTTGATGCCTTCAAAACATGGACCCTGAAAACAACAGGTATCTACTCTCCATTTTCAACATATGGCCAAAGGCTCTACAATGCTAACCACGGTCTGTCCCAGGAGGAGATGGGTGGCTAGACTCCATGCCTACGCCCACCTACGTCGTGTATAAAAAAATAAAAAAAAAAAAAAAAAAAAAACAGAGTCACAGGTAGACCAATCTTGGGTCAGGGAAGTGAGTCTAAGACTAAATCCGCACAATTGAAAATTTTGCTAGCAACATACGTGACGAGGCTTGTGAATTTCTGATGCGTCATGCGGACAGATCGTGGTAAAAATAGCCTTCACCTCATTCTTCGTTGAATTGTATGCACGTCATGTGCATTTTTCTCGGAACGACTGCTCCCAGGGCGCTCCAGGCTCACTACAATTGCTGGGACCTGTTGTGATGAACCCATTAGTCTGTGTTGTCTAGCACACGCAGGGGTTGCAAGAGAAGCGTCGATCTACAGCCGGTGGAGACATTGAACTCCGCAATTTGAGACATCCAAGAAACTCCCACGCGTTCCTAAATAACACAGATGTTCGATGTTACATTCTAGATAGAGCTCAGAGACTTGATACCGCGTGGCGACCTTTCGAGCTCACTCTCGGGTTCTTGGGAAGGGATTTGCGGCCCATGTTGCTCATTGTGCTTACTTCACGCTCGCTCGTGCTTTGCCGTAGCGTAGTATCGTTCTGCGATCGTTGTGCACGACTGGTGTGTGCAGATCGAGGATAGACAACAGCTAACTTAGTGCGAGTCTCAACCAGAGCCTCTATGTGAGTCATGTCTCATGCAGCGCGCCTCGTCACTCACAAGCTGTGGTGGGGAAAGGTGATTCTTCGGCCGATGAACAAACTGAATGTAGATCGTCATCGGAGCGTTGGCCTCAACAATGACTGCAAGCTGTTTGTCTACAAGCAATTCAAGGATGCGCACGTCTCCCCGACACATGATGGCATGCAACTCCCACTTCTCCAGCGATAGCGCCACTAAGTGGGAACCGGGGAGTAACGAACATGTCAAGGCCTTTAAATTGCGGATCCTAGGGGCGTGTAGTTGAATGATTCACAAGGCTTGAGGGGGCCACAAGGTAAGACCTTGATAACGCACGGGTAAGTAATCTACAGCTCCAGAACCGCGCCCACAGAGTGTAGAACGACGCGGGTCTGCCTGATAGCCTGGTAGGGCTGACCAGTATTGCGTATGTACGCCAATCAGCCACATTCAGAGCACAGGGGAATTTCCTTTTGGCCTGTTTGATAACCAGCGACACACAAGTCACAAAGCGGGGGGCTGATCTACTTCATGAGATTGTTTACCTGAGGCGGGCGCTTCAGCCCTGATTATGGCATGTCGAATGTGAAATTCCAAATCAATGAGAACTTATGCGAGCGTCGATTTTGAACTGTACTGCTGAATCGTTGGGTGCCATGAGTTGTTGACGCGTGTGAGTGATTGACAAATAGCGATTCCGAGGTAAATTGGACTGACTTTCAAAACAGCAGGGCGCCAAATAATCGTTTTGTAGTTTCGTAGTCAATTATATTCAGTCAAAGAGCCTAGTTCCATGGCTGAGCCTGCCGCGTTGAATATTGGCGGGCAAAGAAAGGTGCCCGTTCAGAGTACGTGTAGGTCCACGTCCGTCTCGCCCTCAGTACATTAGTACACAAGTCGCCTGTTAACGGAGGAAAACACATCTTTTGGGTTTTGTTTTTGCGGCTCCGACTTGGAGAGCTAATCCGAGCAAGATTTGCCAGACCTTTAAATACCTAATAAGGGGATCTAAGTTCCTCTCGTGGATTTGCCTTTTCTCCGGCCATTCCCTCTGGCGCAAAATCATCCTCGCCTAGTTTCATTACGGTTGTAAAAGCCAAAGACTATTTCATATGGACTATGGGCAGAGATAGTATTCATACGAAAGGAAAGCCCTAATATATTACTTCGACAAACTCTAGAGGCATAGGCAACATATTTGGATGCGGGAAAAAGAATTCAAGCACATTGGTGAAGCTGCCTACCCCGATTCTTTGAAGCGAATCACAAGTTACGCGCAACAAGCCAAATGACGGGAATTATCGCAGTTGAACTTGCAATTGGGGTAGACGCGAATAACTATGTCCCTTCGTCGCAGCGTACGTTGTTCTAGGGGGTATCAATCGTCGATGAGTACGATTGACCGTACTAAGCCACTTTCCCCTCTTCCATTGGGACCTGAGCAATAATCTGAGAAAGGAGTTTCACTCTCTCCCGCAACATCCCCATCTCCGTTATACAATCTGCTGCCCGACAAAGATCAATCAGCTCGAGAAGGTTGAAAAGCAGCGCGCTAGAGTCTCCCGTAAAGTGTTCCTGAGGTCTTGTGACGAGTTGGGCAATGACCTTCCGGGCTTGGTCCTCCTGGCCAACGCGAAAGAGGCACGAGGCCTGCAACACCTGGGCAGGCAGAAGTTTGCTCTGATATGAGCTCTCCATCTCAGGAGTTACCAAGTCGACGGCTCGTTGGACGAATGGAATTGTCTCAGCATACCCCCCGGCCGACTCCATCGCAGTCGCAATCGTAAGCAGAGCGTTAATCACGAACTCGGCCGTGCTTCCCTCGCCATCCTGAATACAGGCCACCTCTTTTTCGCCTAGCCTCATTGCTTCAGAGAATTTTCTCTGTTTGAGAAGGATATGTCGAAGGTTTCCCATGGCAGCTAAGGAGTGATTGTGTTGTGATCCCAGGATCTCGGATCTCACTGCAATTACTTGACTCCCGAGAGACTCTGCTTTTTCCCATTGCGTCAGCTCTCCAAGTGCGAAGGAAAGGTTTCCCATAACCATGGCGGTATGTTGGTCCTTGAGACCTAGGTGTGTGTTGCATTCCAGTAGCAGTGCCTCGAGGACTTGGACAGCTTCTTCGTTATCTCCTTTGCCAATCAGCCGGGTCGCAATGTTGTTGATTGCTATGCACGCAGTAGCGGCGTTTGCTGAACTCTGTTTGATCCATGTTTGGACGCGATGAAGGCAATCACGTGCTTGCTCATGCTTTCCACACTGATGAGAAAAGAAGCCTAAGCGGCATACGTCCTCGGCGTGCTTCGGAGACAATTTTCCCAATTTCCCGAGGTGATCTGAGGACTTTACTAAGTCTTCCATCATCTCCAGTGCTCTAGGTACATTGTCGGACATGAAGTACGCAAATGCCAAACTCCTTCGCGCGGCTCGGGTATTTGTGTGGAAAGAACCTAGATGAGCCAGGCAATCCCTGACCATGGACTCACCAAGAGTTACCGCCTCTTTGATACGGCCACAGTCCAAGTAGTCGTCAATCAAATTGACCGCGCTGTCAAGTCGCTGAGTGTCCTCATGGAGCTGGGAATCAGCATAAGTGTCCAGGATCTCTCTGTTTAATTTCATCGCTTTGTCGGCATCGCCGAGCCTCGAGTGGATCAGTGCTACAGTTGATTTCAGATTGGCCTGATCTGTGGGCATCAGATCGGCTTCATCGAGCATTGACTGTGCTAAGTCAAGCGAGGCTTGGTCTTGTTTGTCCCATCCTAGCAGCTGCAGCAGGATCCCCTTAAGTCTTATCGTTGAGGCATGTCCAGCACCTAGCAAGTGGCCTCGCATTTTGACCATTTCGCGGTACTCTTCAATCGCAATGGAAAGCAGGCCCTGGTCACTGTATCGTTGAGGTAAGTTGTGGCGATAGCCGTGTCTGATGAGACTTGCAACAAGCCGTGGGTTTGCATGGGACTTCTTGATCTTCTCAAGCATTTTGGACAGATCCTGAGGTAGCTTACCGCTCAGTCGTAGCCACTCAGAGCTTTTGAACTCATCTGGACGAACACCAAATCCTATGCGGTAGCAGAAAGCCAACTGGAACGCAGCATTGCTTTTGCAACGGTTGCAGTCGTCGGTGCGTGCTGATCCCTCCACGCTCGCTGTTAGAGCCGCGTGAATCCTGTAATCACATGCTTCCAGGTCGAGGAGTATGTCCTCAAGCTTATAAATCAGTGAGAGCTAGTGCGCGTCCCTGGTTAAACGTACCGACAGGCGTCCATGCCACTGCGGAACAGAGGCCGGTATAGGAGTAGAAAACTGCACCTCGTCTCTTCCCTAAGATTAATCAACGTTTCGTAAATGACAGCCGGAGCCGATTGATGGTACCACATACAAAGTCTGCTGCTCTTCTTTCAGAATATTCACAATATGCTGCGCAGAGGCAGTTCTGGCGCCACTGTCCCGGAGAAGCGTCGCATTGAAGACTCTCTCGAGCTGGTCCCGAATACCTTCATCTAGATCTATGCGCTTCCTTAGTAATTGCAGAGCCCATTTAAGCATCGAGTCGGTCTCATCTTTGAGATGCTTAACGGCTTGGGTGGGGGCGAGTTGCTGTCTAAAGAGCGCCGCTTCGACAGTGGACGAATCATATCCCAAGTCGGCCAAACTCTCGTCTCTAAAAAATATCCAGAGGCATACAAGTCCGAAGGAGTAGATATCCATCTTCTTGGCATCTGCTAAAGAGTGATGTCTTGGGTGCCATTCAGGAGCTTCCCAGGGGATAGACCGCGAAACCAGGACAGGATTGTCATCCGAACTGGCAAAACTCGAGAACCCAAAATCGGCTAATGCTAGACTAATCTCATCTTTCGGTTCTTCCCATATCAGTATGTTTTGCGGTTTTATGTCTCCATGGACTACATCTGTGTTGCGCAGTCAGTCTACGAACCGAGCGGGGCCATAGAGCTTACTGCAGCTGTGCAAATGTGCCATGGCATTTGCGATCACGCCACACATGGCGAGGCGTGTTTGGCTGTCGAGATCTGGACGCCGCGCCATGAAGGAGCCTAGATCTCCCTGGTTGAACTTGGGGAAGACAAGGACTGGCAGAACCTGGCCGGTGGCTGCAAGAAACTCGAACGTGACACCAATGAGCATATTGATGAAGCCTTGTTTCTCCATAGAAGGATTGCTCAATATGGTGATCTCATTGATCATAGCCTCGTACTGGCGCTGTAGAACCCGGGCGTCAGATGCGTTCTTGACACTGCGGTTAAATCGCTTGAATGCAAACTCCATCTTCGCGTTCATGGGACTTTGATCCACGCGTCCCGTGGCACCGTCAAGTCCTAGCTGATCGAGCCCAGGCTCCCAGACCAGGGGAAGAATTTTGACGTCGAGTGCTTGTGCATGCTGCAGGAAGCGGATCAGATTTTCATGAGATCGATCATTGTTGGATTCCGGCTCAGGTATACCTAAGCCCTCGGGCTCCGGGGGGATGACGTCGACAGAGAAAGATGCCAAGTATGAGGACACGAACAGTGACATGGTATTTGAATGAACTGAGAACGAGGATTCCATGGGATTGAGGGACGGATGAACTTGGAGAGGACTTCAAGGCAGCGTCCAGCTCGATTAGGCCTCTTCAGCTACCCATTGACAGCCAGCCGCCTCATGTGTGTCACGTGGTGGCGCAAGGTAAGAAGTAAGCCACATTCGCCGAAATAGAGAGCACAAGCCATGATTCTACGAGATTTTTTTATCGTTTTCAAGAGTTATCTCCATTTAGGTAAAGTCAAAAACTTTCTTCGTGGAGAAAGCCCTGAAGCGAGATTGGCAACGGCCCAAAACTCAACCACGGGATCGAGCCCCAGCGAGTTGACTGGTACGGTCCCAGATCCAAAACCAGCTCCCAGTACCAACGCTGAGCATTATCATGGAGATAAACAAGATCCATATTTGCTTGTATATGAGTAGCTGAGGACCATCCTGCCCAGCTGTGCTTGAGGTTCCCATGCTTGCACTTGCAGGGGAGCGTATATCGACGAATACAGTGCTGAAGAAGGTCTGCCATTGGTTAGCCTTGAGTCTTGGGCGCTTCCAAAAGCTCACAATATGCCTGATGGAGACATACTATTACAAGGTTGGCTGGGAGATAGATGAGAGCAATGATAGTCGCGATGCGGGTGGTTCTGGAGTCGGTGCACGTGCGTTGTCCCATCTCGGCCATGGCCTTTGTCTCGAGTGCGTTGTCCTCTGCTAAGCGATGGAGCTGGGCACCGTTGCTAGCCAAGATGCCCTGGTTCCGGAAGTTTATGATAGAGTTGATCTAGCTGGTCAGAGAGACTGGGTATAGAATAGCGCACGCGGGACAGCCTGGCCAGATCTCTATGGAAACTCACCGTAGATCCCATATCAGCAGAATGGTCCAAAAGTTCGCTAGCAGTGGACTGATAGGCGTCAAGCTCCCTGGAAATGCTGTTGAGCTCTCGGCGAAAGGCATGCTCTGCAGAACGGGTGACCCCGGCTTGTTTGCGTATGGACTGTGCGAGGCTTGAGAGAGCTGTAACGATGCGCTGAGTGCCATCCAGAATGGTTTTGAAATGGTGTAACTTCCTTCGAATCGAGTATACATCTTGGCTGGTAGCAACGTCTACATTCAGCTGGAGGACTGGCTTGTGAAAAGCAGTACGGATGTCCTGTTCAAGGGTTGGTCATCAGCTGTTCTAAGCCCATCACGATGGGGTGAGATGCGCGGCTATACAGCTTCTGCCTGGAGCATTCCACGAGGCCGTAATGAAGGGAAATCAACAGACTTACTAGAGAAAGCAGTTGCTGGCTGATATTTTCCAGGTATTCCCGATTGTTGGCGATGGCAGACGACAAGCTGCGGAGGTGGAAAGCTAGAGGATGAGCAGTGCGGTCCATCTTAGCATCATGCATGCTAGTAACCCATCTTGCTGTTGGCTGAATAACGATCCATCTCGACTGAGAGCTAATAAACTTGTACCTCTGGTAGACGACTGATTGGCGACATGACCATGAGTCTGCGAGATCCCGGCCATGCTGCTCATAATGGCGTAAGTTATAGCAAACGTCTGGTATTCACAAGGTATCAGCGCCAGATAGAATGAGTGGGGATAGATGTAGATGCTCTGTAACGGAAAGGAGGAAACGAAGGAGAGGGTACATTGCATACCATAACCGAGATCTGTGACCGGAGAACGATGTGCCTGCGTGGAGTCTCCCTGCACATTTTCGTGGTCATCAATAGAATAATAGCAGTTGATGAAGTGCTCATCTCCTGGGCCAATCCTAGACCGCATGCCTCGAATCAGATCGATGAAGCGGGGGTTGGCCCGGACACTGAGACACAGCATCCGGAACATATCAAGGGTGACCTTGATACGGCTCCATGAATTTAGCCTGTATATGGAGCTGGGACGACCAAGATGTCAGGAAATGCCAATCGGACTAGACGCATGAGATGGCTCAGTTGGCCCACCACGACTTACACAATCTGGGTGCTTCCAGCCGGTGATGGTTTCTAGCACTCTTGTTAGTCACGTCACGACGGCCGCAATCGACGAGCGCATTGAACCTGCAGAGCCTCACGCAGGCAATCGGCATTTGTGATCGCCTCTGGCGAAGATAGTCTTCCGAGATCTCGGTTGGGCGGGAACTGGGAAACAGCATCGGAGGCATCGTCAGTTATCCGGCGTGGCTTTCCCTCCGGCAGACAAGGGTTCGTTGGGGCGTGTTGGCAGATGTCGAGGTGGCATGCCGTCTCGTCCGATACAAAAACATCTGGCGCCCATCGCATGAGATTCTCATGCGCCCGTTGTAGGTCGTTGACGTCGAGTCCAGCGCGAGATAGGCATAGTGGATATTTGCCTGCGCGCACTGGTGTAAAAGGCGGCGATGGAGAATCGGATTGTTTACTGTCCATGATTTGTAGTATATAGCGTAAGGGGGTGGAAAAAGTAATTATTCGCGGGGGTCTCCATCGAGACGATAGTACGGATACAGCTTTGGATCATGCGAGCACTAGCTGGGTGGTTCGAGGGGCGGCGCTCCGTCATGTGAGGCGGACCGGCCCAATCGTCTTCGTGACCATGCACCGCCCCCGCGCTGTTTTCCAGCATACAGCGGACAGGCTACAAATGCACGGAGTAGCAACCTCGACATCGGGCTCCCGTTCCAAGCCTTCTCGTCCTCGTCGACATCTCACTCGGAGACGCGATGGCAGTAGTCAACTCGCTCGCGCAACGCTACGTGGAGATGGACAAACTCACCCGTCTTCTGGCCGACAAGTTCGCCGCTGGCACATATAGCATCCAGGTGAGCCTGGCTTTTGAATGGGCTGACGTCCGACGCTACGGCTGACACGAGAGAACCGCGGCAGATTAGCGGCGATTACATCGAAGTCAGCACGCCGACGGGGCTCTCGGAGGTATCTGCTTCTTTCATGACCAATGCAGCTCCGTCTGTACTAATGAATGCTACCCGGCCACAGGCCGACATCAGCCTGGTGACCCAGCACGAGTGAAGGCATAGGTTGGGAGGATCCTGGACTGGACTCTGAAGGCGAGCGTATCGCGTAGGTTGCCCAACGGCATCTTTAGCGGGGGGATTCAGGCGGAAGGCCGCGGGGGCTGTTGTCCACGGCTGGAGCTCAGAGGCGTTTCAATGTCTTGCATGTTGTTGTCTTGAATGTGGCCAAGGATTCGCATAGTCTCTCGCGTCTGCATACCAAGATAAGACTTGAAAATGTCGGTGTTGACACAGATTCCGCCACGGAGGTCGGTGCCAAACGTTCTCGCTGGCCAAGACGTTAGACTGGAAGCGGGAGTAGCCAATAAATCTACAGGGAACTGATGAATGCCTCTATGGCGGAAGTCTAACAGCCCTGAACCTTGCTCGACGCCTGCTATGGATAGCCGCTAGTCACGTTACGATAGCGGTATCCGTGTCATTTGATATAACAAGGGTCTGAAGAATAGATATACTTGTAGTGCTGGTCACGACCGCTATCGGCCACGCTATAGGAATGAGATCCTTGCAGCAAGCAAAGTATACTAGTTGGTGGCGCTATTAGCGTTTCTCAAGCATCAGCAACCACATTGCACTAGCTCCAGCTCTTGGATCTCCGCCCAACTTTCAGCTTGAGCATTGGCACCTCACGGTGGGGTGCTCTCTGTCTCTGCAGGGACTGACACCGGAGCCTGGACGCCCAACCCTGGATCTTCTAGGAGTAATCAATCAATTCATTAATCCTGGCCAGACTTGCAAGCCTCAACTACATCGGTACGTAGTCTTGCACGAAGTCTAAGCGACCCTTGCCCTGGCCCGGCTAGTCAGCACCGCCGCTCTTGCTCAGGTTCTCGCCTCCCCTTGCTCTGTGATGCTCACCTCAAGTCACCTCCATCTCCCCATCCCTCCGACAGGATATCGGTCGTCAACCTCGTCGACTGCCCGCACGCCTCGCCTCAGCAGATCGCTTCCGCCCTGAGCTGCCGGACGTGGAGTAGTCATGGATCGGCGACCGGGGCTCCAGGCTCTATGGGTCCAGATGGAGAATAATCGTGTCGCCGCCTTGGGCGGCCGCTCATTTGTCCCGCCATCCAGCCTACCCACTATCTTCACACGGGCTGCCGTGGCCGCCGCGGTCAGGGAGCTGGCATGCTCCACAGAAGATCGCATCGGACTGACTGACGATATCTTGCGCGATGGCGTGCTGACCTTTGCTATGCTCATCTCGATCCGACAGCCAGACCACGTCGTGGCCTTTCGCCGCATGCGCTGCCTCAACCGCCGGCCTCTCGATGAGGAAAATGCCAGGAAATTGCTAGGCGACCATGCCCCCAGCTTTTTGCGCGAGCAATGGGTCTTTCAGCCCTACTACTTCCGACGAGGCCACGATGTCGAGATTGCTCCGCTCGAGATTCTCCCCTTTATCCGCAGCGTTGACTCGCAGACATCGGGGGGCTTCGGGGACATTGACAAGCTCGAGATACATCCGGCCCTGCAGGACTTCTACCCCAGCGCGGTAAGCCAGTTCCGCCATGCTTGGTGCGGCTCGTTGCTGACATGGATGGATGATGTCCCCCGACCAGACAGGGGGTGTGCTTGTCGTCCGCAAGACGCTCCGCAGGGTCGCGACTGTCTCGGAAGAGCGCCGCATGGCCATGTATCAGAACGAGAAGCGCTGCCTCCGCCTCATCAACCACCCGCCCCACCCGCATATCGTCCCGCTCCTCAGCGCCTACGTCTACGAGGGCAACTGCTGCATGCTTTTCCCATTACTGGAGATGGATCTGAAAGCCTTCTTAGAGCGCCCCACACCGTACGGCCGCTTTCGCTGGAGCTTCACCTACTTCTCCGCTCTCTGCGGCCTTGCGTCGGCCCTCGCCCAGGTCCATAATGTCCAAGTCTCTCTCGAGGGCGACCATGTCGACCTCGAGGGCATAGGCTACCACCACGACCTACGGCCTGCCAACATACTCGTCAATGCGCACTCGTTTCTGCTCGCCGACTTTGGCATGGGGCGCATTAGAGTGGCGGACGATGGCTCGGAAACACCGTTCAAGGCTCTTTCGGGGGATTATGTGGCACCGGAGTGTATGGACGAGAGAAGTTTCGCTGGCCTCGGAGTAGGGCGGGCAGTCGATGTTTGGGCATTTGGCTGTCTCGTGCTCGAGGTCATGGTGTATAGCTACTTGGGCACCTCGGGCCTGACACGATTTCGACAAGAGAGGTTGACCCCTGGCCCCTCCGGATTCATCACCGACACTTTCTTCCACGACGGCCGAGGCAATATCAAGCAAGTCGTGAAGGAATGGATCGACGTGGTGGCCGCACAAGGTCACTCAACCGTAGGCGTGCTGCTCCAGCGTCTAGCGCTGTCGACCCTCAAGCCTGTCCAGGAACGGCCCACATCCTCCATGGTCTGTCGTTGTCTTTCCCGTATCAACTTGGATGCACACTTCTCAGCTGCATACGACATTCTAGCAGCTACAGTGGACGAAGAAGCGCGGACTGATGATCGCGGATCGTTGATGAAAATGTGGTTCGAGCGAGAGCGTCTCCATGCGTTTGGCGTCGTTCTGGGACTCCTCACCGAGGCTACAGAGCTTGCCATACCGAAGTTCGCAGAGCTTCATGGGGAAAAGTGCGTTCAAATTCTACTGGAAATCTTCCAAAAACTGTCGAGACCCCCAGGGTCTGGTGAACACGTCGAGACCAGCAGCCGTCTTGAGCTCGGTGTGGCGGAGGAGACTATGGATCAGCTCACGGTGGAGCCGGGCGACAACGGAGAGACCCTACTTGAGGACGAGATTCAGCGGCTAGTCCAGGATCTTTGGTTTCTCCTCTCGAGCATGGAATCCCGCAAAGCAGAAAGACTGTGGATCCATTCCATGCTCGACGCGACCAGTTGTGTAGAGAAGCTCGACCGGATGGGGCAAGTCTTAAGATCACGGAGACCTGCTGCGTATCAGCAAAGTGCAGCCATGGTTACGATGAAAAAGATTCGTCTCCAGATGGTGAATGAATTGACTCAAGAGGGCGACCTGGGGAGACTGGAGCTGCAGGGCGACGACATCCCCCAGGTGGACGATCAAGCTGCACTGGGCCATCTGATGGGTGTCGACAGGCACGGCGAGCGGGTTTTCGTCGAGGTTGTTCACTACGACCCGAGCTGGGACAGGATCCCACCAGCAGAACGCACGGTCGTCATGGCCCAGAAGGCGATGGGCTTCAATGCGAAGCCCAAACCATCAAACCTCCGTGTGCTTGACTGTGTCGGATTCTTCGAGAATGGGAATAGCAGCGGTAGTGCAGGATTCTCATTCGTCTACCAATTTCCCGAGTCGATCCGGACGCCTGACTCAACGCCTTCTCAGGGACAACGAGCCCTGATGACTCTTCATCAACTACTTCTGCTGTCGGCGAAGAAGATGAGGACAGATCAACATTCCACTCAGCCCCTTCTCGGCGACAAATTCCGGCTGGCAAGCCTACTAGCCGGGTTTCTAGGCGAGTTTCATGGCATTGGATGGCTGCACGAGAACCTGCACTCCAACAATGTTGTCTTCTTCGAGTATGAAAAGGATGTGGAAAACCACGGTATATCTGCCGCCACGAGCAGCACCCTCTGCCAGCCCTTCGTCGTCGGGTTGGACAAGGTCCGACCTGGAGGTGAGTCATGGCATACACAGGGACCTGCGGAGCATACTGACTTTCCGGACTATCGTCATCCTGACTACCAGCACACGGAGCGCTTCCGCGTCGGTTACGACTACTACAGTCTCGGGATCATGCTCCTCGAGATTGGCCTGTGGACACCACTAGTCGCCATCGCAGGCCGGAACCAGTTCTCTACCCTGTCGCCGCATAAGTTGCGTGCCATGCTAGTTGATCGCTATCTTCCACGGCTTGGCTACAGGATGGGGTTCACATATCAGGCTGTTGTGGACCGACTACTCTCCGATAAACTGGACCCGGAGCCAAGGCGGCAAGTGCCAGACGCGGTCGCCGAGAGCAAAGCATTTTCAGCATTCATGAAACAAGTGATCGATCCGCTGGAACAGCTGGCCAATGGGAGTATATAACGTTCAACGGTCTTCTGTACAAAGGATTGATGGCCAGTTAGAAGTAGCCCTATGAATCGAATTGCCGCCTCTCAACCCCAAGCTACCAGCACACTCGATAGTTTCAGGGTGTTCTTCGCCGTGAAGGCGCTTTGCTATCTCAGACATCTGCTGTAGGTTCGCCGCCTTGCCAAAGGTCTCGGTAGCAGCGTACGTTTGCGCAGGGTTATGCATGCTGAGCAGTGAGTCCGGATGCTCGTTTCCCAAGACAGCCCTGCTGTTACCTAGGACTTCCTCCTCCAACGCCAGCGCCTCTTGCCGCTGGCCTAGATCTTTGCATACCAAGGCCAGGGGTTGAACTGCACAGGAGTGTATCTGGGTGATACAAACCGAGGACTTTATCAAAGGTGCTCGCAACCTTGTGGCCTCGGGGGCCCGATATCGCCGTGAGACCCGGAACCTGCAGTGGTAATCCCACTACTCAAGCTCCCGATCCCAGCCTTGTGCAGCGGGCAGTCAAGGCATGTCCTGATCATGAAAGAAACGCCAGACCACGGGGAGGGAACCCAATACAGCCCAAAGAGTTTGCTCGTCAGAGTCCCACGCATTTGTCCTACGAGCATGCCGATGGCGAGGAACTTGCAGCAAAGACAAACACAACGTCGCCCTGCCCCTGAGCGACCTTTGCTATATTCTAATGGGGTTCTCTGGTCGTAGAGCTACGGGATGGCCTTTCCGTGCGCGGAATTTCTTTCATGTTCCGCGGCCATTGCCATCGCCAGGAGCTGGCCATGGCGCAGCAGGGTCATCATAGCGAGAAAAAGTATATTGGGATCACGAAGTCGGGTCACAAAGCTTGCAACATGGTCGGAGATAATAGCCTCATGCGAGCCAATGTGCAGCGCAGGGAGACGGGGGCGACAGAGAAGACGTTGGATCTGTCTCCTTGGTATCTTGATCATCCACGCCGTACTTGTTTCGGGTAATGGCTGGTGCTTGCGTGTTTCAAATTTCGTAGCGAGTGGGGCGAGCGTGGACAGATGGGGCTTCGTGTCCTGGTAGAATGTCGGCGCGTGTCCCCGAGCGCCGCTGCTGTCCCACCAAAATCATCGTCATCACCATCTCCACACCCACACTCGCAATAGTATCGAGTCCCACTACCGCACTATTGCCAAACCGCACTCTTTACAACTTACCCAAAAAGGGGGTCCCTGATGCCCTAGGGACAAGATCATGTCCTCCACCCCAGCACGTAGCCCAAAACACACACGCGCCTCCTCCGTTCCATTGTCACCAGAGAAAGCGGCACCACCGGCCTACGCCCTCACACCTGTCAAGTCGGCGGCGGCGACGTCGTCGTCCACGTCCCCTCGACCCGCCGCCCACGATGGAGGCGCCGCATTCGAACCCGCGCCCAAGCCCACGTCCGTCCTGCATCCGCGCATCGCCGTCATGCTGAACGTCCCGACACAATGGCACGCTTGGCTCTTTGCTCTGCGACTTGGATCTATACTGCCTGCCATACGGTGGGGCACGCCTTCGGCGCTACACCTGCTCCTGCGGTTGCTGCAAACCGTCGTAGGCGAGGAGGGCTATGAGCTCCTCCGTGAAGGTGCGAGGTGTAGGAGTACACCCTGGACAGAGAGTGTGCTGGGCTGTGTCTGGTGTTTTGCCAGCGGCTACCTGAGCTTCTTCTTTACGGACTGCCTCATGTCACGCTGGTGCGCCTCTCGTGGTCGTCTCTTCTCTTGGCTGCCGCGTATGCGGGAACTGACACACTCTAGGCTCATAAACTACACCCCGCAAGCCACAATTGTCCGCCTCCTTGCTATCAACGCCGTGAACGCCTACATCACTAGTACCGTGCTCTCTTTGGCCGGCGGATTCCAGGACACGCGACTCCTCTTGCCCGGTTGGATAGGTATTGCGACCGTACGATCTCCTCCCCCCTCCCCCTCGTCTTGATCCTTGGCGGCTAACATAGGGTCCCAGACACTCACAGTTTGCTACCACATTACGCACCAAAAGATCAACATCCGGAAAGAAACGTCTACATCGCTTAATGTGTTTTCGATTGCGAGCTACATCACCATGCTCACACTGCTGGTACACATGTACAAGTACCAGCCCGAGTACCCTGTCATGCCCGTAGTCACGAAGACGAAGCATTTCTGGAACGAGACGATGCGAATTACCGAGCATGTAAGAGATACCATCGAGAAGAAACAACGGGAGTTATGATGATTGCAGCTCATTTTCCTCATTCAGAGTATGCTAGAGCGAAGGCGTTGGGGCGTCACTATAGAACACGACACCTTGGATCAAATGGGTTTCATATGGAAGATGCTGGACGTCTTCCAAGACACCTTTCTTGCAATGCAGAATACACATGATGCAGGGATAAAAAAACAACGCGCTGATAGTACTGATTTCTGGCATACTATTGCGTACTGCATAGACTACTGTTTGGGATTGCCCAGAGATGCAACGAATGACTGGCAGCCCATGGTGGTGTCCCCCTTGCCCATAGTCCAGCTCCCGCCCGGATCTGTCAGGGAGAGAACAGTCGCAGATCGATCCTGATTCTCCCTCCAGGGTCGTCGCCCTGCCAGCAACCGACACGGTTCAATACGTCGTCGTGCGCCGCCCGTCGCTCTTCCAACCTAGCGCCTGTCAAAGATAGGTGATCGATCAGACATTCCCGTCGCCCTGGAGAGGTTGTCCGGGATGGAGGCCCGTAGCCTGCACAGCTCAAGTCTTCAGAGGAAGTACTTGCACACACAGCCCGAGAAGCCGCTGTCCCGACGCCCTCATCGCCAACAAAGCGTGGCCGGGATGCCACTGGCGAGACGACGGAACAGGACTGGCTTAGAAACCGTGGATCTTGATGGTCTTGCCATCCAAAGCTAGACCCTCCTTCTTGTCCGTGAGGAACTCCTGAACGTCCTTGCGTTGGTCCCCCTGAAGCTGGATTACCTCGCCCATCTCAGTGTCCGCGACAATGGTGCCATTGCAGGCGAACTTCTTCTTGATGACCTTGAGGATCTTCTTCTGGTCGAACTTCTTGGGGAGACCCTGGACTGTGGTCAGGGTCTTGCGTCCATTGCGCTCTGTGACATGTCAGTTGATGTTGCGCAACCTCGGCGTCTCCGAGCTTGACGACGTGACGCCTGGGCCTGACTGGGGTGTGGTACTTACGTTGAATACGGATATGGATGTAATTCTGCGCCTGCTTGGTCTCTCCGGTGTCTTCGTCGGCTTCGGCGAAGGGGTCTGTCGAGATATGTTAGCGTCAGTGCTGTCAAAGGAGCGCGCGGGGGCGGCGGTGGCGCTGGATGGCAGGCACTGAGAGCGCTCAGACCATTCAGTGGGGATTTTGTGCGCTTGCGCCCCGGTGCAAAGACGCGCATGCAGTGCCAGACAAAGGAGTTGGACCTACCAAAGGACTTGAGGTTTTCGATGGACATAAACTCGGAGTTCTCGGGTGACTTTGGGAAAAGGGTCTTGTTTCGGAGAGGTGGGAGGAGTAGCGACCGACTTTTCTGTCTCGCTGGCTGTGACGCTTGGTGTACTGAAGTATGTGTCGAAGGTGATTGAATATGCGTGTGCAAAAGCCTCTGGAGAAGACGTTAGAATGATGCAGCACGTTGATGCGACCTAGTTATTATACTGACTTTGCTGTAGAGAGTTCTGTGGTCGTGATGGTGCTGATGCAGAAGCGAAGATCGGGTGCTGAGGAAGAGAAAGGAATCGAAAGGGGACTGGGGCAGAGTTAAAAGAGGAAAGGAGGGGCAACAAATCCCACCCACCTACCTCACTTTCGCGGCCTGTGGTTTGCCTCAAGGCTGCACGGTCGGCAGCTGCGCTGCTGCACAGCATCTGGCGTCACTTCCACAGCACACACAGCCCGCTGCCCCGAAATGCCTCAAAATTCAGGCAGCACGAAGTACCCTTTACACATCACGAACAACGCCTCGTCGTGCGTCTGTGATATTGACGAAGCAAGCGCATGCAATATTGCCGTGCTGAAATACCCTTTTCTTTCTTGTGCGACTTTTCATAAAGCAGTAGCTCTAGTCATCTATGCCCTATCGCGTTCTGGTATCGATTGCTGCCCCTCCAGTGCACGCGCCTTGTGACACATACCCGCCCGCTTCGTCTTCTCACGCGCGCATGCGGAGGATGGTGTCCTGCTGTGCAACACCATTCTAGCCATGCCCGTATTTTGATAGACGCCGATCCCATGATTGGCTATTGTACAGCTAGCCTTGCAAAAAGCTTCGCCACGAACTGCGCTGCGCAACGAGTACAAATCTGAAAATTGTCACGTCTAAGAGCGCAAATATCTACAGGCTGTCAAAAGCCTTTGGCACTCATTGGCCATATTTGCTAGTCTCCGGAAAGAGATTTTGGAATCATCGACAGATGCAGCAGGCACAATGGTCTTTACGCCTGACTATGTGGCCCCAGATGCACCGCCAGCCTTTGAAGACATGTGCGGCGAAGTGTGGACACAAATATGCCGTCACGAATGCGCATTCTCGCCAGACATCTTCTTTGACAAGATGATGAACCTCATCAAGAACCCCAACATCAACTCGTCGTGGCTGTTCCGCGCCGACATTGTGTACGATGACGCCTCATCGCCCGCGCGCATTGGGGAAGTCGAAGACGAGAGCAGACCTAGGGTCAGGGAGGTCAAGAACATCCCCAGGACGAGGATATTGATACGCACCCTCGTGCCCAGAAATACGCTCCGGGACGCCCCCGTGAACCAGACCTGCACGTTCCACCAACACTCCTCGCAAGGCGAGGAGGACCTCATCAGAAGTTTGGTCATTTACATCCCGCATGTTGACTCTGTCGAGGACTACCCCTTTTACCACCCCAAGGTCAGGGGCGTAGCGCACTACCATGAATGGGATGCGTCCACAGGTGCAGGATTCATCTCCATTCACTTCCTCCCATTTGCGGACATTCCCGTCGCCGCGGACAAGAACCTGCAAAGAATTGCCTACCATCTGCTGGAAGTCTTGCACAAACATGGCGAGGGCGTGGCCAAGGGTTACGTCAAGCGCGTCCAGCACGACATGATTGTCCCGCAGATCAAGTTCCAGGATCGATACGCGGAGCTCAAGGGGAAGTATGCCAGATCCCTTATTGGCGAATGGGACGAGAAGACCGATCCGGTTAAACATGTCTTTGAAGATCTCGGCATAGCGGCCTTCTTGATCGAGATGTGGATGACCATGTACCGGGAGCACCCCTTCCCCGGGTTCGTCGACATTGGCTGCGGCAACGGACTGTTGGTGCACATCCTGAATCAAGAAGGATACTCTGGCTGGGGGTTTGACGCTCGGTCACGCGGATCATGGCAGAAGTATGCTTCCCCGTGCTCCGCGTCGCCAACGGGCTCATCTCTCGCTCAGCGCCTCCTCTTGCCCTCTATCATCCAATCCACCACGTCGTCCCCTATGGATCCAGCGACGACCCACGACGGAGTCTTCCCGACCGGCACCTTTATCATCTCCAACCACGCCGATGAGCTCACCCCTTGGACGCCGCTCCTCGCTACCTTGTCATCCAGCCCCTTTCTGGTCATCCCTTGCTGCTCACATGCACTGTCCGGCGCCAGACAGCGTCACCCGCCCCCAAAGGACAAGTCTAAGGGCAGCTCGACGTACGCGAGTCTAGTGGAATGGACAAGGCACATCATGGAGCGCTGTGGGTGGGAGGTGGAGACCGAGACGTTGAGGATACCGAGCACACGAAATATCGGCCTCGTTGGCAGGCGGAGAACAGCGGAAGAGGTGGACATACTACAGATCATCGCCGAGTTTGGTGGTGCAGACGGCTTTGCGAGTAATGTCGAGCAGCTGCTGAAGGGTGGCCCGCGAGGTCATTGATGATAAACATAATCAATAGAAATGGCACATTGTGGTTGGTTCGTACGTGTGTCATTGCATTCATCTCATACATGTCTGTGACATGGTGCTGTACAAATCAAATGGTATCCCTCAAGAGACAGGCATCCCCCAAACTCCGATCCATGGGCAGGCGCTGAAATGTGCGTTTCATCGGAAATTTGCTTCCTGTACGACAATGGGTTATTCTTCGTCATCCTCCTCGATCGGCGCCGGCGTCCTCCTCTCTGTTCGCCTCTTGGGCCTCCTGTGTCGTGAACTACTAATGTTGCTTGCCGAATCGTCGGGCTTGATTTCGAGATCATCCCCGAATCCCCACTCACTCTCGCTCTCGCCGCCGTCAAAGTCCCAGTGCGTTGGCATTCGTTCACCGGGCGCGGGTGTCTGGCCCTGTTGCGGCAGGACATCGATTCTTCGTCTGTTCTGCAAGTTTTGCATGAGGCCTGCGCCGCGTTGGCGAAGGGCGTTGCGGACAGTCTCGGCCTGAAGGTGAAGTTTCTCGAAGGCGTCCTCGAGTTGCTCCATGCCCGAATAGATCTCGCGCTCAATCTCGGCGATAACGGCCATTTCCATTTCTTCGTCGTTGGAAACGGGTTGGCGGCCAGACGCGGTATTGGTGGAAGTCAGCGAGACAAAGGAGGCTGGTGTGGGACCGCGCGAATATGGCGACATGGTGTTCGAGCGGATGCTGGCGGCAGAGGGCGCGCGGGAGAGAGGCGTTGGGCCCCGCGAATCCGGGAAGCCAGGCGTGTATGTTCCGTCGGCGGCATCGGCGCCAGACCAGAGGAAGCCGTCGAAACGGCCAGAAGTGAGAATCTCCCATTCGGAGTTGTTGATATTGGAAAGGGTGACGAGGAGGTCGTGGGTATGCTGGTTCTTGATGAGGTACATAGCACTTTCTGCGTCACGGGGTGTCTGCTGCAAACGGTAGAGGCGCTGGAGAGAGAGACCAGTCTTGACAATAAAGTCGTTACGATTGAGGTGTTTGGCGGGCGTTGGTGCGCGGGTCGCTGGTCGAACATCACGGGTACCGGCCATTAGGGCATTGAAGTAGGGTCGGTCTTCCAGGTCGAGGCTTGTGAGGATGGCGAACTGAAGTGTCTCGTCGTCGACATCCTGCGGCGGAGGCACAGGCGTATCGGCTGTCTTGTTCAGCCACTTGTCAACAGCTGAGCGGACCTTCATGGACTGGCGTAGATAGTGTTCTCTGAACTGCTCGTCAATGTCGGGATCCATCTTGACGGGTGACCGTGGGCGGTTGGGCGTCTCTTCCGCCGAAATCTCCGCCGCTTTCAGACCGATCTCTGCCAGGTTGAAGGGAGGCCACTGTGGTAGCTCAATGCGTCCGCTCGCCCACTCCAGCACGTCACCCCAGGTCAAGCCGCAATGGATCTCATGCGCTCTGTGCTCGCAGATGACGCAGGAGCAGCCGTGAGGGGGGAGGTCTCTTGAGAAGACATTCTCAAGTCGGTCAAGCAGGCGACGAGCAATGGACCGATGGCCAGTTGCCACGGCTATTGAGCCATGTCTGTCAAGGACGTTGCTGTATTGGTCAAGAAGCGTGACAAACGGTTTGAAGAGGTCGTCTGCCTTGGGCCTTTCAATGCCTTGCCCCTGCTGACGTGGGATCACCTCGAAGAATCTCTTGTGCACAGCAAACGGCAGGCCGCCATTTTGCAGTAGATAGTCCACACGTGGTAGGTCCTGAATATCGATAGCTGGAGGCGGAGGGGGTGGTGGTGGTGGTGGAGGAGGTGCACCTGACGCTGGCGTTGCTGTCTTGGAGGGGATATCGATGTCCGACCCCTCAAGATCAGGTGTAGGGGCGGGCTCTGGTCGCGCGCCTCCATACACGTGTGGCGAGAACTGAGCGTGCTGTGTTGGTGTACGGGGTGACTCGTCCTGGGGTGTCGAGGGCGACGAGTCAGGCCCCTCGCGTCCTTCGTGGTAGCGCACCGACGACGATCTTTTAGCAGATCGCTGGGAACTGCTGGAGAGCCTTGATTCTGTGCGCAGCTTCTCGTAGGACTTGTTGGTTGGTGCCTTGACAAAAGTAGCCTGGCTTGAGGACCTCGACTTGCCGCTCAATCTCGACCTCTCGTCTCGCAAGGAGGCCGATCTGGAAATGCCGGAAGTTCTGCTCTTTGGTCTCGAGACGTTCCCGTCGCCAGCATCATCCTCGCGGCGTTTGTCGGCTGACACATCGGTATCTGGCGGTGTAGGCGGGCGTGTTGATCTTCTTGATGTTGAGGTCCTGCGTTCATACTCTGCGCTTCTAGACCGTCTTTCGTCTTCCTCCTCCAGCTGCTCATCTTCAGCCCCGTCCCGTCGTGATTCGCCACCGACATCGGTCGTATCGGGGGTATATGGGTTCGAACGCCCAGCTGTCGACACGTCCTCTTTGCTATGCACCGCCTCCTTGCTGTGCGCCTTGCTGAATGTGGGATATGGCATTGCTATGCGGGGCAAGTCTAGGGAGACGGAGGATTTGCCGGCAAAAAGGTCGCTGGCCGATGCCGTGCGGCTCGCCCTCTTGACTCGACTAGCACCGTCATCGTCCTTGTCCCTTCGACTGCGATGCTTCCGCACCGAGCCAGACACCTCGCTCCCTTCGCCTGCGTTCTTCTCCCGGCGCGACTTGCGCTTGTGCTCGCGGTCGCGGTCCTTGTCACGGTCCCGGTCTGAGGGTTTGCGGTCTGCGCGAGAGCGGCGGTGCTTTTCCTTTTCCTTGTCACCCTTGTCTTTCGATGTACGATGGGAGGCTGTCGTGGTAGTAGCCGCTTCTTCGGGTTGAATGTCCTGCTGATCGACAGTGTCGTCGTCATGTTCGCGGGAGGGCATATTGGGCAGTCATTGGGCCGGGCGATATGATGTGATGTGAGGGGGAGCTCGCAGGACAGGAATGCGAGAATGGCGGTGGCTCGAGGGTTGTGTGTCGGTTGAGGTAGCAATGCAAGAGAACAAAGTAGTCTTGGACAAACACGTAAAGGAAAGAGGCAGAGAGGGAGGAAGGGTGAAAGGATGAGCTCCAGAACTGCTGGTTGTGATGTGACGTGAAGATGGCTCTTTTTCGGTTTGGCTCTTTCCGTAGCTAATCACTGGCGATTAACGTCAAGCCTTGTTGGTTTTAGAAGGGACGGGGCGTTCCAGTCCCCAGGGCAGCCCTTTCCTTGGGCGGGCTGGAGGCGGCTGTATGACGGTGACTGTGACCGCTCAGAGGCTGTGGAGGCTATTCTTGGGGGTTGGACCAGCCGATGGAGGCGTCTGATTGGCCAGGGAGCTCCCGGCGGGGTATCCCTAGGCGCCCAAGGGACCGACTGGGCTAGGCTTCCAGAGCTTGACAGCTCTGGCGTCCAACGTGCTGCATTGTGAACCTCACCATTCACGTTGTGCACGCAATGGTCGACTACACGGCAAGATTCATATTCACGAGTCCATACCCATCACACTATTCAGGGACAACGCATGCATGCATGTCTGCGGAGAGGCCATTATCTGTTGAAGCTCTGCACATGCGGTGTCCGATACGGTGGGCGGGCTGCATGAGCCTCTCAGTCTCATCACTGCTGTCTCATCTCCTTCATCACGTACATCGCAACTCACAGTCACTCATAAATCATCACATGTCGTGATTGTCAAGTCCCTCTGTCTATACATTTATCTTCTTCTGTTTAGGTTTTTCTCTACAGACGATCCAACAGACCACGGCTCTCGAGCAGGAGAATGATCTCGTGCACAATGGACCTCACGTTCTGCTTCTCAAAGTCGACAACCAGGTCGGGCTTGACGGGGTTCTCGTAAGGGTCATCCACGCCAGTGAAGCCCTTGATCTCGCCGCGGCGGGCCTTGGCGTAGACGCCCCTGCGGTCCATCTTCTCGCAGTACTCGAGGGGTGTCGCGACGTGGATGAGGAAGAAGGGGCCGCTCTTCTCGACGGCCTCGCGGGCCTGCTGGCGGGCGTCCTCGAAGGGTGCAATGGGCGCGGCGATGACGGCGGCGCCGGCTTTTGTGAGCTCGGAGGCGACAAAGGCGATGCGCGAGACGTTCAGGTCGCGGTCCTTGCGGGTGAAGCCCAGCTCCTGGGACAGCTCGTGGCGGACCGTCTCACCGAGGAGCATGGACACGGGACGACCACCGTCCTGGTTGAATGTGACCTGCAGGGCGCGGGCAATGGCGTCCTTGCCCGAGTTCTGGTAGCCGGTCAGGAAGACGGTGAAGCCCTTCTCGCGGGGCAGGGGGTTCTGCTCGCGCAGGACCTTGACGACCTCAGGGTAGGAGAACCAGGCGGGGATGTCCTTGCCAGTCTTGAGGCGGTTGCGCAGCTCGGTGCCCGATATGTTGAGGGTCTTTGTGCCCTCGGGGATCTCGTTGGCGGGCATGTACTCGTCGTTGTCGGGGATGTAGATCATCTCCTGGAACTCGACCATCTTGATGCCGAGCTCCTCCTGGTACTTCTGCACGAGGATCTGGGCGTCGTAGGCACCGTAGTGGTCCTTGCCGTTCTTGTTCTTGCCGGGGCCAGCGTGGTCACGGCCAACGATGAAGTGGGTGGCGCCGTGGTTCTTGCGGATGATGGCGTGCCACAAGGCCTCGCGGGGACCGCCCATGCGCATGGCCAGCGGCAGCAGGGCGAGGGCGCCCATGCCGTTGGGGTAGCGGTTCAGGATAGCCTTGTAGACGCGGACGCGGGTGAAGTGGTCAATGTCACCGGGCTTTGTGAGACCGACGACGGGGTGGATGAGGACGTTAGCCTGCTGCGAGCGGGCAGCGCGGACGGTCAGCTCACGGTGGGCACGGTGCATGGGGTTGCGCGTCTGGAAGGCGACCACCTTCTGCCAACCGAGCTTGTTGAAGTGGGAGCGCAGCTCGGAGGGTGTGAAGCGCAGCTCCAGGAAGTCGTAGTGCTCCAGGCGCTGGATGGCCTCGAGCTTACCACCGACGTAGAACTGCTTGGCGGTGCTGAAGAGGTACTTGATACCGGGGTGAGTGTCATCATCACTGCCAAAGACCTTGACGGCCTCGTTGACCTTATCGGGCTGATAGATGTCCTCGATGGTCAGGATGGCCAAGTCGCGGTCATCACGGAGGTCACGCAGGACGACGCGGACGCCCTCCTTGAGACCCAGGGTGTCAATTTCCTTTTGGCTGACATCGAGGGTGATTGGCATGGAGAAGAGGGCACCATCGGCCAGACGGTTGTCCTCCACGACGCCATTGTAGTCCTTCTGGGTCATGAAACCTGTGCATCGCCTGTCAGCTCACCGTCTTTTTCTTGCTGTTCCTGCGCCCGTTTCCTAATTCATGGCCGTGGTTGGGTTGATTGACTCTCAGCGCCGGGCGATCGCCCGGGGGGGTGCCACTGTGGACCACTGACCCCTCAACGCCTGTCGTCTTCCCGCCCACCGCCAGCCCAGGATGCCATGTTCAGAGGGGAGCTTGCGCAATGAATGGGACACGTACCTTCAAGAGGAGAGAAACCACCATTGAGAATGAGCTCGAGATCACAGAGGTGACGCTCGGTCAATGTGATGGCGGGCAGCGACTCGGCCTCCTTGGCGAGTTCTGCAGAGCGAGGGGCATCGCGAGCGAAGAGGTCCTTGAGGACACCACCGTGGGGAGTGTTGGCCATTGTGAATGAATGTGAGGATGATGAGGAGGGAAGAAGGAGGAAGTCGGAGCAAGCAGCAGCAGAATGACCCAAGTACCTCGACAACCTGATCGGACAGCTGTAGGGCAATGAAGAGTCTGATGAAGCTCTTGTGGCTGCGCCGCGCCTGATTGGACAGTAGTGCGGATGATCACGCAATCGACGAAACGAGGGCCGGGCAATGGGCACGCAAGCAAGAGTCAGTCAAGGAGGTGACGACTGGAGCTAGCTAGTTAACGTTAGCACGCAACCGGCGAGGGCAATGGCAAGAAAAGAGGCTTGTTCTGGCTGGATGGAATGATGTGCTTTTAAATATCTTTCTCGCTGGCCCCTTGAATGATATCCTTGTCTGTTGATCTGTTGCCCCTGACTATCCTACTGATGCTTGCGACTCTCAATGTGTGATTGCGGTGCCCTGCCACTTCCGTTCGAATTACCAAGACGTTGGTAATAATTAAGCCTGGCTTGCGCAGCCACGATGGCGTGCTCAACGGAACCAATGGTTCAATGCACAAGCTGCAAACATCAATATTGAGTGCCCAGCGATAAGCCATCATTTTTAAATGCTTCCAGTCCTCACTGCATCTTCAAACCCAAGGAAGGACGGCAGTGGAATCCGTATCCGTCATGTTCGTGCATTCGCTAGGCCACCCCTGCGAGCCGCTAACGGCCACTGACAGGCTGCCCCGCGGAGGGGTCGAATGGCTGACATTGGCCACTAACAGTGTGTGTCTCACATGGCCCGGCACCCTGATAACCGTATTTCTTCCTCAAATCTTCAACAAGCTTCTCCGGTCTCGACATCGCGCCTGCAATCCTCAAGACGAGGTCACTGACTCGACGAGCCGTGGGGATCCGCACGACAAACCCCGTCTCCAACGCCTTCAAGGCTTCGAGAGAGAGAAATCAGCGCGAATGAAGATGAAACACGGAAGCTGCCAAGACAGGGAAAAGTCGTTGCACCTGTCGCTGATCATCGACCAGCCCTTGCGATCAGCCCTGTCCATCCGCAGCTGAGGCGCTGATAACGGCAATTCACTAACATTGGTGCCAACAACAACTGCCCATCATGGGTTCCGCGTCTATTGCTGCTTCCCGTGCCATTTTGCCGCGCGCCGGACGTCGGGCCATCGGGTGGGCGTCAGACGCACCTTGACTGCGATGAAAACGTCATGGGCCGATGGTCCGGCTGAAGATGCCATTTTTTTCTCCATTTCGCGGGGCGCGATGACATAGGTATGGGCCCATTTTCTTACAACATGTTTGAGGCATTGGGTCCACGCCAATTCGGGAGATGAACACGGTGAATTTCTGCGCATTTGCTGAAGATGTCGATAACGGCGTTTCAAGGAGAGAAACCCCGAGAAGATCGAGAAATGTGCCCCGGGCTGTCCTCGCAAAGCGCGCAACATGTCTCATGCTTCCAAACACGAGCACAGTGTCTCGCAGCGTCTCACTCTCTCCAGCGCCACAAGTCGAAGTGCGGATCAAAAGGTCCGGCTCGTACCTGATGCGAATCTCAACACTATTGAAAAGAGTGGCCCCTTTTCGGGTTACCATGGTATCCAAGGTACTGTATCTATCCAAAACAAAGTGCGGCTTCATGGATTTCACTTGCGGTCCAGCCTATTACCCTCGACTTCCATCAACTCGAGCTAATCTGACCCGTCGTCTGGCTTGGTCTCGTAGCTGACGGTGTTCGTCACACTCTTCTGTATGCCACGTTTGGGCTTGGGAGTTACGCCACTGCCACTAAAGGTCATGAGCGAGTGTGGCTTGTTGGGTTCATCGCTGCGCTCGTAGAAGCCACTGGCCGATCCGAATATCTGAGGGTACGTACGTCGTAGGAGGGCGAGGACTGCAGGCATGCAGCAGCACATGATGGAAACATTGCACTCGATGATGGAGTAGATCGCGACCATAAAGTTGTTGTAATTCAGGATTGTGGTGAACGAGTACCGGAGGAGCCCGGGGAAGCGGATGATACTAATCACAGTGATGCTGCGCATGTCAGCGGACGAATGTGCGACACGTCGAGCGACTAGACTTACATGATGCATGTGCCCACGCCGAACATCAGCATCTGGTAGATAGTCTTTTTGAGAACCAGTTGAAGCTTCAGCAGCTGCGAGATGGGGAGGACCAGGATCCATGGAGCACAAGTCCATCGAGATGTTGATTTCAACCTATATATCATGGCCACGAAGTGGCTATGAGCTTGCCAGGCCTACTCCTCCAAGCTGTGGCAGACACACACCGTCGACGGCACAAACAATGGTGCAAAAAAACTCCGAGACGACTGCCGCAATGGGCGCGACAAGTCTTCAGTCGCGACCAGGCTCGTTGCACATGCTTTTGGCGTTGTTGGCGGCGGCTGTGCCATGTCAGTAAATTGTGTGCAGCGGATGAATCAAGGAGAGCCTGCGTACCCAAACTTTCAACAACGGTGTGACTGGTGAAAGTCCAACCTTCGACGCCCAGCATGATTTCCGTGTTGGCGCACATGCAGTCTAAATACGTGTCCTCGCAGGTCGCATCTTGGGGGAACTGGGCTAGACAAGCGGCCTACGCACAGCCAATACTCTGCATAGGAATACTTTGGTCATGCCAATTATCAGATAAGCAAAGCAGCCAACTTGCTGTTACAAGACACACCGCACAACCAGGCATTGTCTGTGCTTGCCCAAGAGCTATCCACCCACCTGCGCCAGCTACAACCAGACACGAGAACAACTGAACGACGTTCAACGTTCTCGAAAATTGGGCAAGTATTTAAATGCTGACACGACGAACCTCAACTACCTCGCAGCGACGAGTAGGGAAAAGTATATATTGCCGCCGAGAGGTAAAAGCATAGCGAACTCGACTTCGGAAGGACTCAAGGCAACACTGTCAGCCGATCACCTGCTCCTTTGAAATCTTCGGTCCTTGTATCACATACCAACAGCCATTGCCGACTCGACAGAGGGAGCTTTATTCATCATCCATATGGAGGACATGGCCGCTCTCAGCACCACGATGAACACAGTGACAGCAAAGCCAAGGTACATGTTCGGGTCTACACCCGGCGCAGACTACAGATGGCAGGGTAACATGGCTTCGGAAAAGTATATACGTAATCAAGCCATTTTCTAATCCTCAAGCGCTCTCGTCAGGGGGATATCAAACGCCAGCATTTAGGACCCAAATTGGATGTCAATATCGCGATGAATCTTGATTCTTTTTGCTTATCTAGGTCTTGGTCCCCTCTACATCATTGCATTGGCTGATATGACAAAGCTATCGCTGAGGCCGCACCTCGCCTTGCCTTTCAAAGAAGAACCGACCACGCCATCACTGGCTGGGTCAATAATGGCTTATGCTCTTCGACCTGTTGGCCAATGCTTATTCGTCTGGATGTATTGCCGTCTCTCCCCAAGCCTAAGCTGCATATGCAACATACCCAGTTTTCCGAGTCGGCCCCCTCAACACTAGCCAACTACATAAAGAAATATTGGAGGCAATGGAATAGACGTGCCTACTCGGGACGGCGCGGCGTCCCGCGTCTTAGTCTTGGGCTTGGGCGTTGTACCCGTCGTCTGAGCGGCTCCTGGATTGAACTGGTTCAGGCCTCATGTACCTAAGCGTGGAAATCTGCAACACAGATCAAAGATTGGGAGTCAAGATGACTGTAGGGTTGGGTTCGGGGCGCTGTGATGCACGTCCAGGGGTCCTTCGGGGTATGTGGTGCGATACTACCAGACTCAATGACCGAGTGGCCAGCTAAGCAGACATACTGGCATATGCCCCCTCCCCTCACTTAAATCACTCGATTCCCTTTCTTGCCTCTCTTCGAAGGTTTTGTTCAAGTTCCTCGTTTGAACAAGCTGTGGCCAAGCTTTGCATTCATCGCCAATTATCCGCCTGTACAATACATGTCTCTTTTCCCACCACCTTGGATCATGGCATACTCTACCCCGACAGTGGCCTTCGCCCTCGTGGGCGCCTTTATCCTGTTGTACCTTGTTCTCCCGCTGGGCAAGCGGTCCAGCAGTGCCGTTTCACTGCCTCCTGGTCCCAAGCCCGCGCCTGTGATCGGAAACATTCACCAGCTACCCAAGAGCATGCAATGGCTGCACCTGTATCACCTGAGCAAGGAGTATGGGCCTATTATGCACTTCAGCATGGCGGGGAAGCCGCTCATAATCTTGTCTACGCATGAGGCTGCGCACGACCTGCTCAACAAGAGGGGTGCCAGGTACTCGGATCGCCCGAGGATGGTTATGGCCGGGGAGCTGGTAACGAGGGGCATGCACCTGCTGCTGCGCCAGTACGATGACCAGTACAAGCTGCATCAGAGGATGGAGGCGCCGCTATTTACACCCAAGTCAGCCAGCATGTATCGTCGCCTGCAGGACTTGGAGAGCCAGCAGCTGTTGCTGGATGAGATCACGGAGATGGAGACGCATGGCGAGAAGGGTGTCAATTTTCACCATCACCACGAGCGCGCCATGGCCAGCACCGTCTATTGTCTCATCTACGGTTACCGCCTCAAGACAGGCTACGAGCAGTCTTTGCAGGACGGTAAGAAGGTGGAAGCCGCGTTTGTCAGGACAGGCCAGGTTGGAGCCTACCTCGTGGACTCGATCCCCGCCATCAATCGCTTGCCACGCTTCCTCGCTCCGTGGAAGAAGGAGGCTGATGAGCTGTTTGCGCTTGAGTGTAATCTACACGAGGGCAACCTGCACAAGGGTCTATCAAACCCTGGCTGGAACTTTAGCAAGCACATGAAAGCCTCGCCCGAGGGCAAAGACATGGACAAGACAGAACTAGCTTTTGATCTGGGTGTCCTCGCGGACGCAGGCCTTGACACTTCCACTGTTGCGCTCGACTGGTTTATTGTGGCCTGGGTTACCAGCGGCAGTACATGGGTGTCCAAAGCACAGAAGCTGTTGGACGAGGTTGTGGGCAAGGATCGCATGCCCACGTTTGACGATCGCCCCAAGCTGGCCTTCATCGATGCCATCGGTATGTGACCACTTTTATAACCTTTCCCCCCGTCTGTGCCCGAGACTACATGAGTGGATTTGTGCTATTGTACAGTGGCTGACATGAATCCACAGTCAGCGAGACCCTACGATGGCGTCCTGTTGCCGCGGGTGGCGTGCCGCACTTCACCAAGACGGAGGACTCGTACATGGACTACCGCATCCCGGCCAATTCCATTGTTCTGCCAAATTCTTTTGCCATCTGTCGTGACGAGTCCGTGTTCGGCGCCAACCCCAACTCATTCGACCCCGAGCGTTGGATGACAGGCGACACGACACAGCCTCCGACCGTGGATGCCTGCGGTCTCAACACGAGTGACCTCAAGGACCTGCCCCAGACGGGCTTTGGATACGGTCGTCGTATCTGCGCCGGCCGTATCATTGCCCGAAACCATCTCTTCATCGAGATGGCGCGCATGCTGTGGGCCTTTGACGTCGAGGCTGGCATCCGCGAGGATACCGGGGAGAGGTATGTCGTCGACGACATGGACTGCACCGAGGGCTTTGTCACGCTGCCCAAGCCTTTTAGGACGGTGATGAAGGTGAGGGGTGAGTATGTCACGAGGATTGTCAAGGAGAGAGGTACCACCCACAACATTGACCATGCGGCTGTGCTGGAGCAGATGAAGGTGCAAAGGAACTGAAGGCTGATGCTGGTAGTCGATATTTAACACAATGTCCTTCACTCAACTTCTGCAAATGGTGATGTACCTCGAAGAAGTCACTCTTCATGGCCAACTTCCATTTCATCGTGAAGCAGCAGGCTCCTTCCGTGATTGACGGGAACCGCCAATGCGTCCATGGTAGATGTATGGACGTTATTTGAAAATAGGGAGCCCCTGATGCCGACTCACAAGCGGTAGCGGATCTAGTCTTGTGAGAAAACGAAACACACAAGGGAATTATTAAAAAAAAAAAAATTTGGGGACAGTCTTTATAGTACGGGAAGCTAAGGTACACACTCTCTCTGATGAGATTCGGTTTGCCAACTGCAGTACCAGGCATGTGGCTGTGAACCTCCTGTCGAACGATCAAGGAGCCAAGTACAACAACATGGACAGCCACCCGCGTACATTTGATCTCGCGAGCACTGCATCAACATCAAGAAGCGACATTAGGAAGGCAACTTGATGTTTCTCGACACTGTCAATCAGATACCAAGACTAGCTCCAGTGACACATCCCCCTCAAACTCAAATCAAGAGAAGAATGTCCATCGTCCCACCGTCCATTGTCCATCCACCCTACAAGGTTCCCACCATCAAAGACGGGCCGAGCTTGAAAGGATTGATTCGAGAGCAAGTTGTTGGGGTTCGGGGTTTTTGGGGTTCGGGATCGGACCTAAAAATGGTATAAAAGTGAGGCTAGCCACTCCGCAGGCCAAGTGGGCTCATCCAGATTATTTTTGTTTTCTCTTCTCCGCCGTGTAGGTTTAGAGATGAAAAGTGTGCTCTCATCACAAGGGACCCCATTTTTGAGTTGAGTCGCAGAGGGCAAGACAAAGCTCAGAGATGAAGAGCTTTGTCTGAGGCCGATAATAACATACCGAAAGCGGTTCTGAGGCCAACAAGGTATAGGGTGAAGAAGACCGGACTGTTGCAAGTGCATGGTGCAGCCGACCAGGTGGATATATGGTAATAAAGGCTTGAACGAGGAATACAAGACAAAACAAGAGATGGCTGGACTGGAGAAACCCCAGAACGAGCCGGTGTTGTAGTGGGAAGCTGTGAATGCTGCGGCCATGATGATGTCTTGGTAAAGGAGAGTCAAAAGAGGATAGAGGGGAGACTGGAGGATGGGCACGCATGATATAGTCATCACAAACACAAAATACCGCACTTTCCGAGGGGATCCTCGAAGTACGGAAAGAACAACAATCCAAGAGTGATTCGCATGCGATGGAAGGCGTCAGTGCCTGTGGACAGAAACCACGGAAACCGCAGGCGCCCTCGGACGCAAAGGTCGAGTCTAGGCCTCTCACTCTCAATGAGGGTCAAAAGAGGCTGCTTGAGAGCACTCAAATAATCTTGCGTATCTTTACATAATGGCTGACATCTTCTCTAGGGTTGCCGCAAGATGTAGTGGTCTAAGGTCATGCAGTCTGACTGGTCCTTCTTTCAAGTGTTTGCGCAAGTATATCACACTTCTATATCTCTTTGAACTGCCCGTGGCTCTTGACCAAACCTGTGTGCATTGGGCTTGGAAATAGCAACACGGAGTAAGCCTTGTCGACTTCATGTACTAGTCCATCAAGAAGTAAGCCAAAGCATTCCAGGTTCAGTGATCTAGCTACTAAGGGGAAGCACCAACGCGGCATCTGTGGCAGGAAAGATAGCTCAATTTGGAATCTATAGCCTAACGAGTACCACTCCCTCTACATCTCAAATTGCCGTCCTTGTCTCAACCTGACCAACAGGCTTCTCCGCTCCCATATCCGCCTCCAGATCCCTCCATGTCTCCTTCTGTGTCGCGGATGTCGGCTCCCCATGCTTGGCATAGCCAGATTGGCCGAACTTCGCAAGTTGGAACTCTTCTGCGTTTTCATTGGGCACGACACCCAGTGCAGCAGCTTCCTTAGGGGTAAATGTCGCCCAGTCGTCGTGCAAGTCGAACGCGCCAGCCCCCGCGACGGGAAAGACGAGCACAAGGCTGTAGTAGAGTATGAAAGAGATGGCCATGCCCGTGAAGAAGGCTGTGTAGTAAATCTGGAACAGCGCATCAGGGGCGCCAGTCATTTTACCAGCGCTGGCGACGAGACCGCCGATTGTGGGCGCCCAGCCAGCGATCCAGCAAGGGATGACGCGCCAGTTGAAACCGTGGGAGTACCAGTAATCCGAACCCTCGGGACGGTAGAGGTCGTTCAGCTTGATGCGCTGGCGACGGATAACGTAGTAGTCAGCAATCATGACACCCAGCAGAGGCGCGAGGAAGACGGAGAAGGAGCTCAGAACCGTGACAAAAGTGGCGGCACGGTTGATTAGCTGCCACGGCTGGATGATCCACGCGGCGATGAAAGTAATGAGCGCGCCTCGACGGATGTCGACGTAACGAGGGAAGATACCGGACAGGTCGATGCCTCCGGCGACAGCATTACCGCAGACGTTCTGGAAGAGGATGGCGAAGCCGAAGGCGAGGGACAGGAAGAAGACTCCTGCACGCGCAGCGGAGGAGCCATGTCCGCTGTCCATCATAACCATCATCAGATCCGGGGGATTCCAGAAGATCTCACCATAGATCCTCTGGCAAGCCGCCGTAGTGACGAGGCCAGCTATCGAGACAATGATACCAATAATCCATTGCACGGAAAATGTGCCGACAATCAAACCCCATCTATTGCAGGCGTAACGCGAAAAGTCACTCTCGTTGGTCATACCAGCAGCCTTCTGGCCAATGGCCTGGTTCAAGGCCGCCATCATGATCCAGGAGATGCCCCAGCGCGAGGTGGCCGGGACGTCCTGTCCCTTCCAGAAGATGGGGCCGACGCCCTTGGCCACAGAGAGGGACCAGACCATCATGGAGAACATGGCGAGCCCGCAGCCCAGTGAAGAGAAGAAGAAGGGCTTCTTGAAGCGCTCAGGGCGAATGAACAGAAAGGGCACGGACAGGAGCCAGAAGATGGTGAAGCCGACCATCTCGCTGGTAGTCGTGGGTACGCTGGCAGGCAGCGTGTTCTTCATCGTGCTGAAGGAGGGCCAGATGGCCGTCAACGCGACGGCGACGAGCTTGCCACCATTCCAGCACTGGAGGGCGTTCCAGATGAAGTTGAGCATAACACGCTGGATCAGGGGGATGTAGGCGCCACGGAAGCCCCATGTGTAGCGGTTCTGCACGGTGAAGCCAATGTGCCAGGTCAGGCCGATCCAGCCGATGACGCAAGTGAAGATGGAGACGATGAGGCGTGAGACGACGATGATGGCCATGGCCTGGCCGACGGAGAGACCCTGAGTGAGGAAGGTGTTGGGTGTCTGCCACGTCGAGACGTTGAGCGCGCCCCTTTGCTCAGTCCTTAGCGAGGGCCGGACACAGCCATTTGGTTTCAATGTGACTTGACTTACAGAGACGCGGCGCCAAAGTAGTTGAACCATCCCCAGGTTCGGCGCGACGGGGGCAGTGGTACTAGATCACGGTTGCACCATGCTGTAGTTTCCTCATGGCGTGACTCGTCAGCCTTGAGGACAGCCGCATCCTTGATCCTACGGACAACAGACATGTTTATCCTCGCTCAGCGTGGTCGTTGAAGAGAGAGCTTGACAGTCAGTGACGATCGACAAGAGAGTGCCAGCCGGCTTCTTATCACCATTGACCAGAGCAGGAGACCAGCCCTGTCGTTTGGTACCAGTATGTCCGCGGACTAGCAGAGACCCAAGACCCTGGGACTACTTACACGACTTATCAAATATGGGGAGGCAGCATGCCTATATCGGACCCCTTTGTCCGAATGCCACGCGAGCCAGCATGCTTAGCGATCCATAATCCTTTCGGGCTCCGCCACGGGATAGTGATTTGTCAAAGCAACCATGGATCCAACCCCCTAGTCACTTTGGACCGAAGCCGCAGCGCGGTATTGTGGCATTGCCAATGGCAGCTTATCAAATGCGGAGATGCTTATTGCCCGTAGGAGAGAAACCAAGTAAGATAATGGAGCCTCATCCCTCGGCGATGGACCCTTGACCCGGCGATGGACCCTTGACCCCGCAAGCTCGGGCAAAAGCCGTGATAAGGCAGCGTGAGAGCGCGTCGAGGAGGCAATGTCCTTTGTCGGCATCAGCGATGCGCGGCACTCAGAGTTGAGGGAGAACATGGATGATAAGGCATTGATGGAGACGCACTATCAAGCGAGATCCTCGGCGGTGCCAACGGGAATAATCGACGGCATGTCATTGTTTACTAAGACGACGAAACCCGACAACGGCGTGCGTCGATTGGGTTGAACCCGTTGTCTTCCAACCACATGTCGGAGGTCACCCAGACAGCATCCGAGAAGAGACCTTTTGACCGACCGACTTCGGCGTAATGCGATCTGGACGTATCACGGCCGTCCCGGAACTATTTCATGTGTGAAAGCCCGCTTACAGGGAGACAGCATGGTGATCAAACTCCAGTGTTATCCAGGAACGCGAATCTTGGAGGACCCAGCCAAGATGGCGACAGCATCTCCAGCTCTGCGCATAGGCGTTGACGTCGGTGGGTGAGTTCAGCAAAACATTCCGATGCGTTTCCCTCGGCCTTTGTAAAGAAGCCATGAAGAGCAGCCCAGTGCCGAAGCGGCCTTGTTCACCAATTGTGAAAGTAGTCCCTTCCACTGGTAGGCGGGATGGAGGCACTGGTTGTCAGAGTACGCGATGGCTGCTCGCTGCTTGCCCGCTAGCTTCCTCGGTCGAAGAAATTCAATCAGCTACAGTAGTGTCCAGACTGACAACCAATAACAGCACAAACACCGACGGCGTCATCCTCGACCTCACCCAGGCCAGCACACCGTCTCGCGGCATCCTCGCCTACCACAAATCCAGCACCACCAAGAACCCCAGCGACGGCATCAACAATGTCATCAAGTCCATGTTCTCGCAGTCCTCGGCCGCCAACCCGACCGATGTTGCCAGCGTGACCATTGGCACGACCCATTTCATCAACGCCGTGGTGGAGATGGACCAGTCGCGTCTGGCTAAAGTGGCCGTCATCCGTCTATGCGGACCATTCTCCAAGGATATCCCCATTGGCATCGACTGGCCGCCGAGGTTACGGGGCATTATATGCGGTCACTGTAGTCTGATTTCGGGCGGGCTGGAGATTGACGGTGGGCTCATCGCGGAGCTGGACGTTGAAGAGGTCAAACGCGAGGTCGAGGCCATCAAGGCCAAGGGCATCAAATCCATTGCCATTGTCGGTGTCTTCAGCCCCATCGACGTGTTTCATCGTCAGGAAGAGACGGCAGCCGAGGTCGTGAGGAGCGTCTATCCCGAAGCTGACGTTGTCTGCTCCAAGGACGTGGCGAACATTGGTTTCTTTGAGCGGGAGAACGCTGCCATCCTCAACGCGTCCATCCTCGCCTTTGCGCGGAGGACAATCCACTCCTTCCAAACGGCCGTGCAGAAGCTCAACCTGCATTGCCCCCTCTTCATCACGCAGAATGATGGCACCATCATCCCCGCCAGCGCGGCAGCTCGTCTGCCGATCAGGACGTTCTCAAGTGGTCCCACCAACAGTATGCGCGGAGCTGCCTTTTTGATGCAGGATCAGGATATCAAAGAGGCCATGATGGTTGTCGACATTGGTGGAACAACCACCGACGTCGGTCTCCTGCAGAAGAACGGCTTTCCCCGACAGGCTGCCGCTTACAGCGAGATTGCTGGCGTGAGGACAAACTTTAGCTATCCAGATGTGAGGAGCATCGGTCTCGGCGGTGGCTCCATCGTCAGCAAAGACAAGGCTGGCAGGTTGACCGTTGGACCCGAGTCTGTAGGTTACCAGATTCGCCAAAAGGCGCTCGTGTTTGGCGGTAGCATTCCCACGACGACGGACTACACGGTCCTGGGCGATGCTTCCGTCGAGATTGGCGACCGCAGCAAGGTAGACGGCCAGGACAGCCTAACTTCCAGTCTCCCCGAGTTTACCTCCAAGGTCAAGGCCATGTTGGAACAGATTGTCGACACGATGAAGACATCACCGGACCCGATACCAGTCGTTCTCGTCGGTGGCGGTGCAGTCATCGCGCCAGACTCCCTGAACGGCGCGAGCCGCGTGGTCAAACCCAACTGGTCTGGCGTCGCCAACGCTATCGGTGCCGCGACAGCACGTGTCAGCGGTGTCGTTGACTCGGTTGAAAACACAGAGTCACGCAGCAAGGCCGAAGTCATGGAGGTCGTGTCGCAACGCGCGATCGAGGTTGCCGTCACCAGCGGTGCGCTGCGGGAGACGGTCACGATCGCAGAGATAGAGAGTTTCCCACTGCAGTATATTGCGGACAAGTCAAGGATCATCGTTAAAGCAGTCGGTGATTTCGACTACTCCCGGACGGATATCGAGTCGGCGCCTATCCTGGATGAGGCCAACGGGGACTTTGCGGATGATGCAGATCATGTTGCGTTGAAAACAGACGGTAATCATGGCGACGTGTCAAAAGAAGAGGCTCCCTTGTCTGGAAGTCTGGTGCACACAAAGGAGTCTATCAGTGCTTACAGGCCCCACGTCGTCAGGAGGACCTGGCTGCTATCCGAGACTGATCTCGAGTTCATCTCGACAGGGTGCTACATCCTAGGGACAGGTGGCGGTGGCAGCCCATACCAGCACTTCCTTCGCTTGAGACAGATGGTTCGCCAGGGTGTCAATTTGCGAGTCATCTCTCCCCACGATCTCAAAGACGATGACCTGGTCGCATGCGGCGGTGCCAAGGGCTCGCCACAGGTCTCGACAGAAAAGCCCGTTGGCGACGAGATCCTCGAATCACAGCGCGAGCTGTATGCCTTCTTAAACAAGTCTCCTAACGCCGTGATCCCCCTCGAGATTGGCGGCGGCAATGGTCTGCAGGGTCTCATCATCGGCGCCTCCAATGCTCTGGACATTCCCGCCATTGACGGCGACTGGATGGGCCGCGCGTATCCTGTCTCGTGGCAGACCACACCGGTTGTGTATGAGAAGAAAGCCATGATGATCCCGACGTGTATCTCTGACGGCAACGGCCGCATCATCTTCATGACAAAGGCGCCTACCGAGCTCGACGCCGAACGTGCCCTACGCGCGGCGCTGTCCCAGATGGGTTCGCACGTCGGCTGCGCAAAGGGCCCCGTGAGTGGTGCCAACACAAAGAAATGGGTGGTCGAAAACACAATGTCTCTCGCGTGGCGCATCGGTCGCGCCGTGGCGTTGGCTCGTTGCACGAATACCATTGACACTGTGGCCGAGTCCATTATCGAGGAGGTGGGTGGTGCCGCGTCGGCGAGCGTCCTCTTCAAGGGCAAGATTGTCGGCGTGGAGCGCGTGCTCAAGATGGGCCACGCATATGGCGAGGTGACCATTGAGTCGACGAGTGACGAGAAGACGGATGCTTCGAAGGAAAAGCTCGTCATTCCCTTTAAGAATGAGAACATATTTGCCAAGAAAGTGCATCCGGATGGTAATGAGGAGATCCTGGCCGTCGTGCCCGATCTGGTCACCGTACTCGATGCGCAGAATGGCGAAGCATTGGGGACGCAGGACTACCGATATGGCCTGCCTGTGGTCGTGATAGGCATCACGGCGTCCGAGAGGTGGACGTCGACGGCGAGGGGTCTCGAGATAGGCGGGCCCAAAGGCTTCGGGTTCCATGATCTCGAGTACAAGCCACTGGGCAAGTTCAGCAAACCGGCCAGTGTGATTGATGAGTACGAACAGGATGCGTAGCGACAGGCATAGACAATTGAAATCAGAAAAGAGAAACTTCACACGCCATCGGCAAAAGCGCCTCCGGGGAGAAACGCTTGCAACATGGCATTGCCTCCGTGGTGTAGCTGTAGATATGAACTGATGGCAGGGGCTTCCACTCTAGCGCGCAATGCGATCCACCATATAGTCCGACTCGCCTTGCGATACCAGAGGTACAGCAACAAGAGCGCGACAGCGTCCCTCGCGAGGAGAAGCTCCTTGAAAGGACCACGGATGCTGCGCATGAAAGGGTGTGCCAGGCCCGTCGTTACCTCGCTATCCGGCAGTTGCAGTATCTGTGCTACTGCGTGTGTCGCGTGTAGATACGGATTGGTGTCCACGGTGGACGACCCTGTGAGCCAGCACAGAGCTGCCAAGGCTGGCGGTATGCCATCCGCGCCCTTGTCTGGCAGAGGGGCATGCAACTGAGCATACGTCGCAGATAAGACGCTAAACAAGCTGTCCCGCCTGAGCGGGTTGACAATGTGCCACAGCGAGTCCTTTGCCTCATTCATCCGCAGCCAGTCTAGGTCGGAACGCCCAGATGACCGGAGTGGCCAAGAGTCTTGCGGCGTGTACACATCGGAAGAGGCAAAGGAGAGCATGGCGAGTGCAGCGGCAGTACCCCAGACTGCGTCCTTGTCTTGGGGTTGAATGGGCTCTTTTAAACGCTCCTGCAAGAGGGCGGTACCTTGAGCCCAGTGGTAGCATTCTTGCACGTTGCGTGGACTGGTGCCATGATATGAGGTCAATAGGTACCGATCGTGTGCAAAGGCCACGGCAAGAGACGCGTGCATCAGGAATGGATTCTGTCAGATGTCAGTCTATGGAACTAGGGTCTCTGGTGGAAGGGCATGTTCACGGTAAATGCCAGTCTCAGCATCCTGTGGTTGACTTGGACCATGGCAGGGTCATCCGGGGTGATGAGGCTGCGACCAAGATAGCGGGTAACAAAGTCCTGGCATTTCGCACTCAAAAGATAAGAGTAGGACTCGTCAGATGTCCAAACGAGACTGGAGAATGGTGGTTGAGGCTGGACCTTGCATTGGACCACCAAGGTAGGCTTCCTGCTAGCAGCAACAGGCTGCAGGTCGCCGTGCTGCGGCATAAAATTGCACAAGACGCCGAATGAGCAGCACTTCTTGCACTGGGGTTTTCCTTCGTCGCACTGATGCCGGGGGTGGAAGCAGGCAAAGTCAGCTCAATGGATTATCGTGCAGTGACGGTCTGCGAACCTTGAGCTTCCTGAGCTTGCAGTTTCGACAGCCATGCCGCGATCGGCGCGAGGGATGATGGCCAGCGCAGATCTCCCTACTACGGCTCGTAGGCATGGCTTCGGGTACAAGGGGAGGTTGTCAAGGAGTGTGGGGGGTGCTCCCGCCGTAGTGCTCCATGTTATGAGAGCGGACAGGTCACAGAAGTGAGGTTGAAACTTGAGCATCGGGATATGGTTGATTCGTGGAATGGCGATTGCCCTAAGCTAGAGCAAACGTCGGCCTCCCCCCTTTAGGACAGACTAACCCCCTTTCGGATACAGGCTGCCACGCTAGCCGTGAATCGGATACAGGGGCCGCTGATTGGTCGCGCTGTGCTTGGAGCCCCTTGGCGCATATTGACAGTGACATGGCCAGACCGGACATTGATACTTGAACGCTTTGTTGTCCATTTAACATTTTATATAAAGTAGTATCCTCTCTCCTAGACCAGATTCAGCTCAAACTCAAAAGTCTTTTACATTAATTTCCCCGTCGCTCTACAATTCGCAATGGCAACCCATCGTGCTTCCGTTTCCCCTGCCAAGGGCCAACCTTTTGAAATCCAACACCGCTCGACCCCGAAGCCAGGACCAGGCGAGCTTCTCATAGCCGTCAAGTCGATCGCCATCAACCCAGCAGACGTACGCATGCGGGACGAGGGACTCTACATACCCAAGCACCCCGCTGTCCTTGGCTTCGACCTCGCAGGCCTTGTCGTCGATGTTGGTGAGGACGTCCCCTCTCACTTTCAGCGCGGCGTGACACGAGTCGCTGCTTACTCTGCTTTCATGTGGAAGCCGAGTGACGAAAACTATGGCGCCTTCCAGGAGAAATGCCTCGTCCCATGGCAGCAAGCTATCCCTCTTGCGGACGCCAGTCTTTCGTGGCATCACGCAGCGACCTTGCCTGTTGCTGTCCAGGTACCGCTCTGCGCATGGGATGCTTTGGGAATCTCTCGACTTGGTGAAGTCACGTCGCCTCCTTCCTCTGGAAAGAGTGAAGCCCTCTTGGTCTGGGGCGCCTCCTCGAGCGTCGGGACCATGGGCGTCCAGACGGCCAGCCTGCTGCGAGACGACCGGAATTCGCCCTTTTCAGCCGTCTACGCCACGGCAGGTTCTTCCAATGTGGACTATGTCGCTTCTCTAGGGGCAGATTGTGTGTTCGACTACAAGGGCCCGCAAGTGGCGGACACGATTGTCGCGAAAGCAAAGGAGAATGGCCTCGTGATACGCCACTGCTTCCTCGCTACCGGTCAGCTGGCAGCTTGCCAGGCTGTTCTCAAGGCTTTCGTGCCTTCATGCCCGGAAAAAGGGGCGCGAGGAACACGAAAAGCAAAAATTGCTTCGGCTCCTTTGATTCCCCCTCACGCGGAGAGCGTCGATGGGGTAGAGACCGTGTTTGTGATGCCCTCCATGGACGAGAAGGAAGGGTTGAAGCAATTTGAGTATTGGTTTGGGACATATCTCAAGGATAAATTGGCCCAGGGAAAAATCAGGCCGAGTCCCGAACCGACCACCGTGGGAAAAGGTTTGGAGGCCATCAATGTAGGGCTAGACCAGATGACCAAGGGAGTCAGCTGCACCAAGTTGGTCGTTGAGATGTCGGAGTGAGAGGTTAGCGGCTTTGAAAGAAAATTATTTGAATTATTTCTATGCTACCAATGTAGAGTTGTTGAACGCATCCTACATTACAATGGAAATAATAACCGTGTCAGTCAAGTATAACATGCTACCCCTGATTCACGTATATAAAGAAAGGAGTGCAATGAATGGGGTGGAAGACTTCGATTCTGAGCAACCGCGGCACCCCAAGCTCCATTGTCCCTTGAGCCTCAATACCCAAGGACCATCACTTCAAGCCGAGAACGGTTGCTCCCGCTTGCACTGCGGAGGAGAGACAGTATATCCCCTGAGCGCAGGCTCCTCCGCAGCCTTGGGCAAATACGTCACGATGGACAGCACAGCAATAACGAGAGCATTCTCCGTGACCAAAAAGTCGTCCAAGCCCAGCCCAGGTGCCAGGTACGATGCACACACGTTTCCCAGATCCAGTCGCGACAAGTTGCCGGGACCAGCATGCGTCAGCGCATCCTTGGCCAGCGCGAAAGCAAGTGGATTGGCGAGCGTGCTCTCGTGCGTGTACAGAGTACCAGCCAACCCGCCCTTGCAGACTTTTTGCACCTCGGCGTTGGTCACACCGACGCCTCGCTCGTCGAGCATATACGCGGACGCAATCGTCCCGGACTGGGGCTGCACAATCTGATCGAGGAACCCCGAGTAGATGCTCGTAGTGGGCACGTAGCCCGAATCACCGCCGTCTGCGCGGAGGGTGTTGATAAAGTCGCTTCCGGCCTTCTGCTGCAGCACGCTCGGGTTATTGATGAGGCCGCTGAGGGTGAGGAGATTGGCCAGGATGGTGCCCTTATAGTCGGCGTTGATGGCGACGTGGTCCGTGGTCACCTCGCGCGTGGAGGGCCAGTACTTCAAGGCCCACTGCACGTCAATGTTGCCCTGCGACCAGGCAATGATACCAATGTCGCGCTTTGTGATGGCGGCGATGTAGTGCATGGCGTAGGCGGCATGTTCGGCGTTGCCCTGGGCGTCGTCGTTGAGGAAGCCGGGCACGTTGACCCAGACCGGGTCAGCCCAGTCGACGTCGGTGAGCAGCGGGATGAAGTTGCCCTTGAACGTAGTGTAACCATTGGATCCGGTGCCGGGGAAGAGGATGACCGGGGGTTTCTCGCCGTACGTGAAGCCAGGCGGGATGTAGATGGCAGATCGCAAGTCGTCCTCCGCCATCGAGTACGCAGGATCGCAGGAATTCTCTTTTGGGTAGATTTGCTTGGGCGGAGGGGGGTTGCTGGCTGCTGTTAACTAGTACTCATTCTTCGGGTGAAGAGCATTGATAATTACTCATTGTTGTCGCTGCTTTCCTTAGAGGAAAAGCCATGGATATAATCGAACAAACCGTCCACCGTCCCGGAAATGAGACCATTCGCAATGAGCTTGCCAGCATAGTTGACAATGTCCAGTTCCTTGCCGCTGATTGCCGCAATGGCCTGCAATCGTGCCATGGCTTCTTCCGTGCTCTCCAGAGTTTTCCTGGGAGGACTCATCTGCTGCAGGATGCCGATGGCCTCGTCCCTGTCCCCTCGGTTGACTGCATCGCTGAGATGGCCCAACAAACCGCGGACAACCTCATCCACGTCGTCCACGACACCATTGGCTAAGGCGTTGACCACGTCGAGGCGCTCCTCGAACGGCGCAGGGCTGGCGAAGCACAAGGCTCTCAGGCCTAAAATGACAGCACTGAGTCTCATTGTGTCTGAAGCTTCGCACTGACACGACTTGTCCGAGACTGCCCGATGATAGGTGCTAGTATTGTCCCGACGGGACGGGCTACCTATTATTAAAGTTGGACTCGATATGCCGCGATCGGTTGGTCGGTAGCCAAGAAGTACCGAGGCTTGGCAAGACAGGCGGATCCGATTGAGTTCATCGAAACTCGCGCCTGGCAGAGCTTGGTTCGAGGCTTTCGATCACATCCTCTCCTATGCTCAGCCGAGTGAGTCTTCCGAATCAACAGGGCACACGCCCTTCTGTCTTGTTTGGTCGCTCTCACCACGACTTTACGACAGCTTCTGGCTCATGACCCTTCAAAGTACGTAGAAATGAAAAGGAAGAGAGATCTTGGGCAGGAATTAGCGCCAGGTCTCCAGCAGGGGTCAACACAAGGTTCGCGGGGAAAAGGCCCTGGACCCTGTCTTTTCCTCCCAAACATTTGTCACGAATCTCACGATCGCCTTCCAGATTTTCCTGTCTCGAAATCAGTGGAGCTAGTACTTCGTACTCCAAGTACTTTTGAGCCTTGGCCAATCTTTCACAGCAGAAAGATTGGTTTATTTATTTTAACATGGTGTCGTTTATTACGTCGAATGGCTGTTGACAAGGATCATGACCTCTATGGGCAAGCGAGATTTCGAGGAGACGAGTGAAAATTGAAGCAAACGCGGCGAGAACAAAACGACCGCACTGCACGAATATGGGACACATTGACGGGCTCGCCGCTCCTTTGGACAAATACCAAAGTGCTGAAGCAACCATGAACAAGCCTCTCGCAGCCGCGGTATGGACACGAGACCCTGCCAATGGGAGCATCGGCTTGGTCTCGGGATTCATGTCCGAGCCTATGACCATTACAGGACCATGATTCGAAGTGCTTCGATTCCACTGTCCGTTCGTACTGGGCTGAGTTTTCCTTCTGCTCAGACACGCGACAGAGCCATCTTGGGCCGGGCAATCGCTGAATAGCGACTGCGAATACCCGTCCGGCGATATTACGTTGATGACGCTGATGAGCAGCTAATCGGGTTCTCTACTGCTTGTGTGGGTTTCCCGACGCGCAACTCTTTGCCAGACTTCACGTTGTCATCCGACCCCACGTCCAGAGCTGCTGCAAAGGAGATGGGCTTTCTGGGGCCCCCAAACCGGCATGGAACGTGTGGAGGAGACTAGAAAGGTCTGCTCCAGGTCAGCCGCGCTATCGAGAGCAGGCGATTCGGAGGCACGACGCAGTAGGCTGGATGCTGCCCTGCATTCGTCCGTGGCGAGGTGGATCCGCGAGGACATGCGTCTTGTATCGGCAAAAAACCAGTTGAACACAGAAATGAGTGCCCCTTGAGGCGTGGGGAGGGACTTTGGCAGTGATGTCTGGATGTGGGCATCGTTGTTGGCGAACGGTCGACCTAGCGTCAAGGGGGATAGATGATCCAAGAGTTAGGTCTCCCGCATAATTTTGCTGTGTCTCTATGTGTCTCTGTGATTCTTCCGGGCTCGGCGGGTCTCTCCCGGAACGCTCTTGATGAAGTCCCAGCTCGACAGCGGTGCGGATGCAAAGGCGTCCAAGCTCCCAAAAGGAGCATCCTATGCATTGCTTCACCTTGCGGGAGCGACACCTTTGGCAAGGCACCGAGATCAGGTCATTGTGATGCCCCTAATTGCTTCGATTGGTTGTCAGTCAAAGACTCACAGTGACTCGACTTTGAGTCGGCGAATCGGGTACTTCATGTACTTGGGTTTCGCGGGCTGGAGTGAGGCTTGAGCCCTGACTCCGAACTCCCTGAGTCTTACGGTCAAACAGCGAAAAGACACGACCTTTCTAGTTGCCAAACGCAGACGCGGAGCTCCTGTGGTAGGCAAGTCAACTCTATGAAATAGATGACGAAGTATGTCCTGTGGGATTGAACTTGGGGATCGGCAGGTGAATTGTTGCCATGTCGGCACTCGGTAGGCTCACTTGTTGTTGGCCACGTCAGCAGGCAGTCGATGATACCGATGGCCTCCTCCATTAAGTTGTTTCACGGTTACCCAACCATGTGTCGCAGGTCAATGCATAACATGAAGGATCAATGCTCGGACTCAGCTTTGGAATAAAGCGGTGCACGGAGGCATCAATCCCCCGCTATTACAAATCGAAGCTGAGAAATCACACAGCATCCATGTCATCAAATCAAGATCTCACCACGGACTCGTAAAGCTCAGGCTATAAGTAGGAATGAGCAAGATCACAATATAAAGTCCCCGAGCTTAAGGCTGTTGTGTCAACTGCCCGTAGCTACCACAAGCCACCATGGCTCCGTTGCGCGTCGCCCTCATCGGCCTCAGCAGTCGCGCAAAGACAGGTTGGGCGTCGAGTGCTCACCTGCCGTATCTCCTCTCTCCTCAAGGTCGTAAGAGGTACAGCATCGTCGCCTTGTGCAATTCTAGCGTCGAGGCCGCCAAACAAGCCATCCAGGCGTACAACCTCCCGTCCACGACCAGAGCATATGGCGATCCCCAGAGTGTCGCTGACGACCCGGATGTTGACCTCGTCGTGTGCTGCACCCGCGTCGACGTCCATCATCCCACCATCCTTCCCAGTGTCAAGGCTGGGAAAAGTGTGTATGTGGAGTGGCCACTTGCACAGGACGTGGTTCACGCAACGGAGCTTGTCGAGGCTGCCGAAAGCAGCGGCAGCAAGACGATCATGGGCATGCAGGGGCGAGTTGCGCCGCCCGTCGTCAAGATCAAAGAGATCATCGAACAGGGGCGTCTTGGAAAGATATTGAGTAGCGAGGTCAGAGCGGCCGGTGGCTCCATGGATCGCCTTGTTCTGTCCAGCGACCTTCGTTACTTTACAGACCGGTCCATTGGAGGGAATGTTTACACCATTGGGTTCGGTCATTGTACGTCTTTCTATCTCACTTCCACGGTTCTGTAATAGTCACTAACAATCGCCTTTAGTATTCGACCAGGTTCAACACGTCTTGGGAACCATCGAGAAGCCCCAGACTCGTTTGCAATTGCAACGACCCGAGGTCAAACTGCGTGATCCCAAAACGCAGGACATTGTCGACACTTTAGTCTCCAACGTCCCAGACCTTGTCATCGTGGCCGCTGCAATGCCCAAGTCTGAATTGGTACAGGAAGACGCCACTATTCTCTTCCGTTTCCGCCGGGGTCAGCCTGTCGCAGGTGAACATGCTCTCGTCTGGACAATCAGTGGCACCAAGGGTGACCTGGTACTGGTGGCCCGCGGCGGCACTACTTTGCATGCAAATGCGTACTCGGAGCCGGTCACCATTGAGATCCATAACTTCAAGAAAGACAAAGTTGAGCAGGTGGAGTGGACTTGGGAGGATTGGCAGGCTGAGCTGCCCATGGTGGCCCGTAGCATTGGCAAGGTCTATGACGATTTCGCGAACGGGACACAGGTTGCCACGTTCAAGAATGCACTGGAACGTCATAAGCAGCTGGAAGCATATCTTGGGCATTGGCATCCTTGATTGTATGTACTTTGCTGATCGTGCTTCCATATTCAAAGTCAAATGCCTCCTGGCTCACTGGTTCACTTTGTACTTGGTGAAAATAACTCGACGTACGCCTGGATCACGTGTTCTCTGGATGTCAGAAGGAATGACTCCAGTAAAAACAGCGTCTAGGCAGTTCACAGTATGGATGATCTCCATTATGGAGAAGAAAGCATTCGGTCTTGTTAGGCCATCTCTGACCGCTCACGGTGGTCTTCCACGCCCAGAACATCAACCTATCCAACGACCGGCCGTACTTCTGTACGCACGCTAAGAACAAGTGACCGTAGAAGTCGGGGTTCCTGTCAGGGTTCTATTTGTTAGACCATCCGGCGTGTTGGTCGTCAATTTAGGGAAACATTGTTTTGATGATTCTGTTGGCCAAACCCGGCTCAGCCGATATGTCTACAACACTCATTGACTTTGAAGTCAGTGAGTGCTGTTGAAGTCCCCCGAGCTCCAGGGTAATGACAAATCACAGCGTACCTTGCGGCTAAAAAGGGATTTATGCGGCGAGGAAGCAGCGCTTTAAGGACAGAAGGCGACAGGTATCGGGTAGGCCAGTGGCACAATCCCTCTCGCCCAGAAAAGCAGACCGAATGCGACATGAAAGGCCTAATTTACACTGTCCAAAGTTGAAAATGCTTCCGCCAATATCCCATTGCTTCAGCTGTCATCAAAGCTCGTTTCGCTCGCTACAAGCTGCCGTGCAAAATGAAGGACATGACTCAAGCGATTGGCCAAGAAGCAACAATATTGTTAACCCGAGAAAGCCGGCTGACTTCCCGTCAAGCCTCAACTTCGTCGCTCATCGCGAGCTCGCCGGCCGCCAGGCTATTAACACAGTCGTCAATGCCCTTCCGTCATGTCATTCCCAAAACACACTAGACGCAGCCGTTTCGAGCATCGTCCGGTCCGTGTCAAGCCAGGATAGCCCTCCTCCGCCCCAGACCACATCCGCAGCGAAACGACAAGGCGTCAAGGGACCCCCCCTTGTCTAGTACCTGCATACCCAGATCTGGTGACCACCACCCACCCACCCACAAACCCCTGCCCGTTGCTTGCGTGTCTCGCAGGCGTCTCCAAAAGAGACGACGATCATTCAGCTGGTCCAGTATTTCTTCTCGACACTAAAAGTGAAGTGGCCCCGTCGTTCGCGAGACGATCGTACATGGCCGTGGGGTCAATGCCTCAATGGTGTGCTGGTACAAAAAAAAAAAAATTTTTGGTTAAGATTAGCTTCTGTCCGCCCTCCTTCACCAGTGCAGCTACTCCTTGTTGTCTGTATGTTTGCTGCTTGCATGTTTGATGATGCTGCCACGACCGGCCGATTCTGTCACTTCTCACAATTCGCGCCAAGCATAGCCCCAGCGTACATCACGGTGATCCCACCGGAGCACCGTCCAGCCGAGCAGCAATATTGATTAACTTGACGCCGCGCCGAGGGAGAGATCCAGAGTGGTTACCAGCGCACCTGAATCGCCGCAGCGGATCTGACCGTATATGTACTGGGTTGGAGCCGATCGGGAGACCTTCTGGGGGGAGGGGGCTGTAGCCTGTATGCGGTTGGTCGATCATGTAGAGGGCATGCGCGCTCAGTACCGCCGACCTGGAACCAGTCCACTGCGCGGCTCACGACGAGTGGCCCAGTGAGTATGCACAAGGTATTAGCAAGTACGAGGTCAAACTTTCGTGTTTCCATTGAATTAGGTTCCCAAGTGTGTTGTATGTATCGTGAGCTGCATGGCCCGCTGTAGTATTTCCAGACGCCGAGGGGGCGCGCCCGCCCCCGCTCCAAGGCTTTCCGCCAGACCCGAGAAGAGCAAGTAATCGTCGAACACCATATCGCTAATGAGGTGGGGAAGGAAGTGTGCGGCGCAAAGTGCGAAAGTCGACATGAGCGTGCGCTCAGAAGTGGTGAGGAGAGCGGTCGGGGTGCGGCAGGTCGACGTCGCACGCGGTGTTGCAGACTCTACAGTTCCGGCCGGGAATCACCCAGATCTCATGTCCATCCAGGCGGCAATTAGGGCAGAGAACGCCAGGTGACTATGATTGTTAGGCGGAGCTGGCAATCAGCGGGTGTACATGGGTTTTGCTTACTCTGCCGTGCTCGCGGGTACCCTCTGGGTTCGAGTGGAAGTCAATCACTGGATGCGAGGCGGCGGACATGGCACCGCAAGGCAGTTGGGGGGTGAAGCCAGAGGAAGACATTGTGTTGTTCGTGTCGTAGCCGCTTGTGTCTTGCGTTGAAACTGGAGCAGATGTAGAGCAGAGAAGCCAATGAGGCTGAGATGGAGGAGACTGGCGCAAGATCGATGAGGTGATGAGTGGTGCTGGACTGAGTGACACTGTATCTCAGCGAGATGGATCTACTCTATATACCTTTTTTCGCGAGGTACAATGAAGCCAGGGTCCGGGCAAGAATCGAGGCATGTCGAATGTGTGTCCGATCTTGACTGGGGTTGGGTGCCGGGGTCTGAACGGTACGTAGCACCAGGGTTCAACGACAGGTGCGCTCGGGAGGCTAGCGAGAAAACGCCAAACACGTTTATCGCCCTTAGCCGTCCGGCTAGCATATGCTGTGAACCTGTTACGACGGCCGATTGCGCCAGCGTCGTCGTGCCGCCTGCCCTCTTGAAACAACGCAGGTGTGGATGGCGGAATACATTGGCTACCTCGCCCGGTATCCGTACGATGGATCAGATTCATCGGAGAAGACGCAGCTGAAAGAACTTAGCTGTGAGCATCCACGGTGGAGTCATTGTGTCTTCAGCCAGCGGGAACAGATTAATCTCAGACACGGCACGACGACATGCTATTGGGGCAGCCTGGCTTGTGTGCGTAAACGTCTCGCCGTGTTGCATCAGAAGGCGTTCCCACCGCGGCCGTGACCAACGTGTGCCGCGGATCTACTAGTCGGCTTGATGCTTGGGAGCAACTCCCTACGAGCAATGATGGGAATGTGTTGATACGGCAAAGATAGGCGCAAACTTGGGGCAAACTGGTGCTCTAGTGGGTGTGGGTGGATTTTGGCGAGTTGAGTGGTGCCTGGGGACGGCATGAATTGCTGTTCCAATGTTTGCGTTGTTCCTGTAAGCGGTTTTGTGATAAATGATCTTCGCAGAGAAACATCGCTGAATGTTTGCTGGCGCGGAAATGGCCCCTCTTGGACCGGTCAAGCGATCGGTCAACGCAACGCCCAGCAGGACGAAGCGAACTAGCACCATCAGTATGTGAGTCTGTCCTAAGGCTTTGCTTCCCTCGTTGAGGGCGCAAACACTTCAAGATGACATGATCCACGTCTTCGCTACCTTATACAGTTAGCTATCGTCGGCGGTCATTCCTGAACTCTGGGGCGTGGGCCTGTATGTGTCGGTCGCCCCATTGGGAACGAACCGGAGCCCCATAGGACACTAGTCTCAGCGTTCATGACGAACCGGAGAATGGTCTCAGCTGAGGCAGCATCACCAACGTCTAACGCGCGCACTACCGCTCTGACAGAGAGGCACTAGTGCATAGTATGGATGCTTAGCGGTGGTGATTGTGTGCTGGCCACGCGAGCGAGCGACCTGTCTGCCGGTTTGACAAGCGCAGGCGGACGTGCGCCACCGCCTGGGGCTGGGCTATGCCGAGGTGACAGGTCAGTGCCAGCGAATTCCCACGCAGAGAACAGTGCATATTGTTGTCGGCAGAAAGCATCAAGCGCGGGCGGAGGGAAATCAGTAGCAGAGATGAAGCGGACGTAGCAACAAGAAGGGCAGAGCTGACTGTCTGTCATCATGGCACCCTTGGCCATGGATTGGTGCCCACTGGCCAGGTCAATCAAGCAGGGGGGGGGAGATGTGATATCTGACAGATCTCGTTTGTCGCTTGCCGCGGCCACTGATAGGCCACAGCCTGGAGAGATGGGAAATTGAGTCGGGGCAAGATAAGTCATGTACCTAATGACTAGAGGGCAATGTTCGCCGACCAAACAGTCCAGATGAGGTACCTTAAGGTACGTGATTGATGTTGATCAGATCTGGACGTGACGCAATCCAGCCTCCGCCCCTCGGGGGAAAGAGCAGCCCACTTTTCAGCCAGTGCCGCCCTGTGAGGCTGGAACGGCCACGGCTCACGGACCACGGTGCCTTCCATTTCTTAATCACCATAGGTGCCATTTACAATCTGGTAGCCTCTGGAGTGACTAAAGATGGAAAGAGGCATGGAAACACTTGCGAATCAAGTGGTACCGTAGTACCTAAAGCCAGCATTATGCTCTGACGGAAGCAGTCCGATGGAAGCTCCAGTCTCCCTGACTTTGTGAAGTTTGTGGGAGTGGCCTGGGCCACTAGATGATAGATCAGGCCCCCCTGCTGCCTAGAACTTCGAGGGTGTCATTCTGTACTATCACGCATCACACGGAAACCTGCCTCCATTCTCGGCGCGCGCCATCAGCTTCATCTTAACACCAAAATTACTGCACTCAGCAGGACGAGCAACGACCCCTGTCTCTCCAGAGAGCCAAGGTCCGCGAACAATCAGGCGCAACTATAGTGGCGAGGCCAGCTCTCAAGATGTTGCTGCCTCTGGCATATGTACTTCTGGTGAAGGATATTCGATAATCGTCCAGCCACTCATGCAAGGTGGATTACCCGCTGGAACAACCGCTGCAATGCCCTCGGGTGGGTTGGGGTTCGCAATGTCAACTTATTTTCGTGATCACCCCCCAACGTTGACATACGAGGCATCAGTCCGTTCGGGTCTCCTGTTATCACACAGACAGAAGCACTGGCCATGGTCATATTAACACCAATAAGAACACCGATGCTGTGTCATGGACGGGTATTTTCACGGTCATTCCATTTCCCGTCCGGTCACACACATGCGGTGTGAGAACCACCGCGGAAGTGGGAGATGTTACCTGTCGAATTCACCACAAGCCTGCAGGCACGCCGCTTGACGCTTTTTTTGAGACAGTCAAACAACTGACCTGAGTGTTGGGCTGAAATTTGGGGCCCAAGCGAGCTCGACGAGTCGTTGCTCATGTCACCGCAGGGGGGTGTAAAGTGATAGGTCGTTGGCGTGACTTTTCAAGCCACACGCTGGGGACCCTCGTCGTCGATCGACCAGGTCTTATGTACCGCATGATCCGGAGCATGTCGCACAGCACGTTCGTCCGTGTTGGAACCAGGACACGACGGTAGTTTTAACCGCATCCGTATCGCGAGCGTTGGCCACGGGCCCAGTCAGCTGTCGTATGATGCGAGAACGGATATGTGACAGATGCAGAATAGCCTGCTTAAATCACTCCAATACTTCACCAATGGGTTTTTGTTCCGCTTGTTTGGTAGCAGGCGCTAAACAGAAAGCGGTACGACGCATCGGGGTGCTGCGGACGCCTCACTTCATAGGTTAAGTCGCGTAAGCTGCCCGTCCAAGAGGGACAACAAGTTCCAACTATACGGTTCAGACGCCAGCCATAGCATCCAACACCGCCATCAAAATGCGGTGTTCACACACGTTTCACCGGGAACTCCGTGGCACATACATCCGCCATGCTGTGCTGTGTGACAGGTAGGACAACGTGGCGTCGGTAGCACAGCATCTCCATGGGCCAAACTGGCGGTATAGCAAACCATCATGTCCGTCGGGTGCCAACGAGCAGAGGCTTAATCTTCGGCCTTTCTAGTGTCACTAAGCACGCTGTCTGTCGGCGCATGGCAGCTCGAATTGACAGGATCACGTTCCATGAACAGCATTAACTCAAAAGCCAATCAATAGATGCGTCACGATACCTGCGGCCTAATGCGATGGCCCTACTCTAGCACCCACCAAACGCCTAACGCCTATGCCCGGGTATGATGATAGCGACAGGTGGCTCCGACCTTCTATGTCCCAATACGAAAATACAAGCAGCACAAAATGAAGCGATCCGTCAACGCAGTGTTTTGACAATCCTGACCAGCAATTTCCCGCCGTCAACGGGATGTCCTCGGGTATCCCTGAGCTCGATGAAACGATAGCCCTGGCGGAGGCGATCCAATCGAATGCATGCCCAGGCGAGGAGAGAAGAACCGACGAGCCTATCGTCTTCGATTTTCAGCCTGCCGAGAAGATGTCAGTCAATATACCCGAAGGCACAACATTGCGCAGACGCCAAGTCGATTCTCGGGTGAAAGGGGAAGCATGGCTAGAAAGTCGGGATGCACACCGAAAAGACTACATCGGCACAGCGCAGCCGCCCACTTCGATGGAGACTGGATCGAAAATAGCCTCATGTGTGACCGGTTAAGAAGTCCTGGAGTCGGCAACGGCTGCACCTCGCCTGAGGACGTGGCCACGTTCGCGTGAACTCCGGGTGGAAAGATGTGCAAGACAATGAAAAATGGCGACTTACCTCAAGAAACTGAGCTCCGGCACAACCTTGGGTACTCCTAGGAAGCGGAGGTTCTGTCCGCTGACGCCGTAGTCGGGATGGCTTGTTCTCCCAGGCTGGGTCTTCTGCTTGTAGGTGCAGCCCTGCGTCTGGCCTCGTTGTCCGTCGTCTTCGGCCTTTTCGACATGCAGCTCGGCTTTGACCACTGGATGTAGGTCGTTGCCACTGTCATGACCATTGCCGTCGTCGACGTCGTCAGTAGGCACGTTGAACCCGCCAAAGACGGTGATGGTCAGGTCCAGAATACTGCCGGGCACAGCATCGTGTTGCGTTTCAATCGTCTTGTCGGAGCTGCGGTAGCCGGCCGGCTTGAGCACCCAGCCCTTCTCGTTGGCGAACATGCCCTCGTTGAGCATCATGCCCTCGTCGAAGCATTGCCAGTTCATGGCGACCATCTGGACGCCCTTGCGCCAGAAGAGCGAGGGGTCGGGGTTTGTGCTGGCAATGCGGCGACCAGCCGGGTAGGCGCGCATGAAGAAGCACCTATTATGTTTGAACATTTCGCGATGATACCTCTCGTTCAGGTCAAGAATCTTGTTCTCGCTGATGGAGAAAATGTGGGGTGGCTTCTTGGCCTCGGGGGTGTCGAAGCTACAGAACTTCTCGCTTCGTGTGTAGACAGCGAGGTCGCCGAGAGACTGGCATATGAGAAAGGCGGGCTCCTTGACCTCTGGCTTGGTGGTGACCTCGCCCGCGGGGTCCGATGCGGACGCTTTGCTCAGCTTGGGTCGAGGTTTCTCGTCTTCCGAGTCCGTGGTGTCATCAATGGCCGAGGACATGAGTGGGACATCGATTGTATTGGTTTTCACCATCTTGATGGGAGCCTTCTTGACCTTGACCAGAATCTTGTTGCGCAAGTCTGCGAGCTTGGGCAGCTGGAACCTAGGGTCGTAGCCGGGCAGAGCCTCGGAGACAAGCGCATCGCCCCATTCCTCTTTCATGATCTGGACCATGATCTCTTGCTGGTCGTGGTCGGCGTGAACCTCGAGACTGACCAGGACAGGAAGGTCGTTGTTGACAAAGGCCGAGTCCATGACAGCAGCACATACCTCACGGAAGCCACAGGCTGCAGTCAACGTCCAGCCGTGTGTCACAATGGGCTCGCCTCTGGGTGGCCTCGACGAGGAAGGTCTCTGGACGTCAAGCTTATCCATGGAGGTGTTTGCTTCTGGCGCGAAGAGAGTGCTCGTCCTTGGTGAGACATCCTCGCTCTGGTTAACCACTTGAGTGGTCGAACTCGCACTGCGAGAATGACTGATCGGTTTCTCGCCAATGAGATGGCTGTACGTGTCGTTGACGGTGTCGTGGATGGCGTTGGCGACAAATGGCAGGGAGCTGCCTGAGATGCCGGACAACCCTCGCTGATGGCCGAGCTTATCTGGCCTCGAGCTGGTGGGTATCACAGCCGCGTCGCCATTCCAGACGTCAATCTCGATGCAGCGGCATCCATTCTTCAGGACCTGGGATTATATCAGCGTCTCGTCTTGCCACATTTATCGATGGCGAGACTCACATTACGGTACGCATCAGGCGAGCTCTTGGAGCCCACCATCTGGTGCCCGTCAAGGTAGGTGTTGTGACTGCTGTTGATGAAGTAGTTGGCCAGAGGCTTGGAGAGGTCCTTGGGCGGCAATGCTCGCACAGCGCGGGAGTAGAGCGTCGTCCAGGTGTATATGAAGGCGCCCTTGTCAAAGGTATCCCTTTGCTCGACAGACACCACGGTCTCACCTTGGATATTCCTCAGGAACGCCTCGAACTTGGCCTTTGGCAGCTCTGCATCGTCGCCCTTGAGATCCGCGTACACGTTGTCCAGGACATTTTGCATGCCCGTGCTCATCTCGGCCGTTCGTGTCGGGTCCTTGAAACAGGAGCTCACAGTCGAAAAGTCCTTGGCCAACGTCGGTTTCTTCCACGCGTCGGGCTTCGGTGAGGGGAAGGCGGTGAATTTGACCATGTTGCCCAAGGTATCACGCGAGGGCCCTCCGGTGTGGCCAAAGATGGACATTGTGCGCACGCGGCCGCGGAGGCGCGAGGGTCGCGGCGTGCCGTCTTGCGAGTCATTTCTGAAGCGGAAACGGCTAAAGATACCGCAGCTCAATGACATGGCGGGCTTGTGGGGACGAGGTCGTCTCGGATCGCAGTAGAGAATGTCAATCCAGCTCTCGCTGGGTCGGCGGCATCGAGGCCGCACAGTCTAGCCGCACACGAAGCGCGGACTGGCAGCGATTGGAGTATTCGGACAACAATTCTCAGTGGGAGTAAAAGATGTGGCAGATCGATTAGGTCGAAATCAAGTCGCAAGACACGTTAATGGGAGCAGACGACGAGCGAGCAGAGGCGAGAGCAGTTAATCAATTGTCAGCTTCACCCGCCAAGTCTCGAACGTGGTTGACGGTGCGCTCGCCCGCCCCACAGGTAAGGCTGCAGGCGGGGATCCAATCGTCCAACTTGTTGAGTGGCTCGCTGATGACGGGGGCATCCACACGGCAGAGGCCACATGAACTGCTGGAGTGCTCCTTTTAACGCCCTGAACGTGTGCTTCTTGCCAGCATCTAAGGACTTCAGCGAGACTCGGGCGTTGCTCAATGACGTTCGAGCTGGTAATAGGAGAGGCTTCCAAAGATACTCACCGGGCGATGGACGCCTCTATTTCTTATCCAAACCTGCGCTGACGGGGCGCGGGAGGCATTGCTGACTGCATCCCCCAGGCAGGGGTCTGGAACATGCAGTACAGGCTGCACAGCCCTAAGATGATCATTAGTGTCGCGATAGTGGCAGCCAGAGAGCGGCAGATTCGAACACGAAGACTGAAAGGAAGCCGATCCGGTCCTCTGTGGTGTTCTCCTTGCACAACTTCAAGGGTCGCTCATGAGTTATGACGCTCTCCAAAAGCGTACTGCGCCTGGGCATATGGCTGTGCATTGCCTCGATTGATGCCTCCAGCCGTATCGTGGCGAAGTCGCCAACCTCTCCTGCAGGGAGCGAAGTGCTGATGTTTCTCCAGAAGGATATACCAATCAATTGTTGCTGAATGAAACGGCACAAGTATTAACCTTCCGCAATGGAGCGAGCTTGAGTCGACGCAGTCACCAACGGGTCTGCCCCTGGTCCTAACCCATCAACCATGCTTCCAAGTTCTTCATGCCAGTGATACCGGTTGGTAATGATATGCCGGAATCAGTTCCATGGTGTTTGCCCTGCTTTTAGACTTTACACGACGAAGCCCTGCCCCTGACGGACCATGACTCGCTCATTAATTACATGTAGTCTTAGGGACTGACACCACGCGTGGACGGGTCGGGGCGGTCGGGCAACCGTCACGGCCGGCGGCCGCATAATTCGAGTGGGGACATGAAGTGTGGTGCCCGGCTTGGATGAGGTCACTCAGTCGAACGCAGTGTTCTCCTCATCCATCTGATGGCATGGAATGTCTACACTAGTTGGCATCACCTAAACGAACCTATCAACTCACAATGGGTAAAGCAACACATCAATTCGAGGAGCAGGTCCGTTCTTGGGGCTTTGACCACGTCTTCACCTGGCGAGATGGGCCGTAAGCACATGGAGCTGTCCTGGCCATTTGGCCGTTGGGCCTACCCTACAACAAGATGGCTGATCATCCCCAGAAACGCGCATTATCCCCCGCACTCGCATGCTGGCCTGACGACGCATCTCATCGTCGAAGGGGAGATGACGCTATGGTACCCGAGAGAAGAGAGCAGGGAAAAGGTCAAGTACGGAGTAGGAGATAGGGTCGACGTTGAAGCGGGACGAGTGCATGAGGTCTGGGTGGGCGACGGTGGATGTAAGTATGTTATTGGAGAGTGATCGGAGATTCAGCAATACGGGTGCTTGTACCACAGAAGCCGAGCGCAGAGTATAAAAAGGGACACGACGAGTGTGTTACATGACTTTGATCTTGGACCGAACTTCTTCATTCTCTTCGGCATCCACGCTCCCGCCTACGAGCCTCAGACTCGGACAGGTTACCCTGGAGAGTTGCCACTTTCATATAGGGATACCTAGTATAATTAATTTGGGCTTGAGTCATTTTATTGATGTCAAGAAAGCTTCCAAAAACATCACAATGACGTCGAGTCGTTCGTCTACTGTACAATCTTAAATGACGCCAAGCACTTGTGCAAGACATGCACTTGAACCAACGCTTGAGAATCTCCACCGCGATTTGACTCAAACATCGACAAGTGTCCGTCCGTACGAGATGCGAACTTGAGGTATGTATCAAATCTGAATACCGAGAGTAAGAATCACTTCGAAGGTTCAGTATTCTTGTAACGACGACCAGTCACAGCCCTCAACCCCAATTGTACATTGTCCGTAGCACGGTGTTGCGAATGCCGCTGAAGATCCCCCCATGTGCCATTGTGCAGCCAAGACGTCTGGAGACGCTGCACGTCGAAGGGCAAGGGGGCGGGGCAGGATATCACGGACGCGATGGTGTCGGAGGCATTGTCAGAAGAAGGCCTGGTCAAAATACGGTCGCCCGTGATGCGTCGTTTGTTTCTTGGAGATTTGTTGCGTTGCTCTGACGTTGCGGAGCCGGGAGTGCGCGCCTAGCCTAGACGACCTGGGGGTTCCAGTCGCTGCCTGCCCCTGATGATCACCGTGGCCGATCTTCATCTTCTGCCTCTGATACGGTCAACGTACACGCTCTTGGACTTTGCCAGACGTACAATTGTACGTACGATCAAGGTTCAGAGACGGGAACAGTTGAATAGAAATATTCAATAGCACACAAACTCTGAGAAAGCATGAAATTGTGATATGCATTCCGGAGAATAGGAGCCGCGCGATAAGGGCCAGGTTACTAGCAATGGCATTCCAAGTTTTTGGCCCGTTTCAACGGGCGGGAGCCAATCGACCAATGCGAATGTCGCACAATCCCCATCTTTTTCCGTCCTGCCGCCTTGTTCTGCTGTCGAGCTAACTGAACCCAATCGCGCGCACTCATTTTCTGCACAGTCTATCGCTTTTCCCTCCCCCCGTCAACCATACCGTTTACCTTCTTCTTTCGCTGCTTACCTTACACACTCGCTTGTTCGCTTACATTCGTTAACGAGTACTCGCTTGTACTCGCATCTCTTTTTCTTATTATCTTTCGTCTGCTTGGAAAATGGTTTCTCTTGGCGACTACTGAGACATGGAGTAGGCAACACAGCACTCCCAAACTCGCCTAGCGAGCCTCCATTATCCATCTGCTTCATTACCGCCATACATCAATTAATAATACTACGATCCTCCTTCTCACAATGGGCAATCAACCATCGACCGAGACGCAGCCCCGTCGAGCGCCGCAGAAGCTCTCCAAACCTCGAGTGGGAAACCACACTGCATCGTCGGCAGGGGGCCTCCATCCTACGACCGGCCACCATCCCCATCCCGCCAGTGCATCAGCCCCAGCTATCGGACGATTCTCCAATTCGTACCTCGTAGCAGGCGCGCCGCCTGCCGAGGCCCAAGAGCCAATGGTCGGAGGGGTCAATGAAACAATCATCGAAGATGCTGAGCTGATGACAAATGTCGAAGAGGGAAGGCGGACTGGATTATTCCGTTCTTCGACAGTCCAGCCGGAGAGGGTCACTCGACGTCAGAGCACGGGGCTGATGCCATCCAAAACGTTCCATGGCATCGAGAGGCCCAAATCGGTGGTGCATAAAGCTCCGACCAGCCCATTGACATCCGTCACGTCCTTTGAGCAGCTTCGTCTCGATCGCCGGGCAAGCACCTACAATCCGACACCACTCGACCAGTACCGCCTATGCCGGACCCCGGACAACGCGAAGGTGACCTCGCCCGTTACGATTCAGCCGGATATTCCCGAGGCGCTGCCCACCATCGGCGCGAACCAGGAGGCCATGAATGGCCTGCTAGGTCGCTCAGAGTCCGAGGTCTCGCTCTACGCCCCCGTGCGTCGTCGCTCAGCGATCCATACGCCTGGGGTTGCAACACGGTCCGAAGCCGAGCCAAAAGTTGAGGAGCATCCCGTGCCCAGGAAACGGAGTCACCGGAACAGCCTTCCGTCACGATGCAATTCACTCGAACAGCCGCCGACGGTGCGACCGCACTCCATGTTGCCCAGCCCCTCTTGTGGCACCCCCGACCGTGTGGCTACCCCGTCGGAGAATGACTACAAGTCGCTGGGTGCAATTAGGTTCGGCTCGTTGCGGGTCACGAATGGGACGCCCGTGTCAAGTCCTGGGGATGGATTGACCCCCAGAGACGAAATTAATCTGATGGAAACGTCGCCGTTCGGGCCAGCGCCACAGGATCATGATCCTCCGATCACCGAGATCCAACAGCCCAAGCCAATCTCTCCGCTCGTCGCCTCTTTTGGCCAGTCTTCAAGTTCGCCCACCGAATCGAACCATTCGCCCTTCTCGCAACCAAGCGATGGAGCCAAGGGAAATGACGCCACTCTACTCACGCCGGTCACCCAGCCCTCTTTATACGAGGATAATGACGTCCATTTGGAGATGGGGCGCACATCCACAGAGGCGCCGGTGAAGCAGCAAGCGGTGACTGAAGAGGTGACCCGCCCTGTCAGTGGAGCTGGCTCCAAGTCTTCCTGCTCAAGCTCGACAGGCCCCCCCTCGAAAGCGGACAGTGGCTACGGATCGAGTCTTTCTTTGAAATCATTTCTTGGGTCGAGGAAGAAGAAGAAGGAGCAGCAGCAGCAAGCGAAACAGGCGCAGGCGCAGGCGCAGCAAAACGCGTCGCAGGAACAGCCTCAGGTGCTGGAGAAGCGCCCGACTTTGCAGCACCACTCGCCCTACCAGCCTTCGACAGCACAGTTTCCAAGTCCCGAAACAGGGCATGAGCCTTCCATTGTCGCACCTGAAGAAGAAGAATCACAGGTCAAGCCCATTTCAAGGACTGGTAGTTTCATAGGCTCTTTCAAGTCTAGGAAAGCAAAAGAATCCCGCACCAAGGTCTGCCATTCTCGGGGATCTTCATCGCCAGAGGTTCGCTTCCGTCAAGAGCCACTGGAGACAGCGATCATGTTTGAACCGACGACGGTGTTCGATGCTGAGGAGACCAAGGCAAAGACAATCACCAAGCTTGTCAACTCTGCCCGCCGTCGCAGTCTCCCGAACATGGCCTCCGGCGATCCAAACAGCCTGGAAAGAATACCATCCATGCCTTCGGACGCCGGTGCCAAAGTCGAAGAGCACAGTCGTAACTTTGAGGCTTCCGCAGCGAGGTTCTCTCTCAAAGCTACCCCACAGATGCCGACAGAAATTGTCGTCGAGAGCCGTGAAGTCAGAGAGCGTTCGCCACAGGCCGCGACCCTTCGCGGATACCACCGACCACGGAAGTCTCTCGGTTCGGAAAGTATGCAACAACGCAAACCTGGCCGCACACCATCTGCGCCTTCAAGTCGGTCCATGGGTAATCGCAAATCAATCCTTCGAAAAGTGAGGCCTCAGACCGACCATTCAGACGACGATGACGACTTCCTCCCAGATTACGTCCTCGGGTACGAGGCACAGGTATCCAGCATCGATAACATACGTCGGAGCGCTGGCGACAGTGCTTTTGATGCGGCATTTGCACCACTGCCTCCCACCCATGTGCCCTCGAAGCCACCGCGGAGAGCACCACACACGAGAACGAAGACACCCGAAGACCAAGCTCCTCACGGCTATCCCCGTCTCCGCACCAGGTCTTCAGCGCCCGACTTCCTTGAGACTGTCTCAGAACCTGCCAGCCCTGGCTCTGTAAGCTGTTACTCGCAGAAGCAGCCCAAGACTCCGCCCCCGATCAGCATACGTACCCGCGGTTCCAAAAAGAAGCGCAGAGCAAAGTCGGGACGGCCGCCGCCGCTATCGTACGCCCCAAGACCATCTCAGCATGATTCTCGTGGGGCAGACTGTGACTCGGACCTACTGCAGTCCCTACGCGGCTACCCCATCCTTCCTACATCTCACTTTGAGGACCCCCGAGCACGGCTCGACTATCATATGTCGCAAGGCCACAGACTGCCCTCGGGCCAACCACTGAGCCCACTCCTGTCGCCTCGTCTGGAGCAACAGCAACAGCAGCGACCTGTACCCGCGCGGCTAATGCCATCATTTCACCGGCCTGGAGTGAAGGGTCTCCCTGGGCGTGCACCCCACACTCATAGCCAGCCATTGCACAGAGGCGTACCGGCGTGAGCATAGTTCGCAGATACGCGTCCATCTCCGGCAGCGTTGTCTTCGCCCTTGTATCTTCCTACGACATACTTGACACATACTACTTGGATTGTTACCGTCCGTGCAACACACTCCCACTTGCGGTCGCTGTTTCCCTATGCTTCTGGCACAAACAGGCGATATTCTTTTAACTCTTTGGCTATCTTCACTTTTCATCTCTTCTAACGACGAACACGATTTTTTCAATTTTTTTTTTGCAGGCTGGCACATGCACATAGACGATCCGATGCAGGATCATTGGCGGGTGCATCATTTGATGCTTACAAGGAGTCATTTCTTGGGTTTTAGTTTCGCTACATAGCCTGCGTGGTCGGTCCATGACCACGCGTTGCATTATCATACATTACAAGTTAAGCCTCGAGGACACTGCGCCCTGGAGATACTGCTTTTTTCTTTTCAATGGTATGTGGTGTGACACACTTGTCGCACGTAAAGCGACTGCAAGAATAGCACAGCCACTCCCGGCTACGGTGCCCTCCACTTCACGACGCGACGCGCGGCGGAGAGGTGCGTGAACGTGGTTGAATTGTAGTTCGATCTCGGGGCTTTTAAAGCTTATCAGATTTCCTCTACGCTTAAGTTTGTTGCAAAATGTTCCAATTTGCGAAATATGTTTCACATATTTTCTGCTCGGAGTCCACAGGCATTGATTCTCACGGCTTTTGGAACGTTGGGATTCCTGGTGGGGGGAACCGGGTGCTATTTCTGGAAACCTCAGACATGTGCGTTGTCCACTGGAATGCATGGAGTGCCGACGTTGCGCGATTAGCTTCCGACCACATGTTGGATATCGAAAAGTGCATTCTCACAATAAAAAGGGACAACTCGATGCCTGGGCCCCTGGGTAGACTATTACGCAGGCCAAGGGAAATTCTGATCATGGATCGGCATGCCTCATTCATGCAAATGATGTTCAGGAGAACGAACTCCACGGTGGACCATGACATCGTGACATGCGGCTCAGTCCACCCATCCATGCATGGTGGCTGTGTCAGACTGTCAGTCGCAGCCTTGATAACGCATGACGCTGAGAATCCCAATGCCTATTATGAATTAGATGACAGGTGCGCTCTGAGACACGCACGTAGAACTTATGCTGCAGAAATAAATATACCGTCAGCTTCAGCGCAAGATTGGGCCTGGTGTTGAGCTCCGTTTTTTGTGTTACTGCGACCCTAAAAACGGGGCGTGCTAGCCTCGACTGGCCTGTGCAGCCCTTCGGTGGGCCTGCGTCAGCTCCAGAACTTGATGGATACGAGCTTTTGTCTGTCTCCATCTCTGTCACGCTGCCCTTAGCCAAGGGCTCGGGCCGTCATTTTCCTTCTCTCCATCTATCTCCTTGCCCTGTGCTCACTCAATCTTTCTTCTCACTTTCGCTTGTGCCATAGTGATCCCTGATTATACACGATCCTAGCCTCTCTTTCTCTTAACTAGTCCCTACGTTCGTTTCTCTTCTACATACCTCGGACGCGCGTCACGACTTCGAAGTTGGTACCCCTTAGCCTATCACCAAGCTAGGCGACAAAAGACCAGCACAACGTCGAGTCCTCCATCGCTTGACTTGAGCTGAAACGGAGGAGCCGTTCCACACGCCGTCAAAGCCCGTAGGGCAAACCTACGAACTCTCCAACTTCTTTCGATCCAGCTGTTACACAGCAACCCAAGCATCGAAATGTACGCAACTCGAATGTTCAAGCTGCTCCTAGTAGCATTGGGGTTCCTCGCCGTGGCCCAAGCCAACTCCCGTCACGCTGTCCGCTACGACATGTACGGTCTACAACAGCGCCAGGACGACGGCGACAACACAGACGACGACACTTCTCTTCCCACACCCGGCAGCGGCGGCGACAGCTCAAATGATGGCGGCGACAGCACTCCCACTAGCTCACCTGCTGCAGACACCACCACCAGTGAAGAAACCCCTGAACCTACAACCACGACAACAAGAGAAGACCCTACCACAACTTCAGAGGATGTAGCCACGACGACGACCACCACCCAGGAGGACACGTCCGAGGAAACCACCTCATCTCAGGACGACCCTACGTCCGAGGCCCAAACCACCACAACCTCGGAGGAGGAAGAGGCCCCTTCCTCTACCACCACCAATAACGCGGAGCCTACCTCTACTGCGGAGAGCACCAAAGATGATGGGAAGGACGAGGCCACCACCACCCAAGAACCCGTCATCTCCACTGCCATCGAGACCGTGACCCGCACCAACTCCGACGGCTCCAAGGAGACCCTGACGTCCTCCACCATCACAACCAGCACGCCCGACCCGCACAGCGGAGACGACCAGAGCACTGGCGGCGGCATGTCCACCAACACCCGCAACATTGTCATTGGTGTCGTCGTCGGCGTCGGCGGCGCCATCCTCCTGGGCGCTCTGGGCGTCGTCGCATGGCGCATCCGTGCCCGCAAGAGGGCGGCCGAGGAAGACGCCGGCCTCATGGGCGAGTACAACGGCGGCTACACCCAGGTCGACAAGGGTGAGCCGCCCAGCACCTCGGGCGGTCACACGGCGTCGGGTACCATGACCAGCACGGGGCAGAGTCCGTTTCAGAGTACGCTCGAGGGGTATCACGCGCCCACGCAGCCGGTGAACGCGTCGTCCAACTTTTAAAAGCGGTGGGCGTGGAAGAAGGGGAGGATGATGACGCGGAGTATGCAAAGCCTCCCATTTTTTATATGTTGTTTCCCCTACGATTTCTGACCTGGAGATGAAGAATTTGCCAGAATTGCATAGCGATGCTTTGTACGTGGGTTTCGTCCATGGTAGTAGATTAGACATTTACCTAATATCAGCACATTTGAAGGTCAGCTGTTTAGCCAACCACTGTATGTGAGGGCGGCCCGGGCTAGTTTGTCCGATATCCCTGCGCTTGGTTCTATTCCCTTCCCGAAAGATGATTGTGAAGTGATGCGAGCTGTCGTGCCACCTCTCAAGGTTTTGAGATGGTTCTCTAGCAGAACTTGCCCGTGCCTATCTGGTTGCCTACCCTGCAACTATCGACTGCGTGTTGCGACCGCAAGTTTTGCAACGCTATTACGCCGCCCTCGAAAGCATCTTGCCCGACAGGATGCATGTGAATCCTTGTTGAGAAGCAAAGCTTGTGTCCTGCCAATTACAGCCTGGTCTGCTCCAGTCTGCCATCAAAAGCAGCTCTGCTTCGGTTCTCACGGTAGGCTGGTGCGGGCCGCCCCTCGGCGGCGGTCCCTGACCGCCCTTTTTGGTCGCCCAAACTGTGCCCACACACGCTATCCGTGCCCCATGCAGGTTGGACGATTCGCTGGCGTCCGATTTCCTTATAGGGTGAAGCAGGACAGATGCTGCGATTCTGGTCAATACACTGAGCTCTAATCTCTTCCTGAAAGTCTACTGTTCAATCAAGTTTCTATAGGGTCCCTCTCGAGAGCTATATGCCGTTCTGGATTGCATCAACAACGGGAATGGAGGTTGGGTTTACACCAGGCCCGAGCCGAAGATCTGGGTGTGGCGGAAGGGCCTCTTTTTTTCCTTTGAGGATTGGTTGTGACGCACTTGAGCTTCGCGTCATAACAGCAATCACCACGATTACTATCACCTCGTCTCTTCATCTTTGCATTGGTGATATGGCCAACGCTAACTCTTGATTGCGTTTTCGCTATTGTGTTCACGTCCGACCACCAACTGACGCTACTTCACATTCAGTTGAGCAACGTGTTGATGAAGGGTCCCATTTTCAGTGGGTTCATTGATTCATTGCCAACGCACCGCGTCTTGCACTGCGACAGGTACTTGGCCTCCGCAGCGTCCCACACCCAACCTCATGTACTCTCCACTACAGACCCCTGCGCGACACCCTGGCATCATCTCGCACGCAGATTGGATCTGTGGGTGAAATGATGGGACTCGCTGAGCCTGTCCAGCGATGCCAGCCGCCTGCAGCACCCCCTTCGCCCTGGGGAAGGAGACGTGACCTGCCCAAAAATTTGGCTCGTCGTGCCTGCCAGTGTCCAATGTGAAGCTATAGCCCAGCCATATCCTCCCATGCTTGGCGGTTGCTCCTGCTGTTTCTCTCATCCTGTCAATCTCTCTCTTCCTTCCTTCTACCTTCCATCCTCTTAATCTGGAAAAGTCTCCCATCCTCTCGTCCAGCCATCATCGGGAGACGGATATTTCCAGCGACACTTGTTCGTGTCATTGGTGAACCAGCAGTTGCTCCAACCCCGTCAGCGACTGTGGAACCCGACCAGCTGCGCGAATCGATGTCTTCCTCGTCTTGCAATAGCTGTGCAGTTCCCCGGCTTCACTAATCAGTGTCGCTTCTCTATTCTTTTTGTCTTTGACGAGCTACTTGGTCCCTTCGACGCTGCGACGATTCTCCCGAGTCACGACAAGACGAGAATTCGACGTGCAGCCTGGCCGGCGACCCCTATCTCCATACTTGAAATTAAAGCAACGGGGAAAAGTCGCCCGCCAAGCCAAGAGGTGAAGGACACGGACGCACGCGTCGCGTTCAATAACAACCTCCTTCCCTATATTCGCACGGCAACCCGCAACGTCTCTCCAAACGGACCGGAGATCTCGCCCCAACGACTCTAGAGGACGCACGATCCGAGACTTCAGCTGCAGACGGTTACCACCTCGTCTGCGTTGTGTCTCGACTTGACCCGTTACGACGTCGCCCCTTGGATCGCCCACCACCAACCCGCCTAGTGCTATTGCACGGGACGGCGCTGGCTCACCTGCCCTGTCGGACGCTTCCACTGCCGACGGACAAGACGACGTTCACTCGTCGCCTGCTCTTCCGCCTCTGCCAGCGCCACCACTACCACCGCGAGCTCAGGAGCTGCTGAGAACGCCAGAGGGTGCAGCTGACGACGAGAACTACTTTGGCACGGCAAGCTGGGGCTCACCTTACCCTAGCTCCGACCACAATCTTCAGCAGGACAGCCTTGACAGCGACGACGGATCCGACGACTCGCCTCTCCATCAATTGGCCATCGACACACCGTTTCTGCGACCCGCACCTGAGCTTTTCGAGGGCGACGACGCACACCACGAGGCCGATCCAAATTCGTCTATCAGCGCTGCAGCTGCGGTCCTCGCCAATCGCGTACGAAGGCAAACACAAGCGCGAGGGTTGACAGAAGACTGGATCCGCACGCACACGTCCGGTGTAAACGACGTTGAGCCTCGACTCTGGTTCAGCGACGGAAGTGAAAGTGAGCACTCTTCATTGAGCGGCTCGGAAAAGGACTGGAAACAAGAGCAAGACTTGAACCGCACTCCAAAGCCTGGTCCGGTATTGAAAGAAGCCGCTCGGCGCGTTAGCAGACGTAATCGCGGCGCGTCTAGCATCGAGACACTGAAACCCAGTCCACGAACGCGCAAAGTCATCGCCATGGCTAACCCAGAGACAGCAGCCATGCCCGAGGCACCTGTCGGAGTGAAACAGGAGGCTGCCTCGACCCAGAACGAAATCCCAAGGTCAGGAACTCCCACGAGAGAAAGCAATGGCGAAGCGAAATTGCCTACCACACCCACTCGGAAGGTGGACAAGCCGTTACCGAAGGAACCTAAATCGACCCCCCGGATCAAAAAGAAGATCCCTTGGAATGGCAAGAACATTCTCGTCCTGCTACCTCGGGACGAGGAGAGGGGACAGCCGGGCAAAGCTCCAAGACCCCTGCGCCAACACGAGATTGAAAAAATGTTCGCTTCATGGAGAGAACTCGGCTACCGCACAGACGGGTTCGATCTCTTAGTGGAAGGATACCAGCCCCCTGGGACAGATGACTCACAAAGTCGAGGGGACTGGCCTCAGGCTGAAGACCTCATCCGCGAGCGATCTCAGAAGCAGTACCAGGTCCAGCTCCCAGACCTGAACGGTAAGTTTTGTGTTGCTCTCGAGAACAAGATTCTTACTAACGGCAACAGCCTGGAAAACTTATGAGAATGAGCTACTAGAAGCCAAGCTTCGCGCTCTGGGTGTTTCCATGCCTGACGAGGAGCCCCCAGCGCCTCCATCGCCGCCGATGACCAACCCGAGTCGACAGGCTTCCGCACAATATCCTCTCAACCCATTTTCGCCGCCTCTACCTGCTTCGTCGGCGTCAAGCAACCACAACCAGTCTGCGATGGGATTTCCCTTCCAGCACTTCAACGCTCAGAGCCCGGGCATTGCCTCGCCTGGCCCATACGGACACCAGCCTGGCAAATACAACCCCCGCCAGTCCATCTCTTTCCCTCCTTCTGGATCACCATACCAGTTTAACCCTCAAGGTCAATGGCCAGGCATGCAGGCCATGGACCGCAGCGAATCGCCCTCGTTTGCTCACCTCAATGGTATGATCTCGCCCCAATCACCTTTCGTCGTGGACGGTATGCAGCCAACTGGCAGTCCTGCATTCAATTTGCATCAAAGACAAGCGTCACTACAATACCCTATGCTGCCTCACCAGCAGTTGCAGCAACAACAGTCCATGCGAGCCTCGCCTAGGTTGCAAGAGGTGCGCGAGGACGACGAGGGCGTCCCCAAGAGTCCCTCCAAGACTCCTGAGGCACGTAAGGTGAACAAGGACGGTTTGCAAGCCGAGATTGAGGATGCAGAGTATCACCTGGAAGAGCAGTTCCGCACCCAGCTTGAGCATGAGGATTACAGTCCTCAGCAGAACCGCAGACAGTCTGGCCAGCCAGTTCCGGAGCATTTCGCCAATGAGCCCGGCAAGCCCATGGTATTGCACCATCCCCGGCCGCATAGCCGTGGTCATTCGTTGACACAGAACAACTACTATGAGGATGGCAACTCGTTCAACGAGAATGCCGAGCATGGCAATCTGAAGCAATTCGCACCTATGAACGGCATACCTGAAGGTCAACGGGGCGATGAGTCCTATGAGGTCGACACGAACCCGAGCAATCTGGGCACGCCTAACCCAGCCTTCGACATGTCGGCATCTTTGGGACATCAGAAGAACGCCTCCACCGTCAGCAACCCTTGGGTCGACAGCACAACTCAGCGCCCGTCGCACAGCACCAAGCCTTCGCTGTCCAAGTTGAACGTCAAGGCTCCCGAGTTCAAGTTCAATCCCGAGAAGACTTTCACTCCTAGTGGATCTTTCAACTTTGGAGGCCAGGCCTTCCAGCCGACTGTGTTTAATACTGGTATACAAGAGCCATACCAGCCACCTGCCGCGTTCGAGCCTGAAAAGCCGAAGCCGGAAGAGCCCGTTATTCCAAGCATTGAATCCAAGGAAGAGGGTGAGATCAGTGAGGTTGAGAAGGCTGCCGATGTTGAGGACGTGGCGACCGAGGAGCTCAAAGTGCAGCCGCGCCAAGAGCGCGAGTCTTCAATCCCTGCCTTCACCGGTAACATCTCAGATAGCGCACAGAACGATACATTCGCATCTGGTCAGAATGTGTTCAGCTTCGCCTCCTCGGGTCCGAAGTTCAGGCCTGATGCTCCAGCGTTCACGCCCCTCCGAGCTGTTACCAGCCCCATGCCTTCGAACCTGAGCCATGGCTCTCGTCCCAGTATCTTTGGTAACATTCGCATTTCCTCTGCCGAGCTAGACGCATCTTCCAAACGATCAAGAGCGATCCCTATTGTTCGACCAACAAGCCGACGCTCGTCTTCGCCCCATGCTGAAGGTCAGGATGCACATCTGGCTGATGAGGATGAGCACGGCCGTCCTCTTAGTGATGCTCGCTCGAAGCGCGCCAAGAGCAGTGCACCAGACGGCGACGATGTGCCTCTCTTTGCCAACCGACCTGAGGATAGCACACCGACAATTCAGGAAGCCCAGGAGCCAGCTGAGAAAGAGCCCACAGGTAAACAGGCATTGGGCGAAGAAAACAAGGCTGGGGAGTCGGATACACCCGAAGGCGGGGACGATACTGTTCTCATCCATGAGATTGCCGATGAATCCGCAGCTGAAGCTGAGCACGAGCAGCCAGAGCCAGAGACCGCACCCGCGGATACCTCCTTGTCATCTATTGGCACTGATCAGCACATCGAGACCAAGGCAACAACTACTGCGCCGTCCGAGTCATCGCCTGTTGACGCCGCTGATGGTGACAAGACCTACAAGCCATTCGAGTTCGATTCCCAATTTGAAGCGCGCAACTTCAGTGAAGCCCACCCCATTGGTGACGATTCTTTCTTCAAAGAATCTAGCCACCGAGCCTCCTTATCCGCTACGGCGCAGCCGTTCGTTCCCGGTGAAGGTTTTGCTTCCTCAGCGGCTGCGGACACCTCAGTTGAGGCATCGGCAAAGGCCGTCGAGGAACCTCAACGCAAGCGATCTGCGTCTCCCACACCTACGCGTAAGAGTCTTGGGCTTGGTACCTCTCGTTTTGCGTCGCCATCACCACCGCCCAAGCCCAAAGGCCTGGCGGCTTCCCGCTTTGCCGATGCCTCGTCACCTGAGCCTGAACCCGTGCAGGAGGTCCTGCCCTCAGTTGAGAAAGAGCCGCTCGTTGAGGAGCACGGTGATCAGACTTTTGAGGAGATTGATGCCATCATGGAGGAGATGGCTCACGACCCTAGGCTCGGAATTAAAAAAACGACCGACTCGGTGAACAGGGCCGCGCCCGCTACGGAGGCACGCGATTCTCCGACACACCAGCTCGAGTCACCTACTCTTCACTCGCAATACGCCACGGAACTTGCTTCGCGCGAGTACCAGGAGCTGCCTAAGCTACAGACACCCGAGTTGGAAGATCCGTTCCTTGATCCTGTCGATCAGCGCTGGCTCGTTGGCGAAGCAGAGCAGTCCGAAAATCCCTTGGCTAGTGACTGGGAAGAGGCCTTCTCTGCTGACGAACATGAGAAACTTGCGAGCCGTGCTCAGTTCTTTGATGGTCGCGTCAACCAGGTCGTTGGGAATCTGCTGGCCTCTCGCCTCGAGCCCTTGGAGCAAGCACTCTTCTCTATCCAGAATGCTTTGGCTTACAAGTCTGGCCGCCCTACTTCATCTCGTCTTGACAGGAGGAGCATGTCGGCTGAGCTCAGACAGAGCGATGCCGACGACGAAGACGAGGAGCCTGCGCCACGTCGCTCATTGAGTCCCCGTCGTGACCGCAAGATGGATCAAATCCGTGCCGCCGTCTTGGAAAGCCTCACAGCCCACCAGCAAGCCCAGCCAACTGTGGCGCATGCTGTGCCAGAAGATGACTCGGATGCCCGCAACGCGGCCCTGCTCGCCGCTATCACTGAGATGCGGGAGCAGGTTATTGCCAACTCCAAGCCCGACTTTGGTGGCAATGAGCTTAAGAACCTCATTGAGAACGCTGTACAGAGCAGGATACCCCCGCCAGCTGACCCCGATGTTGAACTGTTCAAGAAGATGGAAGCACTCCAGAGTAAGGTCGAGGATCTCGAAGACCAGCTCAGTAACGAGCAGAGCAAGGTTGAAAAGGAGGTCACTGCTCGCAGAGTTGCCGAGGATACTTCCACTGATCTACAACGTCAACTGCAAAATGCCGAGACGCGTATCGAGATCGAGAACATCAACAAGAGCGTGTTTGACCAGAGGGTCAGTGACTTGGAAGAGAAACTCCGTCACCAAGAGGAGCGTACAGAGGCGGAAGTTGAGAATCGTCGCTCTGCTGAGGATCGTTTGTCCGAAAACCAGCGGCTGCTGCGCATCGCGTCAGAGGAAGAAGAACGCCTGCGTGAGACAAACGCGGAGAAGGACGAATGCATCCGCAACATGGAAAAGGCCAACAGCAAGCTGAACATGAAGATGGCTCTGTTGGAGGCCAACTCAACCAACTCGACTCAGTCGCATGCTGAGCTGACAAACAAGGTCAACGCTCTTGAAGCCGACCTTCGTGCTGTTCGTCAAGATAACAACCACTGGCGCGCCGAGGCCGAGCGCTCGGACGAGACCGCTCGTCGCCACGCTGGTGAGCTTGCCCACACCGTCGAGGAGAATAAACACCTGCAGAAGTCGCTCAGTGCTCTTACCATGCAATTGGAGGAGAATGAGCGTCTGCGTGAGAGCTGGCGTGGTAAGTACATGTCTCTCCAGGACGACATGAGCAACGCCGTTCGCGAGATCGCCGAGGAGAACGCCCGCCGCATCAAGAAGGATCAGGCTATGCTTGCCAGGCAGGAGGTTCTCGATGCTCGTCTACAGGCCGAGGCCAAGACGCGTGAGCGTCTAGAGCTGGAAATGGATCGTTTGCAAATGAACGAGCGTTCTGGCATGCGTGCTACCAAGGAGTGCGAGCGCCTTGAGACTCTTCTAGGCGAATTGCGCACAGAGAATCACAAGCTCCAGCAGCGTGCGCTGGCAGCGGACCGCGACTATGAAGAGGCTCGTGAGTCCGGCGCCAGCGAGGTGAAGAGGACGCGCATGGCTATGCAGACAGAAGTCGACGCTGCAAACCACCAAGTCAACATGGTGCGCGAAGAGCTCGAGGAGCAGAACAACAAGCTTCGCCAGCAACTCGAAGCATTCAAGCTTGAGGCCGATCACGACAAGGCCCACCACGAGATGATGCTCGAGGAGTCTGAGAACACCAAGACGTCGGCGCTCGACGAGCTTCGTGCCAGCCACCAGAATGAGTTAGAAGACCTGCAGGCACGCCACGAGCAGCAACGCAACACTGCCGCAGACGAGCACAGCAAGACCGAGCAAAACCTTCTTGAGCGTCTCAGCTTCTCTGCCTCTAGGATCGAGCACTTCCAGGACCGCATCGCCCACCTCGAAGAGAAACTTGAAGTTGCCAAGGAGGCAGCGGCAGCCGCCGCCGCCGCCGCCAAGTCTGCTGGTGTTGATGCTCGCAGCGGTCTCGCTAGCCCTGAAATCCAGCAGAAGTCCGCCGCGGTTTCTGCCCAATCTGGCGTGCCCGAGAAGATCTCTCCCCAGGCTCTGCGTGAGTCCATCATGGTTCTCCAGGAGCAGCTCCAAGCCCGTGAGCAGCGTATCGAGGAGCTTGAGCAGACGGTCGCGAAGTCTGACCCCGATGCTGCTAACAAGATTTCCAAGCGGGACGATGAGATCAGCTGGTTGCGTGAGCTCCTTGCTGTCCGACATGGTGACCTGCAAGACATCATCATGGCACTCTCCTCCGAAAATGTCGACGGCAACCGCGTGAAGGACGCCGCCATCCGTCTCAAGGCCAGTCTCCAGATGGAGGAGCAAGAGCGTGAGAGGGCGATGAACGGAGCGTCGGCTATCAACCTCCCTAGCCTTGCGCAGAGCATCCAGTCAGCGACCCCCCGCGTGGCCCAGAGCATTGGAGCTGCATGGGGCAGCTGGCGCAAAGGAAGCACTTCGTCCCTCACCAGCATGAGCGGCCGCGCTCGCCTTACCTCGGCAGCGGCTTCTCGCAATGCCACACCGTCAAAGGCTGGCCCCGGGCCCCAGCACCCAAACCTGCACCTCGGTGGCCTCATGACGCCCCCGGCCTCGAGTATTCGTCAAAGCCCTCTTGCGGTTAGCAAGCCACAGCCAACAGCCTTTGGCAGCACTGGGCGTCGTTATTCCTCACACGGGAGCGGCAGCCAACCTGGCCAAGAACGTCGCACATCGATGACTGTTCGCCAGTCGGAAAAGATGCCTGCTACCGAGGCGGTGTCACCTCAGCTTCAGCGCGACGAACCTCCAGTCACGCCGCCCATGATGCGTCCCGCGGTATACGACTCGGATGCCCAAGCTGGCGACTTTGATGACGAGGGCTTCTTCGTGGATGAATGATCGTGAGATCCACATCCTCGAGGGCGATGGGCGGCCGCTGTGTTGTTTTTACCATACGATTTCTTTTTGCAATTCTTTCGTCACGTCTCATATGCCGACTTTGTCTACCTACACAAGATTGCGAGAAAAGGTTAGAAAGATACCCCCACCCCCCTGGATTTTGGACGTCAGTTTTCTTTGCGAGCAAGGGCTTCAGCAACAGACTGGCCCCTCCCATACACCGTTCGCATGCGCTCGAGCGCCTGAGTTTCAGATTGCGAGCACGTACGCCAGCCAAGACATCATCAGCGCAGCGCTTTCATTTCGGAGGATAACTCTTTTTTACACTATTCTTAACCAAATTTTTGTTTCCTTTGTCGAAAGAGAGATTTCAAGAAGTTTGGGTGGAACGCGGGAGGAAAATAGGCATCGAGGAGACCAAGACGCTCGTTACCGACGGCGTGTATTGCACTGTAGGGAGCAGCTCTATCTGCTGCCCCATTGTAGATAATTTTAATTATTGATCGCACTCAGCTCACACTATGCTTTTGTAAATGCACAAGAATACTCCATGTCATTTCTGCAAGATAACTGTGGAGCGAGTTCATGAGGTACTACTGCTCAGGAGCTTCTCGACTGCCCATTTGACAGAGAAATTCCTTAGATCCGAGTAATGCTGTCCCACACCGACAAACAGGACTGGCACGTTTGTAGCATGGACCAATGAGACGAGCGTGCCAACCATGTCGCCGACAGTGTCACATTTCGAAATAATGAAGCCGTCCAGAGATGCCGTGCCAAACGCGGCATTGAAGTTTCGTGCTTGCGCAACAGAGTCTGTGCCGACGAGGGCCTGTACGTCTTGTCAGTGCTGCGTGGACGAGAGAGGACAACAAACGCGAAGAGACGGGGAAAACTGACCTCGCCCACCATCAGGATCTTGTCGGGCTGCGCAAACTTGGCAAATTTCTCTAGCGAGCTCATCAACCGTTGGTCGTTGTGCCGTCGACCGGCGGTGTCGATCAGCACCACGTCATATCCACTGCTCGCGGCGTGTGTGACGGCATCCTTGGCCACTGTCGCCGCATCCTTGCCGTACCCCTTTTGGTACAGGTCGACCTCGCCGCCACCCTCACGGGCAGTAAGCTCCTTGAGGTTGCGGACGTGAACGGCGAGCTGCTCGACGGCGCCCGAGCGGAAGGTGTCGCCAGCCGCGATCAGGACGCGGTAGCGGTTTTGTAGGAGGAAATAGCATATCTTGGAGAGGTTGGTAGATTTGCCGACGCCGTTGACGCCGACGATGGAGATGACATAGGGTCTGGGCTTCTTGAGCGAGGTCACGCCTGGTTTTGTGACGGCGTCAATGTCGCGCAGGAGGTCGAGCGAGGAGGTCGGGGTGAGCATCTTTGTGAGTGAAGCCTCCATTGCAGACTGGATCCTGGAGGAGATGGACTCAAACGACCCGGTCTTGACGCCGAGCAGCTCCTTTTCGACACCTTCGCATAGACGCAGGGCAGCTTCCAGAGCGACGTTTTTGCGGACGAGGTGATCCTGCATACCCTTCATGGCTGTGTCGAGATCAGACTTTGTAAGTGTCTTGCCGCCAACGACATTGCGGAAGAGACCAGTGACTGCCGAAACACCCGTGTTCAGTAGACCGGTCGACTTTGCGTCGGTGGGCGTCGAGGACGACTTTTGCGCCGATGCGAGAATGTCATGCACCTCATCGCCCAGATCGCGCAGGACGAACTTGCCCTTGGATTGCTGACCCCAGGTTGATGAGTCGACGGCATCGATGGCCGAGGAGCGCGCAAGTGGTGCCTCGGCCTCGGAGTCGCTGCCGAGTGCATTCTTGGAAGAATAGTCGAGCTGTACGTCGTCCTCCTCATCCGCGAAGCCGTCGGCATCCCACTTGCGCCCCTTCTTGCCCTTGGCTGGCTTTTTCGAGATCTCGTCACCCGAGGACACCGGCCCAGGCACTGTGGACATTGCTTTCCGCGCGCGACGCGACAATTTTCCACCGGGTCCCGCCTTGCCGACAATTAGGTTGCTACCACCTGGTGTCGAAGGCCGCGATGTGCCTGGTGTAGGTACGGGCGTCGACTCAGTGGACGCGACGTCGGCAGTGCCGGCGCCGTTGTGTAGCGCGCGACCGCGATAGGTCAACCCCGGCGCGGCAGGGGCATCACCACTGTCAATGACATTGCCAGAGTTGCCTGGCTCTTCGATATCGGGCACTGGGGGCCCGTTGGCGCGCGCGCTGGTCTTGTCGAGCTCGTTCACTTGCTGGTCGAAGTATTGGTCGAAGCCGGCGCACTCAACGAGAGTGGTGTGTGGTTTTTTGAGCTGCTCGCCATAGAGAGACACGAAGATCGTCTTGATGTTATCGACGAGCTTGTCTACCCAGCTGAGGTGGAGGAGTGATCGGTAGACGACCTAGCCATGGTCAGTCGCAATACATCTTGGTGCGCAGGGATGGAGGGGGGGGGGGGAAGAGGGTAGGATGGATGGTGCGTACGACGAAGATGACACCCAATTCCTTCACGGTTGTCCACTTCAAGGTGTGTTGATCGCTCTTGTATGCTGGGTTCGTCGAGGCCGATTGCGACTCGCGCAGCGACACAGGACCGCTCTTCTCCTCGATAAATGTATCAGCGATGAAGTTGTTGATGACCGAGGGGTTGACGACGGCATATGTGCGCGACCACAGGACGACGCCTGAAGTGGTCACGATCTCAAAGGTGTCCAGCATTCTTGCGACAAGTCGGGTATACCAAAGAGGAGACGATGGGGAGGCGAGCGGCGCAGTCGCTCTGGAAGATTGGGCAAGCAGGCGAGGAAGTGAATGTCTTGTCCTTCTTCCTCAGGTCAATTGGGGGTGGCCAACGCCCGAAGGGTCCAGATTGGGGTTTATCGATAAGTACGTATCGCGGACTCCGGAGGCTTGGCTGTGCTGGATGGCTCGTGTCGCTTGACCGGGGGTTAATTACAAGCTGTGTCATAACTGGCAAGATAAGTTGACATATACTAGGTCTTTCGACGACGTATTTTGATAATTTTTCTACAGCATGTATGCTATCCCCTTCGAGCGTTGCGCAGTCTGAGTGGACTTGGAGAGCTTCACGATGGACATCGACATGCTGGGGTTGAGTTCGCCGTTGATTTCAAGTTGGCTTGCCGTCCTTGAGAACCTGCTGTCATTTGCAATCCTCAGAATCAAATTCCACAGAGCAAACTTGTCGTTGCATGTTTTGGCTGAACAATGCATTGACCACGACAAGCAGTGTCCAAAGTACTCCTCCTGCTTGGCGGCTCATTGATTGATCCGAAGATCAGCCATGTCAGGCACCCAGACACTCAGACCGACGTGGCGCAACCCGCCCACCATCACTCCCAGCGACCAGCTGCCACATCTCCAACTTAGTTGTCCAGCTCCTAAATCACATTCGCTTCCAACGGCACCTATATCTCCTGGCCTGTGTCACAACCGACTTGTGCCCTTCTGCACCAACTGATCCGTACACGATGCAACGAAACACATACGGGCAATCGCCGCCCCTCCACCACCCCGTCCCGCAGCACGTCTCTACTGTACCGCAGCTTCGATCACCACCGCCACCCCCCGGCTCCGCACAATCACAACAGCAAGGCTACACACCGGCCGGCCAACCAGGGAATCCCTACCAACAACAGGGCGGCACCAGTGGGAACGTCTTTGGCGCATATGGTCAGTTCATGAATGATCCCACCGCGCAGGTGGCGGCACAGTTTGGACAGACGGCGTTCAAGCAGGGGCAGGAATACGTGGAGCAAAACGTGTGTTATCGAGCGAGATGCGCAGTACAGGTGAAAGGCTGACTGGGGCAGATTGGACGTTATGTTAATGTCGCGGCACTTAAACACTATTTCAACGTGTCCAATTCGTACGTTATCAACAAGCTCTTTCTCGTGCTGTTTCCCTGGCGGCACAAGGGCTGGTCGCGAAAGCAGGCTGTCGGCGCGAATGGGCAGGAGGGATGGTATCTGTCTCCCCGAGATGATATCAACAGCCCAGACATGTACATTCCAGGTAAGCCAACCTGCGTCCGGCGGATGGACCACCTTGGCTGACTGTTGTAGTGATGGGTCTGGTTACCTACGTTCTCCTCTCGACACTGATTGCAGGTCTCAAGGGCGCGTTCAACCCGGAGCTTCTCGGTGTCACGGCAACCACCGGGCTGAGTGTGGTCATTGTCGAGATCACCGCGTTGAAGCTTGGATGCTATCTCCTCAGCATCTCGAGCCAGTCGCAACTTTTCGACCTCATCGCGTACTCGGGATACAAGTTTGTCGGCATCATTGTCACCATTATAGTGGCGGAAATCCTTAACGGGGGTAAAGGGACAGGCGGCTGGATCGGCTGGGCGGTGTTCGCCTACACGTTCTCAGCCAATGCCTTGTTCTTGGTGAGTACACCTTCCTCGCGCAGCCTGCAACATGCCACTGACAAATGTAGCTTCGTTCGCTGAAGTACGTCCTCCTTCCCGAGATCAATGGGCAGCCTGGTGGCCCGATGCAGACCGATTCGCGCGCCAAGCGCAACCAGCGCACGCAGTTCCTATTCTTTTACTCGTACATTGTCCAGCTGTTCTTCATGTGGGTTCTCACCAGGGCGTGAGCAGCCCAGAGTGGCTCTGGAGATAGATTGTCTCGCAGTCCAGCAGCGACGACTTCACGGTACAGGCGCACAAGGTTTTGATCGGCAGGTTTCATGGTTGAGGCAAGCAGGCAAGCAGGCAAGCAAGCAAGCATGGCAAAAGCTTGGCACAGCGGATCTCAAAACGTCGAGAGTACGTGATGATAATGATGCACGTAGACACATAGGTACACACGGTTCAACTTGGCAAAGCGGTACCCCAGAGATGTCACTGCAGAATGCTGTCCTCAAGTCGCTAGCGCAATGTACATTTTCACTTATTCCTTCATGTAACCCAAGCTTGTACTCCTCCGATCCATCTACGACGGGCAAATATATCGTGTGCGGATCTACAGCCACATGCCACATCTTTGACAACTACTCCCACCTCTCAAAGTTGCTCACGCATTTGCGAGCATGCTCATATAAGTTCCCCATGCAATACCGGCCATGCCGCCAACCAGGTTCCTCGTCTGGACATCCTTCACCACGGTGAAATTGACCACAGCTACTGCAGGCCACACTTTCAGCCCGTCCACGTAGATGCCCCAGAACTCATCGCAGGCCACCCTCCAGACGCCAGCCCAGTCGACCTCGTCGAACTTGATGGAGCCCGGCGAGTTCCAGAAACGAATAGCACCGGTGATGGAGGTCTCCCTGGGTGCGTCGTGCATGGCAGCCTGCAGGCCCCGGGTGTACATGGAAAAGGCGAGGGTATTGAACGTGGCACTCACGGTCTGGTCGAGGACAAGCTTGATGATGGTGTTGCGGACGGAGAGCTTAGGCTCCTTCTTGGGCTTGTCATCGGACTTTTTGGGGTGGGGGCCTGCCGGACGCGACGGAAAGGTGGCCTCCAGCCAGGACTGGAAGAAGAAGTTGATGGGTGTGGTGAGGACGGCAAAGAGCACAAAGCGAAATACGGGTATGTAGTCGATCTCAAGCTCCTCCTGAGTGAGTGCGTCAGCGTGCGTCCGTGTGTGAGATGCAATGCTCAAGAGGGCCGGCTTACTCCGACTTTGAGCGACTCAATGTACTGCGCCAGAACATTGGAGAGAGCGCCCATGAAGCCCGCTTGGAGCGTAGCGTCCATGAAAGGGGGGATGTTGAGCGCCATTGTGGTACGTAGCTGAGCTGTCCGGGGGACTGATGCTGTGCGTTAGACGCGCTCTCAACTCAAGTAGGACACGTTGCTTACTCTTGGGGGCTTTTCTCTGGCTCAGAGCGGTGTGTTCGAGCGCGAGCGACGTTCAAACAAGTTGCCTCGAAATCGAAAGACAGTAGCTTGGGAGAGCTTGAGGATGTGTATCAGCCAAAAGGAAACTGAGCAGACGTGTACTGGATCTGCTCAAAACGAAGTTGCAGCCATCGGTTTTGAGCATCTCGCAAAAAGAGTGGATCAGGCAGGAAGCTCCAGATTGCTTATCTCAGGCTTTCTTTCTCTGGTTGTCATCTAGCACGCTGTGGGCCCTCACATTGTGACATAAACATGAAATACCAAGTGATCATTAGCCTCCGCGAATAGTCGCTCAATACATACTGATGAACCTCTGCGCGACAAGCCCGTTGAATACAGACAGCTCCAGAATGAAGGAATGGACCCGGGTAAGTGAAACGCTCGAGTCCGGCTGAACTGGGACCTGTCTGGGGTAGGCACGTAGGTACCGTAGTTGATTTTGACTTTGGAGCCCCTCAGGGAGGGCGAATTTCAAAGGGTCCAGCGCCAAGCCCAACCGTCAATCCCGACGCCGGCACTGCAGAACCAGCGGGCGGCTGAGTGACGCACAAGGTTGCTTATTAGACTGGAGCTTTCGATCCCCGACCGACTCCTTGAGACCAACCTTTTCCCTCTCTTCCTCCTAGTGCTACAAGACACATGCGTGTACCTGCCTCGCTCAGGTCGGCCTCATTTGTGGCTCGCTTTCAGGCGGCAACTAACATTTCATACCGACCGATACTAGCACGCTGCGAGAAGCAACGCTCGCATACCTCCATTTACGACTTGCGCATACTGTCGCCATCGCCACCCGCCGCACCCTCGATCCATGGAGCACACCGAACCTCTCTTACACGCGAGCACGAGGGTGTCCATTGACGCAGGGTTCCTTTGGCGCTGCCGCGATGGATTCGTCTGCCCCTAGGTTCGCCAACATTGGTTTCGCGGGCATTCTCGACGCCGACCCGCGACCGGTATTCATCGTTGCCAAACCCACCGCGAACAAATCATCCATACGAGACATCGTCTACAAGAACAGAGCACTGGCGAATAGCTCAACGCTTTCGGAAGCGATATTCAACCTTACGAACAATGACGGACACGTACCGTTCTGGGACTGGGTGCTCACGCCTCAGCCGTCGCAGTCTTCTGACCACGACCGTTGTATAACATACATGGGTGTCTATTGGACAAGGACCATGCTGCTGGACAAATGGATCGTCATGAGCGGGAATGACTCACCTCCTTGCTTGGAGCCCCCGCGCAAGCTCAGGGCCGAGGGCAAAGGCAGATCACTATCCAATGCACCAGAGGACGACACCACAAGCGTCGTTGATTTTGCCACGCCGCCCAGGGAACCACACGAATCCAAGGTGACCAAGGTCTTCCGCGCAGAAGCCGATCCTGGCCTCCAACCACCTGATTTCACGCCCGACCCGGAACCGTTCCTGCACGTTATCCAGAGTGTGGACTGGGAGTCGCATAAGTTGGGACCTATGGATGAGTGGCCAGCGGGTCTGCAACAGGCATTCCATCAGACGATCCCGGACTCGAGAGCGATTGCCACGTACTGGGGCCCCAAGTATCGGGCGATCTATAACGAGGCATTCTCCAAGTTCTGCGGCTCGATGCATCCAAGGTTACTGGGCGAGCCTGTTCTGGAGAGTTGGGGTCACTTGAAGGAAGATCTCGACAACCTGTGGAACGCACCGCCGAGCAAACGAGGCAAGAAGATTGAGGATGAGTCGCGCTTCTTCATAGAGAAGGAGGATGGGCATCTGGAGGAGACCTACGTCAAGTGGTCATTGCAACCCATTGTGGAGAACCGCAAGGTGGTCGGGATCCAGCACTGGCTACTCGAGACCACTTCCATGAGGTTATGGGAAAGGCGAATGAAGATGCTTGTGGATTTGGGCAACACTCTAGTCCTCGCCAGAGATGTGAAGTCGTACTGGCAGCGGATATTGGAAGAAATTGAGCGTTGGGATGAGCATGATGTGCCACTGGCATTCGTCTACTCAGTGGACGAAGACGACGATGCGGCATCTTCAAATTCCCGGTACGATTGCCCAAAGACATGTCACCTGGCCGGCTCACTGGGCGTTCCCAAGAATCACCCGATCGCGCCGGAAACATTGGAGCTACGAGACACGAACGAGGGACTGTCGCCCATCTTCCGCGAGGCGCTGCACGCGCAGATTGCGCTCCTGGTGCAGACCAAAGACGACAGCTTACCTGAAAGGCTGCTGGCTGGCCTGGAGTGGCGAGGCTTTGGCGATCCGTGCGATGCCGCGGTCATTCTGCCCATCAGGCCGACACAAGATGAAGCTCTAATGGGAATATTGTTCCTGGGCCTGAATCCCCGACGGCCGTACGACAACGAGTACAGGCAGTTCATCTCGCTTCTGAACCAGAAGCTCACAAGCTCACTCGCATCGACCATTCTTCTCGAAGAGGAAGCGCGGCGCGGACGCAATGCAGCTTCGCAGGCCGCCTACAACACAGCCATGCTCCAGAAGAAGCTTGCATGGCAGACTGAGCAGGCTCATAAGTCTACTCAGAATTTTATGGCTGTTTCAGAATTCATTCCCGTGGGCATGTCATTTGTGGACAACAAGGGCAACGTAACCTTTGCGAATGAGACGTGGCACCGACTCACGCGGTACCCCGAGGGCTGCGTTGACCAAATGGCGCTGCTCGATTGCGTGATCCCGGAGGACAAGCCGAAGATTATGCAGGCCTACAGAGACCTTGAAAGAGTCGACGTGACGTCGTTCGAGTTTCGCATCCCACGCGGCGGCGACGATGGCATGCCGTCGCCCTACGACGACCGCGTTGGACGACACATCCTGGCGTCTGCCAAGGTCGAGCGGGATGACACGGGCGCTGTGCTGCGCATGCTGACATGTCTGATGGATGTGACGGAGCAGAAGAACACGGCCGAGGAGGCAGTACGGAGGGCGCAGGAGGCCGAGAATCTCAAGCGTCTAGCAGAGTTTGCCACCGTCGGAATGTACGACGTCAGCCTCGACGGACGACTGCTCAGCGCAAACGACTCCTTTTGGGAGCTCAGCGGACTGCCCAAGGTGGACCCCACCAAGTCCTATGTCGAGCCGTGGAAGCTCTGTGTGGTGGAGGAGGACTTGCCGGTGGTCAAGGCGAGTCTGGACAGGCTGAGGACGTCGGGGCGGTCGCAGAGTGCGGACATTCGGCTCAAGACGACCTGGACGGCGGAGGACAATAGCGGCAATGCCATTGCGGCAGCCCGGTCGGTGTCGGCGTCCTTCATGCCTGTCACGAGCTCGGAGGGCGTGATCCAGTCGTTCACGGGCTGCATCAGCGACGTGTCGATGCAAAAGTGGCAGCTGGAGCAGGAGAAGAAGCGCAAGGAGGAGGCGATTGAGTCGAAGCGACAGCAAGAGAACTTTATCGACATGACATCGCACGAGATGCGCAACCCGCTGAGCGCCATTGTTCACTGCACGGACGCGATCATTGCGTCGCTGTCGAGAATTGAGGAGCTGGAAGGGGTGACTACGCCTGTACCGGCCGGGACGAACGCTGCCGACTCTCTCATGCTGGCACAACAGGCCGAGAGGAGAGAGGTGGAGGAGGCCAAGAAGGCGGAAGCCAAAAAGCTGCTGCGCGATGCCATTGATCACGCCGAGACCATCGAGACATGTGCTCAGCACCAGAAGCGCATTGTCGACGACATTCTCACCATGTCAAAGCTCGACTCGAAGCTCTTGGCCGTGACGCCCTGCACTGTCAACCCAATCAACATTGTCACGGACGCGCTCAAAATGTTCGAGGTAGAAGCACGTCGTGTGGACATTGTCCTCACGTCCGTCGTGGATCCATCCTACACAGCGCTCGGGCATGAGTACCTCGACCTGGACCCATCACGCGTCAAGCAGGTGCTCATCAATCTCCTTACCAACGCGCTCAAATTCACCAAGACGGGCAATGTCCGAAACGTGACCATATACTGCAAAGGATCCAGGGAGCCGCCGGGCGGCGAGATGACGACGGCCGAGTTCATCCCGCGCTTCAAGGAGCCGGCGGACGAGTACGAGCAGCCGGCGCTGAAGAACCGCACGGACCCGGTGTATCTGCTCTTCGAGGTCAAGGACACGGGTCAGGGTCTGAGTGCGGAGGAGCGCAGCAGCCTGTTCAACAAGTTTGTGCAGGCCAGCGCCAAGACCCACGTCAAGTATGGCGGATCCGGTCTCGGGCTGTTCATCTCGCGGCGTCTGACGGAGCTGCAGAACGGGGCGATTGGTGTGTCGAGCCAGCAGGGCGTCGGGTCGACGTTTGCGTTCTACGTCGAGTCCTACGTGCCGAGCGAGACGGCGCTCAAGGACGCGCAGGCGGCCGCGGCTGCGGCAAGAATCGTGGCCAGCTCGTTGGGCGTCAATGGCGAGCCCGACTCGAGCTCCGAGGCTACCGGATGGAAACGCGGCCTACTCTCGAGCCAGCGCATGCCGCGACGACTGCGTCCCGGCGCCAGCAACGCGCGCCTGGACGGTATTCTGGTGGTCGAGGACAATCTGATCAACCAACACATTACGCGGCGCAGCCTGTCGAAGAGGGGCTACTCGGTGGACGTGGCGAACCATGGCATCGAGGCTCTCGAGAAACTGCGCAAATCACTGGTCGGACTCACGATTGGGACGCAAACCAACAGCAACGGAGGTGGCGATGTTGAAGCGCCGGGTAGTCCTGATGCGCAGGGCCAGCAGCAGCAACCGATACTGATCAACGTTGTGTTGATGGATGTGGAAATGCCAGTGCAGGATGGACTGACATGTACGCGGCACATTCGCGAGCTCGAGGCGCAGGGCGAGGTGCTGTGCGCGTCAGGAGGCAGGGTGCCCATCATCGCGGTGACGGCCAACGCGCGACCGGAGCAGGTGACGGAGGCGAAGCAGGCCGGGTGCGACGACGTGCTGGTCAAGCCGTATAAGATGCCCGTGTTAATAGAGATGATGCAGGTTGTGGTGCGACGCATCGGGTCGTCGAGCCCAAGCTCGTCGGCGAGTGGAGGCGCATGAGGCGCGGTAGGGCATGGTAGCGAGCTACGACTATTGCAGGCGTCCCAGGCACATGCATGCGCATATCGGTCTACAATACATAGTTGAAAGTAGTATCGGAGGGGGGCATGGGCGGCTCGCCCTCTGGCTGGCGGAAGATGTTGTGCCGATCGAGAGGCGGACCCTGGCCGCATGGGGTAATTAGGACGGGTGAAGAGGCGATTGGAACTCGTGCATGACGACAGAGATTTGTTTGGCGAGCATCAGTCAAGATACCAGAGCGTTGTCCTTCAGGTTGTCCACGCCGTGCTGGATCTAGATTCTGCCGTCCCCCTGGTGACAAGGCACGGTGATACCCGCAAGGAAGACCGGAGAAATTCCGCCTGTAGGATCCTGGATAGCATCGGCTCGTCGAGACAGAAGCCAACAAACAGCCTACCATGTGAATAACTAGTAGAAGTGATTATTACCCCGCAGTGGCCGTCGAGGTGCCTCCAGTCGACGCCCGTCATCCGATGCGGAGAATGTAGGGAGGGAGGAGATGGACAGAGAGGAGGGACAGGTGGGAAGATAAATAAGACGGCATTTTCTTGGACGAACTGAGCTTGTCTGTGAATACATTACAACTACCAGTCTAGTCAACACTTGCGCCTCCCGTTCTTTTTGTTGGCGTACTTAGCCGACGGAATCTCTCACGTGCACTCGCTCATCCTCTCCATCACCCAACGCCCGCGTGCCGGAGTCCGTCCGCCCTTGCACACACCACCGCCATTTCACACCTCACTCACTCACTCACTCACCAGCGAGACCGCGTCCATTTACTCCAACACTCTTCGCCCCACAGCAGCAACATGGCGGAACGCGTGCACAGGGTGACCATGTTCAAGATGCCCAAGGAGGAGGACCGGGCCCAGATGCTGGAGCGGTACAAGACCATGGCGGCCGAGAACAAGCGGGTACGACTCTCTCACGTCTTCCACCCAGTAAATACTGAGTGAGTACTGTACACGTACTGACCCGACGCCCAGGACGGCAAGCCCTACATCCTCAGCATGACCGTTGGCCCCGCCGAGGAGGACCCCCGTTCGCAGGGCTACACGCTCGTCAGCAAGACTGAGTTTGCCAGCATGGACGACATGAAGTACTACGACAACGAGTGCCCCGCCCACGGGCAGATCAAGGCGCTGGTGCCTTCGCTCACCGTCGAGGGCATCCTGACGGTGTACTTTAAGGCGGCGGCCACTGGTGGCGCGGCGGCCAAGTAGTAGATGGAACAATTAGGTTGTCTAGAGAATTGACAGATGAGATTATTGTCTGTAACTAGTAAGTGTGTGACTGATTATATGGGTATCATGCATGTATCCGTACGCCGCGCTCGATTCCCACCCCTTGCAAACGACAAGTTCCTCCCCCCGTCCTCACGCCGTTGTCCCCGCGTCCTGTATCGACTCCTGCACCACGGGCATATTGCGCGCCCTCTTCTCGGCCTCGTCCCGCAAGCCCGCCATAGCGTCCCGGAACCCCTTCTCGAGACCCCGGCCGTACCCGCCCTTCATGCCGCTGCTCATGCGGCCATAGTACGTCTCCCAGCAGACGTACTCGACGCCGCTGCCGTCGCGCGCCTCGACAAACTCTTGCACGCGCTCGCTGCCCGAGAAGAACTTGGCCATGCGGCCCCGGACCATCCAGGCGACGCGCACGCCCCGCCGGCCGTCCTCGCGCTGGATTGGCTCCAGTGCTGTCACCTGCATGTTGTGCTTCTCCTTCTTGCGCGTCGCCGCGTTGGTGTCGACCACCATCTCGAGGGTGAACTGCGTCGCGTCCCGGAGCGTGGTGTGTAGCGTCTTGATGCCGTCAATGTCGGGCGTGTCCCGGATGCAGCGGGGCAAGGGTGCCGTGCACACGGGCTGGTGCGTCACGGTCAGCGTCGGGCAAAAGGGGTTCCAAATGGAGTACGTCCGCGCGTCGAGGAGGAGGCCGGCCACGATGCCCAGCGGCGCGGCGATCTTGGTCGCGCACACGAGCGAGGCCAGACCCTGCTGGTCGGGGAAGCTGGGCGTGGGCAGGGCCTGGGCAGTGAGTTTGGGCTCCTGGTCGGCGACGACGGCCTCGCCAATGGACGACACGTGGATGGGCGAGGTGCCGGACGAGAGTGATGTGCGGCTGGACGAGGTGGAGTGCCGCACGCTCATGGACCGCGTGGGCGATGTGGATGGTGATGAGGCTGAGGCAGCCGTGTGCGTGCTCATCAGAGACAGCCGGCTGCTGGGGCGTTTCCTCAGCGACATGTTGGCGTTGTACTTGTCTGGTCTCGAGGAATGCGTACTGAATGGTTGGTGGAAAGGGCGATGTGTGACTGTAATCTTCGTCAAAGGTGGCTCGGCCAGAAGTGATGTAAGTGGTAGATGTGTACGTGTCGCACTGCGATATGGACAGCTGGTGAAGATGTAGGCAAGGCGAATGGGAGAGGAAGCGAAATTTAGACAATAACACCAAGTCCAAGGGGTCCCAGCAAGTATACTAATACAAAGAAAGGGCAGCGAACTACTGCGTATCGGTAGGAAGCATGACGGAGACGAATAGACCAGGGAGGGCCGGCCATGCTTGTTTGCCCACGGAGCGCTTCCCGGTCCACATCGGCGCCTCCCTATCCTTGCCCATCATGGACGTGTCTGGCCCCCCCCCGGCACATGACCTGTCGGATTTCCCGTGGAGTGAACGAAACAATAAAGGGCGCCGCGGTTCTTGGTTACGCAACGGCGGACATTGTGCTGCGGAGAATCCAATCAGTGGCAGCCACAACTTGCATCCAGCTCAGGATCAGGGCCCCTGCGTCGTCGTCACGTTCGTTGGCCAGCAAGCGCAACGTATTCTCCCCACAAAGCCATTGTGCGTTCATGAATCATAGATACGGTCATATCCGGGGTTCAGCGCGGCGGCAGAGGGAGAGATGTCGTTCGTGCATGGTGGCGCCCGTTAGCGGTCGGAGGGTCTGTCACCCGCCGCAGCACTGAGACAGACAGACAGACGCAAGAGCCGGTGGAGGGGACTGGACTGGAGGCGAAAGGACGCAGCCATGTGGTCGGTCGGACGTGGCTCGTGCAGCATCGGTGCGGCACCTGTCCGTGGAGTCGTGCGCCAAGTGAACAAGAGCTGCCAGGTCAGATTGCCTTGGGCGAGATTGGTCAGGATCCTGTTATCGCCATGGGTGGGTGTTTCATCATCGGTCGGCAGCCAACCTGTCTGCACCGAACCGGCGAGGTATTTGGAAACGTCGGCAGATGAACGAGCGCGCATATGTTTCGTGCCGCTGCCGCACTGCCTGGAAAAGAAACAGAGACATAGAGGTCTTGCGAAGTGATGGATGAATTCTATTGAGGCCTGTTTGTCGGTTGCATACATGCAATGTGGAAATGAGCTTGTCGGTGTGACGGCCGGGGCAGCCACGCTCAGGTCTGTTGCCTGTACCGCTTGACTGGCTGCTTGTCATGATCTTATCTGACTATCACAGCCTTATCGCAGGCTGGCAGCCTATCGATACCGTAGTCTTCGCTCCTCACAGGGGGCTAAAGGGCCCTTGACCTTGACGGGGCTGTCCTTCTGGAAACCCGATTGAAGGCGGCGCCGCACGCTGCAGATCACTCAGGAGCTTTCAAAATTCATCATAGCGCATGGCCTAGACGTCACTCGAAAATCCAAGGGTCCAGTTTGCCTCCACGTCTTTGTCAGATCGGAGCCGAGCGTCGGCTGCACTGGTCCCAAGCCTCGTGGGAGTCGGCTCTTAAGACGACACGAGATGCTGGTGGAGGCGAGGCGTTGACCCAGCGCCCTCTGTCGGGGGTGGTCAGTGCGATTTGCAATCATCGTTGGTGTGCTTGTACGAGAGACGCTGTCTTTGACGACGGAGGCCAGACGCTTTGGATGTGTTCTGTGAACCCAGACGCGTTCGTATTCAAGTGTTCCAAGCCAACGTGGACTCGTCAGATCGCGGGACACCACAGCCATACACACCAGCCGTCCACGTGCGGGCAACCAAGGAAGGGAACAAGCTCGACATGAGTTTTTTTTTTTGGAAGATCCTACCAGGCAGTGACTACGTGTACGGCACGCGCGGCTGTTTTGATCCGGGCTGACTAGACGTCGCTGGCTAGGATTGATATGCTTGCTGCCCCTCCAGATCGTCGCCCATACACGTTCATAGATCGACGACTGTCGATCATGTGATAAGTCAACGGGAGAGGGTGGCCAAGAGATGACTACTACTTTTTGAACACTTCGCGATGATAGTGCTTGTCATGTTATTTCCGTGGTTGGTTTGCACGACGTGCCCTAAAGCACTGAACTCATAAACCCCCTTTTTTCTCCTTTATAGCGAGTCCATCGATAGAAGCAACGATCAGTCGCCTAGATAACACATAGTTCATGACAACTGTGCTGCTAGCTCACTTGGAGGGTACATGAGCATGCTGCTTCCATAGGGAGGACCATATCGCCAACTGCATCGAATGGCCTTGCGTTGACCAGTGTACTCTGCCTGAACATGCGTGAAGTGAAGTGCATGTATCAGGTCACAGAGACAACAAGGAACGCACGAATCTGCCACAGAACCTATAGAATCGCCGTACATGAAAAAATTGATACACTGATCTGCAACGAAGAAAGCGCACGCTTCATGCACCTGTACACCGAGGCCTGCGCTCTGTCTGCTGGCGCCTGCGTAGACACAAATTGGGGCTTCAGAGCAGTACTTGCAGTAGGCGTGCCCTGTAGACGGGACGCATGTTCTTGTATAGGCTCACAAGCGCCATGTTGGAAGACATATGTCAAACTCAACGCAACTGCTCCAGGTACACATAGTACTTTAGCCTCGAAACCTCCAATCTCGACAGACCATCTGTTGCATGCCAGGCCATCGTGGAGAGAGGTTCCGACTCTGTACCTGACATTGAAAGCACTTAAGACAATGTCCCAATAGACACCACCTGCGCCAAAATTGTCCAGCGCGGTCTTGCCCAATACCCGATTTACTTTCTGCAGCCATTGTGAGCAGGCGACAGGAGAGTTGTGAACTTGGAGCACGGAAACTTTCACGGAGATCCAACGATAGCCTGCAGCGGCAAAGAACTTGGAACGAACAGAATGTTACAGAGTGCACGTGGATAACTAAAGTAGTTGGGAACTCCTTTAGTAGCCTCGAACAACCCATTCCCCTCAGAGGTGTCACAAGCCCATGCTGCAATCCCAAGACGCCTTAACGGTTTCCCAAATAACAGCCATAAGAACCATGCTACCGTTCACCCACGTTCTAGAGTGTACTATATTGTGATCATGTACGGCCATTCTAGTAGTGTTAGTGATCGCAACATGGACCATGTGGCTGTAGACGGGCAGTGAATCGGTGCGAGACGCGTTGCCTACGTGACTTCAGTTGATTATCTAAAACGTTTCTTGTATCCTAACCTCGGTTCTCCTCCTTCCCTTCTTTTAACCCATCATACCAACCAGACAGTTTCTTTACTGCAGTCGATCATCCCTGAAACAGCGCTGGGTATTGTCAAGTCTTCAAGCTACAACGAAAACACCGCCTCTTCTTTCACCACCGTTCTCTCGGGGACGCACAACAGCTAAAGAGTCTCTCAACGCACCTGATATAAGCATCGAAGATACCATGCACTTCAACGACATCTTCGATGGCTGCAAGCCTGGTGCTGACGGCATCATCACCATCGGCCAGGGCAAAGCTGCCCATGAAGCTGCCGCCCAGCTCCCCCAAGCCTTTCGCGACAAGGCCAATTTTCCCCACGAAATCCTGCACACCACCGGCATGGTATCGCTCCATGACCTAGGCGACGCTTCGTGCCAGGCCAAGGGCGAGTTTGAAGTCATCGCCAAGACCGCCTTTGACGTCGTCAAGCGCTTCCCCAGTGGCACAGCCATCGTTCATCTCGGCGCTACCAACTCCAACATGTACGCTCCCTACGTCGCGGCCTTCAAGGCCCAAGAGAAGTCCTGTGTCTACCTCCCCCTCGTCTCGGACCTCCCATCCCTCCAAGCCCAAGTCACGCGTGCCACGGAGGAGTTCCCTGGCATGCCCACGTACGGCCTGCACGGCACATGCGAAGAGGGCGACGACTTTTTCGCCAACATCAAGATCCCATGCCTGTACCTCTACCTGGGTTCCCGCTTCTACGGCGTCCCCGACCCCCTCTGCCTCGACCGCATACACTCCTTCTCCCAAAACTTCAAGCGCACGGACGCCCTCATCATCAGCCAAGAGGAGCCCCCCAAGACGGACGCTGGCCCCGTGTCCCGCGGCAAAGACCCCTACATGACGCCCCTGTACCGCAAGTTTGTCGACACCTATCTTCGTGCCCTTTGCGCGCACGCCGGCATCGAGAACGTCAGGCCCGGCAGGGACTTTCCCTACAAGGCCAAGTCAGAAGGTGGCATGCACTATTTCGAGATGACCACGACGCGCGACATGGTCTGCACCGCTGCTGGATACGATGGTTTCACTATTGAGACCGGTACCGTCTTCAACATGTTCAAGACTTGGAAGCGTGGTGCTGGCAACGTTGTGGAAATCACCCTCGACGCAGACGTCAACATTGAGACCCTTGGCCACTCGGACAAGATGCGCATGAACTTGTACCTCATTTTCCCTTAAACAATGGAGCATGCCACGCAGAAAGACAGAGTGATGTCTTCTTTGCTACAGGAAATATGTTGTACCATGCGAGAAGATTGCGATCTACCTGTCAGAGAGACGGAGATTTTGGATGGACCGCCTACGGACTGATTGGATGGTGTGAGATATGGATTACCATGGCCATTTGGAGGTCTCGACAGAAAGGAAAGCCCAAAGACAGGGAAAAAGGTCCTAGTTTCTTTGCGCGAATTTCCTTTTCTTTTTTTTTTTTTTTTTCTTTTCTGAGGGAGTGAGGGAACATAATGGTTGTTTGGTTTCTGGTATGGGTTGGTCTACTCAGGGGCTGGTCGACATCTACGAAAGGCCACCTTACACTGAGTTGAATCCCCCGAAATCATCCACTGAGCCAAATTCGCAGTTTTCGGTCCCACAATAGTATGATAAAAAAAAATAAGTGTGAAACAGTCCGTGCTTGTGTTCGTGTCCTGTAGCTATATTCATACGATCCATCCCCTCTGTCTATGTACATGCTGTCCTTCACACCAAGCCGAACCTGTCGTCAAGACCCGTCCGCTTCTAGAACGGGAACTTCCGTTTCTAGAATAGGGATATCCGTTTTGAAGAGCTACTTGTTAACAAAATAGCGGTGCTCAGCAGGGACACCGAAAAAATTGGCCTTCTTCATCTCCGCGCCGTCCAGATACTCAGCCTGGACCAGGCCGATGCGGAAGATGGGGATGCGCTGTGAACAGTCCCTGAGCTTCCAGTGGAGGAGCACATCGCCCAGGACAGACACAGAAACCCCGTCTTCCCGCTTTACGACGGGCCGGACGATGACGTCCTGAAACTCGAAGTAGAGGACGCGCCTCGTCCCGGTGGGCGTGACGTACTTTCTCCCGAGCAGCACGGGCCTGCCCTTGACCTTGGACTTGTGGTACCAGGCTCGGACGGTGTGGGCGATCTGCAAGTCATCTGTTCCGTTGTTGACAATAGTGTGGAAGCGAAAGTCCTTTTTGTTGAACTTTTGGGCCCCATTGGAGTTGCCAAAGAACAGCTGCCATTTGAGGTCCTTCTCGTCCTGCCTCCGCCACACGGGGAACGACACTGACCAGGGCCCGTTCCACCAGAACGGCACGTAGTGGGATGGCACGTCGTAGTGAAGGACCTGGCAGACGGCCGGGTCGGGCATGTCCTGGCAGACATCGACCATCGTGGGGCGCCATGGTTGCCCAGCCGGGAGGCTGTAGTGCACCGAGGGGTCAGGGTCTTTCCCCAGGAGGTGTTTGGAGCACCAGTCGCCGATCTCGCGGCTCAATTTGTCGAGCTGTGTGCACTTGGCGTTCGTGAGAGTGGCTACAGTACATAGCAGTATCAGCAGCAGCGCGGCTGTGTGGTGCAACATCACCATGTTGTCTTTGATGGCTGCGGTTGGATGGCAATCTTGTGCCCGTTATGAGGGGATCAAGGTGACCCGGGAGATGAAAGGAGCGCGCGACTGTGGGCGACGAGCAGCTGAACATATACTTGTCAACACATAAATTTTGAGTTTCGTCTTAAGACAGATTTATAGATAGATTCATGAACAGATTTACGGACAGATTCATGGACCACAAACTCGAGATAAGAAAAGGCTTTCTGAGGACTAAAACTACAAGCTTTGGAGCTAATTCGATGAGACCACCAACCCATGTCCACGCACCTCATCCAGCCAACTCCTTCTCTAGGGCATCCGCCATCTCGCCCAGCGTTGCAAACTTCCAATCGTAAATCTCACCGCCCGTGTTGCCCATGACCGCGCCCGGACGGTAGATCCAACTTGACTTGATGCCCTGCTTCCTGGCGGGCTCATGGTCGTGGAATTGACTTTGCGCCGTCTGTAGCACCTGCTCCCTTGTGACACTAAATTTGTCTCTGACCACGCGAAGCATGTGCTCAAAATTACGCTGGTCGGGCTTGTAGCTCCCAACGTCCTGCGCGGTGATGATGGTGTCAAAATGTGCGCCTGCGAGGGGCCCTGCCAGGCTCTTGCGGAACGACTCAACGTCCACGTTGGAGAGCACGACGAGCTTGTAGTGCCGTGCCAGCCTCTGCAGCGCGCCGACGCTGTCGGGGAAGGCAGGCCACTGGCCGACGGTGGCGCCAAACTGCTGGCACTGCTCGTCGCTGGGTGCCTGGAGGCCCAGCTTCGCGGCGACGTGGGGGAGGATGGTGGCCAGGAGGTCTTGATACTTCATGTCCGGAGTCTTGGACTGCTGTGCGGCCTCGCACTCGTGGTAGACGGTGAGGAGTTTCTCACGAGTAAAAGTGGCATTGTTGGCGGAGAGGAGGGGCTGCAAACCGTTGAGCACGCCAGTCTCCCAGTCGATGAGGGTGCCGTAGACGTCAAAGCAGAGGAGTTTGAAGTCTGTGAGGCGGGTCATTTTGGTGGTGTGGGCGCTGAGAAGGCAAAAGCTGTGTTGTTCTTGGTTGCATCAGTTGATCGCGTGGTTTGTGGTCTCTGGCAAGGGTGTGAGTGGCATGAGGCACGTATGATGGACGATGTGACACTGGCGTTGACATTCAAGAGGCCGGAAGCGGGGGCCGGGCCGGTAGATGCCACCGGACGGAGCCGCTACACCGGACCGGTCCCACGTAATAGAGTACAGGTGCATGAGTCGGCATCAGGGTTCGTGGCTGGCGTGGATGTATGGCTGATCCACGTAAGAACATGTTCGCCATTCCAGATTCGCTTGTAAGTGTATCACCTGGCATTTGTGTCCAGCCCATAGTACCTGGTAGCCCGACGGAAACCATGGTCTTCAGCCTACCCGGAACCCCTTCTTTCTGCCACCTTGGCTTGACCTGGCCCAAAACTGCATGTACATATATACCGTTCATAGTACTAATGTCTGGGAGCCAAGGAAAAGAAAAAGCGTGTGAGTGGAAGAGTAAAAAAATATCACTTGTATCTGATGCGCTAACTGAAAGAACATGGTCGTTGTATAATCGCAAACTTAAGTTTGGAGTGTCCTAAAACTGATTTCACCAGCTTCGGTGTTTCAAAGACATTGCAACATTGAAGCTGATCCAAGCTTGAAACTCAATTTTTTCACATGAGTTGACAGGCATAGTTGAACTCTTATATTGGCATGGTGACTTGTGAAACTCCATGACAGTCCGCCGTACGGGTGCCGTTGAGCCAGACCAGCCTCCACGTAACAGGGTTCCATTTGTATGTTGATCTGCAAGAAACCCGGCCGGGGCTCATAACTACCACACGGTGCGACTATGGAAAATGAACTTCAAGCTCGTGGCAATCACAGATTTACTACGTTTTGGGCGTTGAAGTGCCTGGCATGTAACTTATATGCTGATCATGGCAACCCGGTGGAATCAGATTTTGACTTACCCGGCACCACTCCCTTCTCCGTTGGGCCAGATCAACAGTCTTACATACCTTTGGAATTCAGGCCACAACCGCATCACACACAAGACTACGGACGGACAACTCTTGTCTCTCAAACTTCTCACCCTCACCACGCGTGACGTACGCACGAAAAACTGGAGAAATTTGTTGGGATATCGAAATAAAGCAATGCCTCGGCAGTCCGCGACGGACTGTCACGGACACCCACTTTTACGCCGGTGGAATTGCTCAAAACAGCCATTTTCCCCCGTCAGGCGTCCGAAGACTTATCAATCCCGTCGGGTTGTGCCTGGAAGAATCAGCCCTTGCGTGTCCGAGTGCGAGAAAACTCAACATTCTCTGGCTAGCTCCTTGTTCGCCTCCCTCGTCGGAGAAAAAATCTACCTGGTTGGGCTGGGCTGCGCGTGTAGACTATATATACATGCAGATGTGCCGTACGTTGCCAGTCTCGCGGTGTAACAAATAGCATTATAGAGTGGTCATTTGCTGCTGATTCGTTAACACCCCGTCGTCCCTGAACAACGTAAGCCAGCCTCTCCCCCTGTGCGTCCGCGAAACCGTGTCTAGTCTATTCAATCTGCTGTCGAATTGAGATCCTTCGCTCACCAGCTGATTTATCAATTCACCCTTCCACTCACTCACTCATCTTTCTTTCCGCATTCACAATGACCAACACGCGTGGCGCAAGTAAATTAATACCACGGACGCTGATTCGAAATGTCCAGGCCGTCCTCCCACAGTCCATTCGGCGTCCGCAAAAGAGCCATCTCGCCGGCCTTCTGATCGCCATCTTCCTCACGCTGCGACTACGCCAGCGCATCCACAAGAAAGTCACCATGCCAGCCGCATCCACCAAGGCACCCGCCTTTCCCGGCTTCAAACCCCTATCCGAGCAGGTCTTTGTCCGGGAACCCGCAGGTGATGCCGCCATCAAGCCCGCGCCCGACCACCCCGACGTCGTGCTTGTCTATGGCTGGGGCGACGGCATCCCCAAGCACGTCGTCAAGTACGCAGACGGCTTCCAGACAGTCTATCCCGCGGCCAAGCAAATTGTCGTCCTCTCGCCCATCAGCAAAGCCATGTTCAGCACGCTCGCCGAGCGTTCGCTGCAGATGGCGCCCGTGGTGCAGGAGCTCTTTCCCGACGGCGCCCACGTCGACGACAGCCGCCGTCGCATTCTCGTCCACACCATGTCCAACACGGGCGCGGTGAACTACGCCGCCACCATCAACCGCTTCAAGGATGTTTACAGCAGACCCTTCCCCCACACCCTCTTCATCATGGACTCAACACCCGGCAGCGTCGCCATCACCTGGGATAACCTGAAGCGCTGGTCGCGCGCCATGTCGCTTGGTATGGCCAAATTCTTTCCCTGGCCTTTTGTCGTCACGCAAGGCATCTTTCTCGTCTTCCTTTTTATCAACAACCTTGTCGAGCAGGCGACCGGACGCGAGAGTGCGGGCGGGTGGAGCAGAAGGGCGTCCCTCAACAAGGAGTGGGAGGCCATTGGCGCGCGGAAGCTGTACATGTACAGCAAGGAGGACGACCTCATCAACTATGAGGACATTGAGGTGCATGCCGCCGAGGCGAAGCAGCTCGGATGGAAGGTGGATGTCGAGGTGTTTGAGGGCTCAGGTCATGTTGGACACATGAGGCTGCATGCTGCGCAGTACTGGACAGCAATCGCCGAGTCGTGGAAGAAGGCAGTGGCGGATGGCGAGGCCTGAGGAGAGAGAGGTGCGGTGATGGTGGGGGATGTGTATCATGGCCAGCGATGCTTATGGCGGAATATTTGCCGACCGTACTAGAATTAGTAATAACTAGACTCTTTTGATGTTTCTTCATTTCTATCCAGTTGGAGTCGTGGGGTTGAGTGCCACGGTTGTGTCTATGTGGGAAGCGAATTGAACTTGGGTGGCAAATCCAACTCCCGCAGTGACCTCACTCATCATCATCAAGCCTCCTACTCACGTACTTACCTATAAACCAAAACGTCCAGCGCAGACTCAATGTCGCCGTCGACATCAAACGCCATTTTCAGCCATCATGTTGCCCAAATCGAGCGCATCAATCACACCCCTGCGTGCCTTGACGACATCTCGACACCAGATACCAGCACACGGCTTCATCCCCAACACATCAATATCCCATCATCCACTGCTTATCTATCATGGCGCCTTTCAACAACCTGTCAACCCATCTTCCGTCGAGCAGCATCTGACGGCCTTCGGCGTCGTCAAGCCCCATTGGCGCTATTCCATGTATACAAAGACACACTTCCACAGCACGGCGCACGAGGTGCTGGTCGTCACCGATGGACGCGCACGACTCAACTTTGGCGGGGAAGAGAACCCCGGTAGGGTAGAACTGACAGTCGATCCCGGGGATGTGATCGTCATCCCCGCTGGCGTGAGCCATCGGCTCCTGCACGATGAAAGTGGTGCGTTCGCCATGGTAGGCAGCTACCCTGTCAACAGCCGGCAGTGGGACATGTGCTATGGGGGTCCAGACGACGAGGACAAGGTGAACGGAATCGGTGGTTTGAGCTGGTTCGAGAGGGATCCCGTGTATGGCGACGATGGACCAGTGCTGCATGGGGATTGATTGGAAGGTGACGCCCATATCAAGAAGAACAATTTGTTTCAGGGCCAACTCGTGTGGTGCGAGCACGGGCAAGATAAGTGTCTGTCTGCCCAAGCAAACATCAGTAATCCCGAACAAGCAAACGTGCACGGGTCTATCTTGCATAACGCGAGATTGTAAATCTTTGGCCTGTTTGTCTGGAAATCTCTCTGTTTTCATCGCGTCCCTCAACATGTCCTCGATCAGACGAGTTGCCGGTCATGGGCAGCCAGTGAGATCACCGCATGCACGATCAGTTGAATCAAGTAGTATTCAAACGCGACCAAGATGTAAAGATGGAGTGAGTTCATGGTCAGTCATCTCGCCTGCTTGGCGGACAAGCAATCCTCTGTGGCAGCAGCGTCTTTGTCACTGTTTGATCTTTCCGAACACACGAACGCAGCTTCCTTCCCTTCTACACACACCTTCTTCGAATTGAAATACTGTCCCTCTACTTCTCTTTGCTTTTCTCTGATTCATTTCCGCCCTATTGAATATTGCCCGCGAAACAGAACACACAGCTCAATGGAGGACATCGCCATCATTGGCCTCGGCGTGCGTTTCCCAGGAGATGCTTCCTCGCCAGAGGAACTCTGGAAAACCCTTGAACGGGGCGAATCACAATGGTCCGAGTTTCCCAAAGATCGACTCAACATTGACGGCTACTATCACCCCAGTGGTGATCGACTCGGAAGCGTGAGAGCCACACACTGTCGAAGTCCGCGGCAGCAACAGACTGACTGTCAGCAGATTTCGTTCCGTGGCGGACATTTCCTGCAAAAAAACGTTGCAGCTTTCGATGCACCTGTGCGAGCTGTCTCTCCCTAATCGAAATCTCTGCTGAACTAGGCCTAGTTCTTCAACGTCGGCGCTGATGAAGCGGCCGCTATCGATCCCCAGCAGCGCTTCCTGCTGGAAGCGTCCTACGAGGCCCTTGAAAATGGTGAATACAGAAACTCCTGTCTTGTGAGGTTAACACCACTGAAATTTGGAAGCCGGTATCAAGAAGGAGGACGTGGAAGGCAGTGACACTGCGGTCTACGTCGGTTCATTTGTCAAGGGTGTGTCCCAGCTGATACGGCGTTCTCACAGACGCGTTGCTAACACACTGAAGACTACGAACAAATCTGCCTTCGAGACCCAGATTGGGCACCAAAGTATGCGGCAACCGGCAATGGCACCGCCATCATGGCCAATCGCATCTCCTACGCCTTCGACTTCCATGGCCCCAGTATCACGGTCGACACAGGGTGCAGTGGCAGCCTTGTGACGGTGCACATGGGAGCCCAGAGCCTACGAAACCGGGAAACATCCTTGGTAAGATTCCCACAGCGTCTTTTTTCCTAGTCTGACAACATGGAGGCTATCGCTGCTGGTGCAGGTTTGATCCTGACCCCCAATACCATCATGCCGATGACCGCACTCAATTTTCTGAGTCCAGATGGCAAATGCTTCACTTTCGACGAACGCGCCAACGGATACGGGCGAGGCGAAGGAGTTGGGGTTGTCGTCATGAAACGCATATCGGATGCCATACGCGACAAGGATCCAATCCGAGCTGTCATCCGGGGCACGCGAGTCAACCAAGACGGACGCACCACGGGCATCACACTTCCCAGCAAAGAGGCCCAGGTGGCTAACATCAAGGCCCTATACGAATCTACGTCTCTCGACTTCGAGGACACTGGCTACGTTGAATGCCACGGCACAGGAACACAGGCTGGTGACTGGCGTGAGCTCAAGGCCATTTCGGAAACCATCGCAAGCACCAGGAGCGAAGACTCGCCCGTCATTGTGGGATCCGTCAAGCCCAACATTGGCCATCTGGAAGGCGCCGCTGGCATCGCCGGCCTGATCAAAGGCGTGATGGCCGTCGAGCGAGGGCAGATCCCACCCAACATCAACTACAGGACCCCGAACCCCGACATTGACTTTACAACGTGGAAGGTCAAGGTGCCCACGGAGAATATGGAGTGGCCATTGCCCGGCGTTCGTCGAGCAAGCATCAACTGCTTTGGATTCGGCGGTACAAATTCGCATGTCATTCTGGATGACGCGCAGAGTTATCTGGCCTCTCAAGTCTTCGCTAAAGATTACATGCTTATCGACCGTTCATCCGACCCTGATACAGACGACATGGTTTCCGAAGAGCCTCAACCCAACATCTTTTGCTTCTCATCTTGCGAGAAGCTTGGTGTGAACCGCGTCATTCAGTCACAATTGCCATATGTACTGCAAGAACAGGGCCAAGAGGACGCGGCTTTCTTGCGTAACTACTCGTACACCCTCTGCGACCGTCGATCAACCATGGAGTGGAAGGGATTTGTGGTTGCCAACTCCGTCTCCGACCTGCAAACTCAGATGAAGACATTTCAACCAGGGAGGGTTGTCCGCTCGTCAGCAGCCAAGACGCCCCGCTTGTGCTTTGTCTTCTCGGGACAGGGCGCCCAGTGGGCTAGAATGGGTTTGGACTTGATCATCTACCCAGTGTTCCTGAAGAGCCTCAAGGCGGCATCCGAGTACATGCAAACCGAGCTGCGCAGCAGCTTCGATCTTTGGGAAGAGCTCAACCAACCCAGTGAGCAATCGCGGATTTCTGACTCCGAGATTTCCCAGCCTGCCACGACAGCATTACAGATCGCCTTAGTGGACTTGCTCGCGTCCATGGATGTATGTCCCCAGCAGGTCATTGGGCACTCCTCTGGTGAAATTGCCGCCGCATACGCCTCGGGGGCACTTAACAAGCAGCAAGCCTGGACAGTGGCGTACCACCGAGGTCAATGTACAAACCTGCTCAACTCAAAAACGCCTCCCGTCCAAGGCGGAATGATTGCTACTGCCATGCCGCCGCTAATTGCAGAACAATACCTGGGCAAGAGAGCTCATGATTGCCAGATTGCGTGCATCAACAGCCCGGAATCCGTGACCCTATCTGGCGACCGCGCGGCGATTGAGGCCATCGCCAAGGATCTCAAGAAGCAGGGAATCTTGCACAAGGGGCTCTCCGTATCTACCGCCTACCACTCCCGTCACATGCAGCTCGTCGAGGTCGACTACATGGAAGCACTCCAGCATCTTCGACCAGGCGCGCAGGCCAAGGCCACAATGTTCTCAACCGTTACGGGCGAGCCTGTCGACCCATCCCTACTCGACGGAGAGTATTGGACGAAGAATATGACAGCCCCCGTTCTCTACTGGCCTGCCATGCAACGAATGATGAACTCGATCGTGGACGTCCCCGACGTGATCATCGAGCTCAGTCCTCGTACTATGCTTCGAATGCCCACGATTGAAATTCTGGATGATGTCGACCGTCCGTCCAAGCCCGTCTTGTTTTCCATTCTGGAGAAGCAGTCGACTGGACCCGAGTCTTTCCTCAACTTGCTAGGCAAATTGTGGTTGCGCGGCCAGCCCCTCAATATCTCGAAGCTCTACCCTTCCGAGCCCCGTGGGCCAGACATCAAGTGTCTGCAAGATCTGCCATCGTACCCGTGGAACCACAGCAATACATACTGGTTCGAGTCTCATCTCGGCGCCGCCAATCGCTTTCGAGCCTTTCCGCGTCAAGATCTCATCGGCGCACCCACCGCGGACTCTATCCCCTTTGAGCCTCGCTGGCGTGGCTTCCTGCGCATTTCTGAAAACCCCTGGATCCAAGACCATCAAGTCCAGAAGACAATCCTGTACCCAGCAGCTGGCATGGTGACCATGGTGTTGGAGGCCGCGAAGCAGATGGCGACGTGGCAACAGAATCTGAAGGGATATGAGCTTGTCGATATGTCCATCGTCAAGGCAATGATTGTGCCGGAGATAGCTCATGGCTTGGAGGTGGCGCTTAACATCAAGCGGGAAGCAGGTGATCATGACGCCGACCTGACTGGTTCGTGGTCCTTTTCAATCTACTCCAAATTGTTGGATAGTCCTTGGGAGCAACATGCCACTGGCGGTCTGCGGTTTCACTACGATGCATCTGCTTAGATGTGAGAGAGGACAGTCCGGTAGAAGACACAGGTTGAAACAGAAGAGAGTAAAAGTTGTGTACAGTACAGCTTGGTTAGATCAACCCCTTAGGCCTAGATGATAAACAAGGAGCGACAGAAACCAAAGAGCCATGTATCGCTGCCAGTGTCCCAGCTGCATTCGCATGCCAATTACTAGTTTCAAATCAAAAGACTGCCATAGTTTCTTCATCTAGAACCTGATGTCATCGTTTTGAGTTGGGGACCTGCGGTGGGTCAGTATCTGAGCTCACAAAGGCAGAAAACCAAGTCTTCAAGTCCGCGCGCGAGTAGCCAATGTGCATGTCATTTCTACCCTGTGTCAGAAACTCCAAAGGCGCTCCAGAATTCTGTTTCTGATGCCCGTGTTGACTTGGCAAGCTCCAGTCGGCCTTGATCACCAGTCGCGCTTGTCTGCTACCATTCTAATGGTGCAAAGCTAGACAATCTTTCGGCACGGGTCTGTGAAGGTCTCGCTTTCATCGATGCACGTCTGGTGTTACAAACACGCTCATGTCTCTTTGCGTACGGAGTACAGCGTCAAGCGTACACAAACAGTCCTAGTCAACTGGCTAAATAGTGGATGAGCTGGATCTGAGCTGGATCTGAGCTGGATCTGAGCCGAGCCCGACTACACGTACTCGAACGAACACATGTTTACGCAGAACACAGCTAGGAGAATAGTTCGTTCACCTTTCGACAACTACTGGCTGAGTGCAGTGTTATAGCTTTCATCTCATTCGCCTACCACCACACTGGGTGTACTGCAGTAGCAGCGCCCTTCCTTGCTGCCATCTCACCTGCCATCACAACAACAACACAACACATCAACAACAATATCTCCGTTCCGCGAGTCACTCGTTTATATCCCTCCTTCACCAGATTCGACAATGTCTGCGACTGGGGAGCCACCTCAGCCTCCTGGTCCTGCCAACCCATCTGCACCACCAGCTGCTCCCATGTCCGCAAACGAACGCGATGACGTTAGCATGCTGTCCCCCGGGGACACTCTCGTTTCCGACGAGTCTACAACCGACCAATACCACAAGTTCATCGAACAGGAGGACCTCGAAGTGGTGGTTCCTCGTCAGCTGTACGAAAAGCTCGACACCGTTGGCATGAACTATGGCCCTCTCTTCCGAAACATTGTCGAGCTGCGCAAGAACGCCAACAGCTGTGCCTCCGTGATCCAGATCCCGGACACACAGTCCAAGATGCCAGCCAACTTTGAGTACACGCACTTGATTCATCCAGCCACTCTGGACTCCATGGTCCAGACCCTGTTTGCGATCGACAGCGTGCCCATGGTTCCCACCTTTATCGAAAGCATCTTTGTGTCTGCGAACTTGGACAACGACATGGGCACTCACTTCAAAGGAGTATCCACAGTGCAGCGCCTAGGTGTCGGCAATGCCAAAGCTGATATCACAATGTCTCTCGATGGGATCAGTTCCCTCCAAGTCGTCATCAAAGGCTTGCATCTCACTGCGCTTGAGGACACGACACTTGCCACCGAGTCAATCATCCCGAACCATCACAACCTTTGCACCGAAATCATCTGGAAGGAAGATGCGACATTTGCACAAGCTCAGACTTTGGGGGAGTGGCTCGAATTGCTGAGCCACAAGCATCCGGCCCTGGAGATACTGCAGATTGGCGGCTCTATTGCCAAGACTCTGGACATTTTGGAGAGTGTCGCGGGTGAGTCCATGCCGGTACCGACGCTGGCCAGATACAGCATTGTCGATTCAAACAGTGGCACTTCCCAGTCACTACAAAGGATCCTCGAGGGCACGCGGTTGCAGCCATATGTCGAGTACATCTCACTCGATGAGATCGCTACCGACCAAAAGTACCACATGGTCATTGTCAGCGCCTTGCCTGACTCAGACCCTATGCAGTACCAGAAACTCGTGAGGCCAGGCGGGTGGGTTGTGGGAACACTTGTCGGCTCTCAGCAGAATTCCCTGCTGGATCACAGTGCGGTCATGACACGGATCCCCGGAGAGTATCTGGCCACCGCCCCAGTCGAGCTGGTTGTTCTGCATCGCAATGGGCGTGAGCAACATGCTCGGTCCCTCGTCGAGGGTCTTTCCAAGTGTCAGGGGGAGTTTGACTACGATTACAGAGTCTCGTCAATGTCCCTCGCCAAGGCCATGAAGAACTGTGCAGTCCTGGCACACAAAGTCGTCGTTTCTCTCTTGGACTTGCATACGCAGACCGAGCTCACTGGATTCGTGACAATCTGGAACGAGCCCGAATTTGATTTCTTTCAACGAATGCATGCGGCGGCCAAGGGCGTTATCTGGATCACGCGTGGCGCCAACAGGGATCCGCAAGACCCTTTGATGGCTTCTGTCATGGGACTCGCGCGCACCTTGATGTCGGAAGATCCGCGCAAGCTCTTCGTCACTTTAGATCTTGGTATAGAAACCAGTTTGTCTGATGGGAACATCGCTGCTATGCTCCTAACAATATTTTTGATGACGTTTTGCGAGATCGGCGACGATCAGCACATGGAGCCCAAGGAGATGGAGTTCTCCGAAGCCGACGGCAAGCTGTACATTCCGCGGCTCATACCTGTCCAAAGTCTCAACCAGATAATCGAGAATGGCGCGACAGATGAGATTGTCCCCTCGCTTGCCGGGCCTGGGAAAGGCGTGAAAGTGGAAATGGTCAAGGTTGGGACATCCAGGGATTCTATGCAACTCTCTGAGTACGAAGTAAAAGCACCTCAGCCGCATGAGGTTCAAATCCAGTTTGAACAGGCCGAGCTCAACTATCGAGACGTTGAAATTGCACTGGGGCAGTCTACCTCCTCTGATCTGGGTAGAGACCTGCGTGGTACGATTACGAACAAGGGAAGCGACGTCGGTCACCACAAGATTGGTGACAAGGTTGTCGCCCTCGTGACAAATGGCTCGCTCAAGACTCTGGTAAATGTTGATGCACGCTTTGTGCTGTCAGACTTGACCGGTTTCACTGCTTCGACCTCTTTAACCGTGTTCTATGCGCTCTGTCACGTCGGCAAGCTTGAGATTCCGGGTCGGTCCATGTCGCTTTCGACGCCCAACAATCGCTCAGCGTTGATCACGGGTGGCGTTGGCTATTGTCAGCCAGCATTCGCCCTGTGCCAGATGCTCGGTGTCAAAGTTTTCTTTGCCATTGCCAACGAAGATGCTCACAAGTATGAGGAGGCTTTGCAACGCATTGGTGTTGATGCTGTGCAAATACTGAAGGCAGGATCCATGGAGTTGAGCGAGATCCTGAAGCAGCGCAACAATGGAAAAGGGGTAGATGTGGTGTTACACGCCAGTCCAACCTCGATCGAGTCAACCGCTGCATGCATCAAGCCTGGTAAGTATCTCTCTCACCCTTGATCTTTGAACTCTACTAAATCTCTAGGCGGTGCCATAGTGCATGTTCAACATCAGACCACCGGCCGACGACCGACGCTTGTCAAGCTTCTGACCAACATCACGTACGTCAGATTCGATCTCGAAAGCCTTCTGCGCGAAGCGCCCGACTTTGTAGCCAATCTTCTTCCCGATATATACCATGCAATGGCAAGCTGTGGAGAAATCGTCTATGAGGAAAACCGCACCTTTGAGATGACCGACACTGCAGACGCCCTGAAACAGCTTCGAGAGTCGCCAAGCCTTGATAGCGTCACCATCTCTTTGGGCAGCGAGCCAACCAGCGGCAGCAATGACCAGTCGCGCGTCAAGGGAAAGACATTGAAGGAGATGATTGACCCTAAGAGCACATACCTGCTCTCCGGTGGCCTCGGAGGGTTGGGTCGCAGCATCGCCACGCTTCTAGTAGACAATGGCGCGCGGTTCCTCGTCTTCCTCTCGCGCGAAGGCGCCGTTACTTCCGTGACGCAGGACTTTGTCGCTCACCTCAGGAGACGCCGCGTGCGTGTCAGGGTCTATCCCGTATTCATTTCAGATATGAAAGACATGATGGATTTGTTCAAGTCGCGGATCAGTTGGGAAATGCCCCCTGTCAAGGGCATCTTCCAATGCTCGGGTGGAATCCGCGATGCTATGTTCGAAACAATGAACTTGGACAATTGGATAATGGCGTTCGTACCCAAGGCGTCTGGTTCTAAATGTCTCGTCGATGCTGCATATGCTGCCAACTACGACCCCTTCTTCGTTTTTCTGGCCAGCGCCGCTGGTGTCGTGGGGAACCGTGGCCAGGCCAACTATGCCGCTGGCAATTGTGTGCAAGATGCACTGGCGCGGAACCTCCGTCTCAAAGGCAAGAATGCTGTTGCCATCGACCTTGGACCGATATTGGGTGCTGGTATGCTGGCGAATGACGAGAACCTACTGAACAAGCTCCTCGCGAATGGGTTTTACGGGGTTAGTCACGACCACTTTCTGCAGGTAGTCAAGCATGCAATCACCATGGAGACATTGCCCGGCGTACCCATGCCACCGCAGGTCACGCTCGGTATCGGTACCGGCGGACTCATTCTTCAGAATAAGCCTGCCGACCCATATTGGAGTCGGACGGCGATGTACAACTATCTCAACTTGGTGGACATGCCGCCTCCTAATCTCGAGGGGGGCCACTCCACCACATCCAACATGGACATCAAGTCCCTTCTTCGCCAGAATCTCGATATTTCAGTCGCCACAGAAGTCATCTGCACTGGCCTGATGCACATGTTGGCCAAGTCGATGAACATGCTCTTTGAAGAAATGGACTCTGAGAAGCAGCCCAGTGCATATGGAGTTGACTCGCTCGTCGCTGTCGGTGTGAGGAATTGGGTGTACACGAATTGTAACGTGCAAGTGTCTGTTTTTGAGGTCCTTAGTAAGGAGACAATTCGGCAGTTGTCGGCAGTAATCGTCGAGCGCTGTGGTTTTGGGTTGTGTGATGATGGTGGCCTTTAATGTAGATGCGATGGTCTCTTTGGTTGTAGGGAATGGCGCAGGTAGTCAGGATCCATGGTTACTACGATTGTGTGGCGTGATTGGATTTTAGTCCCTTTTGGTGCAGACTCACTGGATGTTTAACTGTGACAGACCACCTCTAGCCCCTGAATGCAGAAAGTAAACAAATCGCGAAAAGTGTCAAAGTCTATTTCAACACTAAAGCTAGCAGCAAATCAACCAATAATACGCAGAGCAACATGATAGTGAGTTACACCAGGAAATATCAACTGGCGAAATAAATAGAAATCATGTTGGTTGGCAAAAAGTATGCGTGATCTGGGAATCGAACCCAGGGCTCCCCGACGTTGCTCGGATGGCAACGGAGAATTTTACCACTAAACCAATCACGCGCCTTTGGCTTGAATGAAGATCGACTTCCAATTTGCAGTATATGAGGCTATTACACACAATAGGGAAAAGCGGCCTTGGGGACCCGACTCGAGCTTTTCTGTAACGCTTGGAGACTGTTCTCTGGCCATTAACATAGAAATAATGGAAGGGCCTTGGAGTTTAGATCTTCACTATATTAAGTCTTGACTGAATTTCAAAAGTTCTGCATATGAATTCCAGAGTTGCCCGATGAGCTTGTTCTTATTGATAGAACATAACGTAATCCATATGCGATCGGACTACCTAAGCGAGCGGGCCACCTTCACCACCCACCGCGTATAAAAAGGCTGATTTATAATAACACAAGGAATTAATATTAAAGAAAACTAGTATAACTTATAGAGCGAAGCTTAAATATCTTCCTAATAACTTCGCACGTTATAACTTATTTTCACGTATTTACTATAGCGTATAGGCTTCAGACTACTCGGTGTCAGGGGGGGGGGGTCGGTCGGCAGGTAGGACGGGGAACACTCGGTCAGGCTGATCTAGTCTATTGCTACGGATAGGCACTCCTTAGGTAGGGCAGGCTCTATATATAAGACATAGCTCGAAGAGCTATAACAGAAGATAGTCGGGATCGCGACAAAATACAAAAGCAGGCGCGAGTTTATATAACTACTAGGTATAAGGTAGGTCCCCGCTCTTAACTAGCTATAATAGTACGCCCCCCTTCTAAGGGCGAGCTCTTATAATTATTTATTAAGGACTAGGTTTATCGGGATATTAGCGGTAGTAGTTAGCGATAATCTATTACGCGTTCTCTAAATACTCTATAGGTTCTTCGGTCGGATTATTATACCTAACCTACTTTATAATATACTATAATTATAGGTTACCTCGGCTTTTTCGTTCCTAGCGGGAATTTACTATCTCTTATATTATAAACTCTTTAGCCTTATTAATTTTAATAAGCGGCGGGGGTACGATATATTATTTAGGATAGGGGTTATTAGTAACGGGTCGGAGTAAGTTAACGTAGAATATAGGGTATATTCTTATACTTATAGGTAATTCTAGTTTATAGGCGTATAGCGATATAGCTTTCTCGACCTTTAAGGGGCCGATATTCTTCTAGTCTAGTTTCTTCTATAGCCGTAGGGTTCGTAGGTTTCGGGCGTCTAGCTAGACTAAGTCTCTAATACGATATATACGGGTAGGTCGGCGGTTCTAGTTCGCTTAGTCTTTATAGCGGGCTTAGGCGGCGGTTAATTCGGACTATAAGTATTTATTAATCTACTTTATTGTAACACCGTGGCCGAAGGAAGTCAGCGGTGCAGTCACAAGGAATCACGGAGGCCTCGGATGCTATGGCGTACCGCCATGTCAGCATCAATGATGCGTACCCGATTCATTAGTATTACACCTAACCTCCGGATCTTCCGAGCGCTTTAGGTATAATATACTTACTTCTACCTGTAGAGGGAGAAGTAAGTTTGAGTTTTATAAATATACTACCTATACCTTCTCTCCCTACCTAATCTATCCTACTATTGTTACAATTTCTCAAACTTCTCAATAAAGATTACCTAGGGAGAGAATGTCAAACTCTTTAGATAGCGAAGGCGAGGAACTCGCTTAAGAGTTCCTCCCTCCCGAAGCTTCCGAAAATTCTATATCTGACGGGCCCGAATCGCCGTTATAACAAGAACCAGTACAGGAACAAGAGCAGGATCTACAGAGTGAACCTGCAGAAGCAGAAGCCCAAGTTCCGGATCATCCGGAATATTTCCCGGATTCCTAAGTATAACCAAATACTCTAGCATTATCTTCTATACCAGACTCAAGTCCAGGGGGTCGATTATAGGATCTCCGAGCATAGCAAGAGCGACTCCAGGAGGAGAATCAGCTACGAAAAGATATTATAAAGCTCAAACAAGAACAGATACGCCTCCGATAAGCCTATGCAACACCACAGTCACAGGGACACTTCAGAGGAGTAGCAAATATCAAAGCTTTAGATAAGGAAGTGAAGATTGCTAATTTCACATAACTTACTCTCTCTTCGTCCTTCAAAGCCCGAGATAATTGGTTACTGGATTTACGACGGGCTTTCCGTGGAGCAAAGACGCGGTATAGCACCGATGAAAATAAGATCCTAAAAGCTCTCGATGAAATACACTAGACGTATCGAACCCGCTGGGAAAGGCACGTGGGAGAACAACGAACCGAAGCTAATAAGGAAGCGCTATGGGGAAACTAGCCTACCTTCGAGGAGTGGACTTTAAGTCTTATAAAAGACGCGGCAAATCGCAAGCCATTATTAATAGCATAGCTTAAGAGTGCCTAGTAACGAGATATATAATCCCCCCGAGAGTTCCATGTCTACCTTAATTCGCTAGAGCAACACTTCGAACAGAAGCCTGAAGTAGACCGGGCTTTCTATTACTTTGTGAAGCTACAGCCTGAATTACGTAATTATATTTATATATAGGGAAGCAAGTTACCTACTGTCCGCGAAGATATTATCGCTATCGCTGAACGCGTATAGGACACATTTGCGGCACAAAGGCGGAAGAGACCTATAGCGCCCACGACTGACGCCCGCGCGCCACCTATAAAGCGGCAGAAGCCTAACTGGAATACGGGGCGGAGGCCAATCGTACCCGACGCGGGGGGTCCGCGGGCCCTAAGTATAAGTGGTTCCACTAAACCACCCCGCCAAAATGGCAACCCAGTTATTAAGGGCAAGCTATTGCAGTGCTTTGAGTGCCAGAGTACTAAGCACCTCGCAAACGCATGTCCCAATAAGCCAAGGATAGGCAGGCTAGGAAAAGCCAGCCGACCCAGGAGGGGCCAGCCCGGGTCGGAAGGGCAGGCACATAAGTAAGAACGGCCCGAAGTATATAGGCCACGGTCACGCTTCATGGGGAACGTGATAAGGAAACGCGAGCTGAGCTCGATACCAATACCGCTTGCGATATCATTAGTTCCGCCTACGCACGAGAGAAGAAACTCCAACCGTCGCCACTAACATCCCCGCTGTTGCATGATGCAGTATGTCGGGGTTTAGAACATGATGGCGTTTGGATCGTACCTCTCACTAGCACCGATGATCGTGGAATAACCCGTACCTTTACACGACACTGCATAGGAATTCGACGCCCAGGAGCCGCCGATCAGGTATTCCCTGTACTCCTTGGAATGCTGGCACTAGAAGACGAGCGGATATATATTAATTGCCTCCGGAAATAGTGGTGGTTCGAGTACGATTTTTAGCAAATCCCTATAATCCCACAAGGGACGGCAAAGAAGAATCGCCGCCAGGGCGCACGAATTTGCGTAGTTTACCCCGTGGAAGAGATATTACCTCTTCCAGGAGAAGAAGAACAAGAATCTGAAGCTTCTGTGCCACAAAAGGCTGAACAAGTCCCTATTAAGCTACATGACTTTTTAGACGTATTCACGCTCGATAAAAAGACTATTCTCCCCCGACATCGAGCTTCAGATCACACTATTGACCTTATTAAAGGCGAATCACCTCCGTTTGGGCCAATATACCTATTATCGCCTGGGGAGCTTCGAGAACTAAAGGAATACTTGCAAAAAGCTCTTATAGACGGTATTATTCAGTCTTCGAAAAGTCCTACAGGCGCCCTAATCCTCTTTATACTAAAGAAGGACGGAAGTCTATGCCTTTGCGTGGACTATAGGGGCTTGAATAAAGTCACTATAAAGAACCGATATCCGCTGCCACTAATCATAGAGATTATGGATCGAGTGGGGGGTTCTCGGTATTTTTCTAAGATTGATATTAAAGATACGTATTATCGCATCCGAATCAAAATAGGAGACGAATAGAAAACGGCATTCCGCACGCGGTACGGTCATTACGAATACCGTGTAATACCTTTCGGTCTTACTAATACGCCTGCAATATTCCAAGAGTATATCTATAGTGCACTTAGATCTCTATTGGACACTGTATGTATAGCATACTTAGATAATATCTTGATCTTTTCCAAAACCAAGGAAGAACACACGCAGCACCTACGACAGGTGCTCGAAAGGCTCCAGAAGGCTGAGCTCTTCGCCAAACCATCGAAGTGTACCTTCTACAAGGAAGAGGTCGATTTTTTAGGATTCCTAGTTAATACCCAAGGAGTCGCTATAGACCTAAAGCGGGTCGAGATAATTATAACGTAGAAGGAACCCACGATATACCGAGAAGTTTAAGTCTTTATCGGGTTCTGTAATTTCTATCGCCGGTTTATCTACGGATTTTCTGGGATAGTGTAACCATTGACAGCCTTACTTAAAGGGAGTAAAGACAGCAAGAAGCCCGGTTAAGTGTATCTCGGGAGTAAGGAAATAACTGCGTTTCGTACTCTTATCGACGCCTTTCAGAAAGCGCCTCTCCTTCAACACTATAACCCCATATGCAAACTTCGGGTTAAAACAGACGCGTCTAAGAAGGCTATAGTAGGGATCCTCTCCTAGCAAGATGCTAAAGGAAAGTGGCATCTAATTGCCTTTTGGTCCCGAGGATTCCGGGGTCTAGAATTAAATTATAGTACTCCCGATCAAGAGATGATGGCTATCGTCGAGTCCTTCAAGTATTGGAGGTACTATATTAAAGGAGCTATATATACAATCGAGGTTCTGAGTGATCACTAGAACTTATAGAGCTTCATGAAGCAACCTAGACTACTAGGACGACAAGCTAGATGGTATCTGTTCCTTACCCTATATGACTTTGTGATCAAATATCGCACGGG